AGTATCTTATCTAGGTAGAATCATTTGAAATTAAAAGGCAAAAATGGAGTCGATTTCAGTTTGAGAAACATTCAGTAACACGGTTTTACAAATGTTTTGGGAAAAGGGTGGGGGTCAAGAGGCTAGATATGTCAGAACACTAGAAGACCATACCAAGATTTGACATCAGATCCTGGGGTACCCATTTTGATTTTGAAATTATAATGTGATATATGCAGGGAAATGGGGCGGGGCGGAGCCAACTCGATTCAGAACTTATCCACTTATCGAATGTCTCCTCTGTAATGCAAGCAACAGATAAGGTGTGTTTAAAACCATGAGCTTTCAATTAGACATGGTTAAAACCAACTGGATTTGGATACTCCTAAAAATGACATTTTCTTGATCTATGACCTCGTGTCAGTACATTAAATAACTTAGACATATCGAAATGAAAGTTAACAATAAAGCGATGGAAATACCATGGACTTTCTCTTGAAAGCCTTTGAAAAAACTGAGCTGTCGAAAACTACCACATTTTTATCCGACTGGTGCAACTTATTTGTACCTAGTCTTCCATCAAATCTCTGGACCCCATAACGGCTTCAACTAATACTTATTTGTATTACATGATAATAAACACAGCGGAGTTGAGACGATTTTACACAAGGATAATCAGAGTTAAAAAACGGAAAACATTATCGGCGTAATCCTTTAGTTGTTCATGTAACTGTGACTGATAAACAGATCATAATCACTCAACTACGAGTATTTATTAAGGGCTCGTCTGTCTGACATCGAACTATGATCGTGCAGATATCCCGGCCTGCAGATCATGTAACTATGATGTAAAACGAAATAGTGGACATGTCAATTTTTCTGATAGGGCATGTCATAAACATACATGTACATGTCACATTCCAATTTTCCATAAATAAAAAAAACTATTCCGATATAACAAAAAATCCGTGAGAAAATGCATTTCAATTTCCATAAATTATATTATCATTATCATCAGCTTGTTCGGTGATTTATAACTTGGCTGCATACAAGTGATAAATGAAATTCTATTTCATGACTACACTGTTCTTTTGTTATCGGTCGCGTGTTTCTGGTACACGTCTGCATCATGCCACGCGACGATGCGTATTTGTTCCCAATTAATTGCTATCTTCGTACATTGGCATGTCATTTGATAAATCGGATTAATGCTATTCCCACACCCATCGGATCGCAGATTGCCTTTACCTCGTGAATCCTCGCGAATTAACGGTAATAAGAGGGAGGGCGGGGAGGGGTGGAGTATGTAGATATGAGTTTAGTAATTAGACTGTATTTCGAAAAGCAGTATTGAATTGGTATATCCAGGTGTAAAAGGGTATCAAATTATGGTCCTACTCTCCATTGATTTATATGGTGACCTAAATACAACTCTTTCCATCATTATCTTATTCACAATCGGGGCCAGTAAGGGCCGTAAAGAAAGGTGACCATAATCCCTGGGGGACCATCATTTCTCTCACACCGGTGTGAAAGAAATTATGGTTCCCCAGGGATAATGGTCCCCTTTCTTAACGAAAAATTTGAGGTGTCCAAAATTGGTTATATCATGGGCTTTCTAATTGAAAGCCCATGGTGATATGCAATCAAATTTGAACCAAGGTGCTCAAGTCAAGTCACTCAGGTGTTCCCAAGTTGACAGGCCTGCAATGGAGAGTAGGACCATAATTTGATAGGACCTCCTACCCTTTTACACCCCGTCGAATGAGTGAATGCCAGTATGGGACAGTGATCATAATCATGATAATAATTGGCCAAGACCTACCCTTTGCATTTACCCTTTGCATTCGTTCGACTTCGCTTCTTCAAAAGAGAGCTTCGTATTCAGCTAGTTTATAACCAAATATGTGCGCAGTGTGGCCAAGACCCACACCCACCATCAAACTTAAGAAGATCTGGAACATGATAATCTACAATGAGCATGCTCTCAGACCCCCCACTGTGACTCACACCACTATCCACACATATACATCAAAAGAAAAGCTGGACTTTAAAATCGTACAGCGAGCATGACCCATGGACATGTCTGTAAGTCCCTGCATGACCACAAGCTAAGCCACCGTGAGAGAATTTGCTTCGTTCCCACCATCAATCACTGAGTAGGCAGAAACACAAACCATGGAATATCAACTGATCAGTCATCGTAAGGAAATGGAAACCCCCTTGCTATAAATACTGGAATCTATCCAGTTACGAACCCCTTGCTGGCATTAAAAATACTCAGTCAACAGTCAACAGAGAGGACCGGAACATATGTGAGAAAATAATACAATTAACTTGCAAATGACTATTCAATTTTGTATCTGAATCTTTTGGAAAATTAATATGAAACCAGAAATGAATTGAAAATTTTCTTGAAAGGGTCATAATGACTGGCAGGTAATAGGTTCCACAGACAGGAATTGCAATTGTATTTATTGGATTACAATAAATATTACTAATGTGTTTTATTGACTGGTAGGCTCAAATGTAAATCGGGACCCTTGATTAGAAAAACGTGCCTACATTCTTATCGATTCATGACTCCTCGTCCATTGTTAATTTCCAGGACTTTTAATATGATCACAATCGAGGAATGCAACTCCTTTTAATGCGATCATCTTGATCCATCATGGCATTTCATATATGGCTGTAAGATTACTTTGATAGAATAGTATAAATGCAGAACTAATCTGGCAAAATCCAAGAAGTCAATATCATCATGATGATACGTAATTAATTGCCTAGGATCCTAGATTGGATTGATTATCATTAAGAATGTACCCTTGCTTTTGCATTCCTCGACTATGTGAAGTGTCATGAGACAGTGTGCAAGATTCATAAGTATTCACATACCAAATATGAACAAAATATGGCTATTTTTCAAAATGGCGGCCTACTACCCAAAGTGTCATTAGACAGTGTGCCATGCTTATAGTATTCACATATAAAATATGAACAAAATCGCTCTACTACTTTTTGAGTTATAGTAAAAAACGTAAAACAACACAAGTAAAAATGGCGGCCATTTTTCAAAATGGCCACCTACTACCCAAAATGTCATTAGACATTGGGCCATGCTTAAAGTGTTCACATACCAAATATGAACAAAATCGCTCCACTACTTTTTGACTTACAGTAAAAAATGTTAAATAACACACATAAAAATGGCGGCCATTTTTCAAAATGGCCGCCTACTACTAAAAATGTAATTAGACATTGTGCTATGCTCAAATTATTCACATACCAAATATGAACAAAATCGCTCCAATACTTTTCAAGTTACAGCAAAAATCATAAAATGACGTGCAAAGGCCGCCATTTTTCAAGATGGCTGCCATGAATTTCTTCTGTATTCACATTTCTAGCTTAATCAATGTCCTATATAACTTTTTTACATTGAAAACATATTACTATTACAGTTTTATATGCAGTACCTAAATTACTGTAAAATCGGCACTAAAATGGCCGCCATTTGTAAATGAGCGGCCATTTTGAAAATCGGTTTTCGAGCAGAACTCCTACCCCCATTGGGTATATGTGTACAAAATATGAACGAAATCAGGCCGGACGGACGTACGTACGGACGGACGGAGGCGTTCCCTATCACTGGCGGATCTGGGGGGGGGGCCCAGGGGCCCGGCCCCCCCCCCTTGGGTGGGCCCAGAAAAAAAAAATTGGGCCCAAAAAAATTTTTGAGCCAAAAAAGGCCTTGAGGCCCGAAAAAGTGGGCCTTTGTGGTCATAAATGGGCCTTTTAAGGCCTTATTTTTTAGTTCTAGTCCAAATTTTGAAGAAAATGGGCCTCAAAATTTCAAAATTTGGGCCCACGTTTTGGTTTTAGGGGCCCAAAAACTTTTTTCTCAGACCGCAAATTTGGACCCCCCCCCCCTTGTTGGTTCCCAGATCCGCCCCTGCCTATATCCCTCTGAACTTCGTTCGATGGGATAATAAATAAATAATGTCAGTTGTCAGAATATGAAAATGTACCAGTTATCACAGAGATTGGCGTCTCAGTTGTCATAGAGATCACCTGTCATGGAGTATTGGCATTTTGTCATGAATTATTGATAGGTGCCATCAGTTTTCAAACAGAGTTTGAGTCGTCGACTATCTACACCTATTTCAGTTATACCCAGAGTATTGGAATTTTGTAGATAAACACACAATTGAGACATCTTTTGATCAAAAAGGAAAATTATTTACAGTAATTGAATAGTCAAGCTACAGGCCCTTGTGACCCCTGACCTACCTTTACTTGATTACATACTTTCTCACCATCTTGATACATCAAGGTATCACATATGACTGAAGGAATACACAAACAGTAAATAGTATGCCTTCTCACACTTATTTGGATATGTAGTTGTGGGGTGATTACAATAGCTTGAAGGACAATTGAACTAAGTTTTCTTCCATGTCCCTCTTTGACAATCTTAACTTTTTTGGCACAACACAAATACTATGTTAATATCAGGAAATGTACATTTATTCTTAACATTAAATAAAGTAATATTATAAAATAGTAGATGTTTCAATTTCTTAAATATAGGAAAATACAAAACTTATAAATGCTAAAACCTGCATTTTCTTGGTACTGATGATCCAGTAATCTAAAAGCCTATAAGCCCATAAGTGACTGAATTCGCATAATTTACAGTACTATTTATTTTTGTAAGTTACTCAGTCTGATTATTTTGTGAAAATTGCATCTTATTTTGCAAACTGTTAATATAGTTAAAAAAGTATTCACTAGCAAAATGAAATGTCTTTTTTCACATAACAAGTCATGCTTGTGGACTGTCTTATATGTTATACTGGCTTTTTCCTTAAGTGTTAAGTAAACTAACAGACAAAATTCAGACCACCTCAACCACCCATTACAGTCATCTTAATCACGGCTGTTTAAATGTTCATTTTTGGCAGAGGATTTGCAGTGGCAGTAGTCTCTGACTGGTCTCTAGTGATGGGCTCAAGGCCTAGTCATAATATCATATTAGGATTGTCAGTCCCTACCAGAGTAATGTTGTTCTCCTGTTCACTCTCCTCAGTCATAGTCTTAAATTCAATTTCTGGAAGCCACATGCACAAGATATTAGATATTAGTAAGTTACCCTCTGAAGGACATGCATCTACAAAGGATTAGCTCATTGGTAATCTACTGAGGGTCGAGGCAAACATGAGGCAGGTGAGGCTATTATCAAATTTCTTACCAAAAATGACTCATTAAGACATTTTTATGTGAAAATTACCAAAATAAAGCCTCAGTCACATTTGTTCTACAGCGGATGTATGGCAGCCGTATCTTCAAAAAATCTATATACATGTAGAAAATCTACACTGTATTGCTTATTCCTATATTTTATGCTGAATATTTCTTTCAGCTTTGGGAAGCTACGGCAGCTGTACAGTTGACATAGATCAAGTGTGACTGAGGTATTAGGTAGAACTACAAATATATAGTTTATATTATATTATGAGGTTATATAATGGTTCTTTCTGTATATCGTGTTTATACTCGAGTGAGTATATGATATATTCACAAGTGAGCGTAGCGAACGAGTGAATATATTATATTCTCACGAGAGTATAAAATGCACGATATACAGAATGAACCATTATATAATCTTATTATGCCACTCTAAGTTCAATAACAGTTGATTCGAACACAATCATAACAATTAAAAACCATAAAAATACCCCATAGCCAACTCAATAAAGCTGATGTTGATCTCGTATTCATTAGTTCCCAGAATGCACTTCTACAGTGGTATACGCTGGAGTGTATACGGAGGAGTTGTATACGATGACGATATACCACTCTCCACTGTATATCGTTGTTATAGACCCATGTTATACAACTGTAATTAGACTTAGAGTGGTATAAAAGTTTTTATACAAATATATATCAATCATCAATATTTTTTATATAATCTCCTGTAGCTTTGTGTTGCCTCACCTCTTTAAATTTGCCTCATTATTTGTTATCTTGCCTATCCCCTTTCTCTTCATTTAAATGAAGTGGAGAGAATAGAGATTAGAAAGATAATCAGGCTTCACCATCACCAAATCAATACTTGAAAGATACAGAAAAAATAAAGATCTTCTCAGTTCTCAAACCCAAGCTGTCAGGCTAAAAGTCAATAGTATCACATACAAAACAAAAGTATAAACGAAAACAAATTATATGTTAAGATGCGTGCAAGAGTCAACCCCACCTAAGTTGTTAGTAATGTCCGCAACGGCATGCAAACACAAATCAACACCTAAAAGGGATTGCAATTATTCAGTTTTAGTAAAATGTATTAGTTGTTCCACATGCATACAACCTAAAACTGTACAGGATTAGTAAAAGAAATATTACATACAACAAGATGTGAAAGGAAGAAGTAACAATATCAGAGGTGTATTGTACTATTAAAATCTTGTGTGACTTACATTTTTACTTTAAAATAGTTTTCTAATATAAGTTGAACCCATACTGACCTTCCATTCAACAAGTCAACATAACCTGTTCCCAATATTTTTTTCTCTTTTCAGAGTATATTTTTCTTTCTAAGTGTGATTCAGAATACAAGAATATAACATAAAAGATCGCTCAAGGACGAATATCTCACTTTTAAATATTGAATTACAGAATTTTTTCTGGAGGTTCAGTCACCTTTCAAGATCTTATAGTTGACTCTATTACAGGACAAAAGTAAAAGGAATGTAAAGTATAATACCATTGTGCCTAAAAAATATAAATAGTTGTAAAACTAAGCGTCCTTGAATTAAGCAAACGTTTGCACATAAAGTCAACCAATCCAAGAATGTTAGAGCTAAAGTAAATGTGCATAACGAGAATGTGGTGTTAGTTCAAATATTATTGATGAAATAATACTTGCCATTATACATATAATGACAAACTCCAAGCATATACAGAGCTACGGTTCATTCTTTGTTTACTCTGGTGTCTAAGAACTGTTAACCTCTATTCCATAACCAATTAAATAACAATGTGACATACAAAATACAATTACATATATATACAGGGTGATCAATAAATAAGGTAAAAGTATCTGGCATTTCTTCAGCTTTTACCCAATCCTCATAAAATTTGCACAGAATAATGTTCAAACATTATTGAATTGGTATGTTAAATTACAGATCAAAGTAATGTGATTGGTTGAAGTTATAGTTGCCATAGTAACAGAAAGCATGAAGACCCGGGGCAACTTTCAAAAGACTAAATTTTCAGTCGAAGCACTTTTGATAATATATTTCAAATCACAATTAAAATGGCATATCATATTCTTATTTTATACTTCATAACCACTACTTAATGTCCTTTGTTTTTAACATAGGCTTATAGTTCTTGTCTTCTACTCCAGTCTTTGTCTTTGAAAACCTTTTTAAACCCATTTTCCCATAGCCTGCAAATTTTCGAGATAGCTGACTTCAAGTCTTCCAATGAGAAACTTCCTCAACTCCCTCTTCAGCTCACCATGAAGGTAAAATCATAAGGGGACAAGTCAGGAGAGTATAGTACATGACCTAACAGTGGGAAACCCAGTGCTTCAATGGTTTGTACTGTGAGAATAGCATATCCCAGTGCAATGTGTAACGTTTTGCAGGCCTCTTAGTCTTAGCTTCTTCCTCTTTTCTCTCATCAAACTCTTCTGTGGGTATTGTCTTTCATCATTGACCTGTGTCATAGACTATCTATGATCACATCAGTTTTCATTATATATTAATCTTTTCCGTGACATCAAACATCAAATTTGCAAGAAAATATGTAACAATGTAAACTAAGTATTAAAACAATTAATGATGGCACCCACGTTTATTTCTTTTCAGTTTGAAAAAAGATGTGCTTTTTATCATTTTTTGTCCAAATTGGACGCAATGAAATTGCCCCGGGTAACCACGACTCCAGTTGCCATAGTAACTATTATATTGACCAATCAGATGGCAGAAGTTATATATTTCTATGTTTTAATTAAGAAATGTGCAAGGTATATTCTGACCAAATTTCAGGATGTTTGGACCAATATTTACAAAATGCCAGATACTTTTACCTTATTTATTGATCACCCTGTACTTGATATAAAAATAATACAAATTAACAAAACAAAATATCACTTTTTCTGTTCAATTTACATCAATCATATTTTAAAAAAATATGCAATCAAAGGACTGTCGTGCAATATCATATGTAAAAATACATTCATAGTTTATGTACAAAGGTTTTCGTCCTCTTGTAATTGAGGGAATTTCAGCCGTGGTAATTTTCTTCATTTTTGAAAATAACATATCAGAAAAGCATCAAAATACAAGAGGCCACACATTTCTGTGCAATCATTTAGCATCTAAAATATGAATGTTTTTTACATATAACATTGCATTATGGTCATTCGATTGTTTATAATTAAGTTAGATTGATGCATAGACATAGTGATTCAGACCAGCTTTACAGTGACAATGACATGCACTGAATTCAGGTGAAATATTTTCAGAATAATGTATAATATATACACACGTAACGTGTTATCAATAAATAAGCATTTTGTTGTTTCTGTGTTACTTGGACATAATAATCTAATAAATATGAACTAGAACACAATATAGTCATGTGGGGTTAGGAGTCATCTTCTCATCTCCAATTATGTACAGGTCTTCTTAAAGAAACATCTGTGATAACTCAATTTTAAATAAGATTTGAATTATTTCTTGCAATTACATTTGTACAAAAGCATGTGTCCATTGAAAAAGATATAGGGAAAGGAACATAGGACAAATTCCAAATTCCCATTTTCCAAGCTTTTGAATTGAGGTGTTCATTTTCAAGTATAATCATTTTACATTGATTTCTTTTGGATGGATACTTTTCAGATTACAGATGTCTAAAGCACAATTAATTAGTTTCATAAAAATATGAAAAAGAAAATCATTATCTCAAAAGAGCAAAATATCTAAAGTGTATAAATCAATAATATCTTCATGAAATTGTATCCTATTGGTGAGGAGGGATAAGACTCCCTGACCACTTTATGGCACTTTTACAGTAGAAGTGAAGTGACAATGAACAATTCAATAATATTTTGCCTACAATGTGAAATATGGGCTTTATTTTTAACTTTTGATGCTGTCTAAATGAAGCTTCAATATATTTTGATCAGAGGCATAATATTATATATCTTTGATTTGGATTGCACAAAATTAAAGGTGATATATTTCTCTATTACTCATCTTCAATTTTGAAGTTTGAGTCTTAGAATTCCTTATGTGTTGTAAGGATATCATTTGCATCATCAATCATATAAACCTAAAGGTTTAATCAGTAAATAAGCGATCTTGTTCTTGGGACACCATTAAGTGGCTGGGCATTGGCAGCCTCTATAAGCGGAGCCGTAGAATCACTGAATTCATTGGAATTTATTACACCGCTTTCTGATGGAATGTCTGCTACAGTAGCACCATCTATAATTCAAAATAGAAAAATATTATAAATAACTTCTTACTATATAAAAAATAAAATAATATCAATGGATAAATATTTAGCATTACTAAATTATTTAAGGTGAAATTCCTATTTATATCTTAACTACTGTGCTTTTCCTTTGCTTGTTCTATCTTTTAATTACTTTCTTTTTTAATATCACATGCATTTAAAAATTCTCCAACAAATAATAAACTTAGATTAAAAAATCAAGCAATAATTAAAAAGCTTACATAAAATAATAAATTGTTATACTTTATTCACTGTTAGTCTAGTTCTAACTGTTTCCCCTAATGTTTTTTCATTTTTTCCTAAATATGAGAAGCATGAAGGAAAAAAGAAAGAACAACCCTAAAGCTACATTTTCTTCTCACATGGCAAACATTTGAGAATAATAACAACATCTTTTTTCATCATATTTTCTAATAACACAATGTTAAATACATTTATAATATTGGCAGTAGGGTATTAAGGAAAATATTTTGAAATATGAGCTGTAATAAATATTCATATACTAGTATTTCATGGACATAAATAATAAGATGGTGAATGATTTCATTCAAAATTCATAGTTGAAATATTTAAAGCCTTCATACTAATAACTCATATTCCTGGGCCCTATCTAAATAGCCCACCCCATCCTTTGTTCATAAATTTAAAAAAAAACATATCTTAAAATCTTTTGATTCCTGCAAGGATGAAGATTCCTGTTATAAGCGTGTATCAAGTCTCTAACCCCTCCACTGTTTTTCAACCTTGTGATTTCTTAGGAATGTGTGTGTTTTAAAGAGGTTGAGGGGTATACAAGGGTTTAATGTTTGATTTAGTGCTATCAAATGTATTTTCAATACCAGGTGTAGTAGTATCCTTTCATTCAGTGAATCAGTGGAGATTCATATAATCAACACATTCATATATCTAACAAGGCATTAACATGCAAAATGTCACCACCTGCCATTTGTTACAGATGCTGACTGCCGAACAGCAAATTCAAACTGACGGTCCCTGTCCACGAAAAAGATAGAGACTATAACAATATGTCCCCATTGAGGGTGGTGACATAATTAACCCAAAATATTCCCAGGACTACCTCAAACATTAATAGGTGCTGCCATCTTTATAGTGGGCTGAAACCTAAGGCTCACAATGAGCTCTAGAGGGCAATATTAACACTAGGCACACTCTGCAAAAACTGTAGAATTAAAAATGACTTGGTATTGTCACAAGCTTGGTAAAATGGTACATACCTTTACTTCTCCTAGGAGGTAATAGGAAACATATAGAAGTCGCCATACACACATGCCAAGCACTGTGGGTGTAGTCATAATTACTTGTAGTTTCTGCAATGCAAAAGTTGTACACATGTTGTGAACAGGGAAACATTCCAGGTTCAACATCCCTGTAACAGGAAGTGGCATGAACAGGGCTGGCCCATAGGATAGAAGAGAGTCAGGCAAATTTTACTTTAGATCAGCCAGCTATTTTTCTCATGATTAATAACTGGTCAGTTTTGACCAATATGGCTGAAATCTCATACTCACTTTTACTTGAACTATTTTTCTGAATTCTTTATCTTTATTTGTCTTTAATCCTTCCATTGTCAAATATTACTCTGTGATTAACACTCCAAAACACTTATCAGCTAGGTATCATTCAAGTGTTTAATTTAAAGGAATGTTACTTTAATTAATTTTATATTAGCATTATTAAATATTCCTAGTAGAATCAGATGAGCTTTCTATTTAATTCTTATACTAGATATAGTATGTCTAAGCTAGTATGTCTTCATAATTAAGCTAAACTATGAAGATACGATAAGGTATTTTAAAAGTACTTACAGCTATTATAAATTCTAAAGGATTCATCAGAATCATTAAAAATATTTCAGATGAACTACATACATGTAGCTTTGATATAGCCAAACATAGTGTACAAATATGACTGCATAACGCTTACTAACATTGTATTTCAGGTTGCTATGGTAACTGGTGTAGCATTACTTTTGGAACACCCTATACGTGTGTCATCAAAATGAATGATATAAGCAAGAATATAGATTTATTATATACAAACCTAAGAATGCATAAATGATGAGACCCATGCCTGCTATAAGTAGTCCTGGTATAACTGAGATCAACCATTTCTTTTTAGTTGGGTAGCAACCCTTTCTCTTATACATTTTGAGACCCTAAAGTAATTCAAATAGATGGAATCATTAAACATGTGATGTGAATCTTCAATGAAGTGATTACATGAACTGATAAAATTTAAAAATATTGACTGGTGAGAGGAATTGATCTAAAGTGCAATATAAAAGATTAAATAAACCTCATAATTTAACACCGCAGAGTAAATGTAAAAAAGGTTGCCTCTGGCTATATGAAATTAAAAAATGTATCTTCAATATTTATATGTTATAAAAATTATATAAGGACTGATCAAACTACTGTACCTAAAACACAAAATGCTTTTATCTAAATATCTTTTGATGGTCCATTCTTGCATAAACTCACCCAAGACACAGCTACAAGCAAGGCTCCTAAAACTATGGATATAAGATATGGGTAGATGCTATGCTGAACCCACGACACTCCAAATGCCAATCCCAGTGCTCCAAATATATGAGCGAAGTGTTGGGCCTTGTGAGGGAAGCGTGTCATGGCTATGAGGGTCACCCAAAATGACATGATAGAGCCGTAGAAGTCACTGAAGCTGAGTGTGGAGAGTTTCAGGAGGCAGAATGTGTGATAATAGCTGGAGTTATCACAGGCATGGTAGAACTGAAAATAAACAAGTTGATTTTATTTGATTTGATTTTAAAATATAATATCTAAATGGGAGGGATCCTCAATTCTATTATACCTTCTGTTATCTTATGACATACATGTACTTTTATTGGCGGCTGTGTATTGCTGTGTCTTTATAGTTAACCACCACTACACAATATTACATTATAATATCATTTCAGTTGATGCAGGATGCATGATTGACAACCCAAACATAAATATTCTTATATATAATAGTCTAAACACATGCATAATATGTTATTGTGCACAATTTCCAGCATATGCAACACTGTCTTCTCAGGATAGATTTTGATAAGGCAATGGCTATTGTAAAAAAACTATGTTAAACGAGAATAATAAAATATATAAAATACACAGAAAACCAATGCAATGTTTTTAAAACAAAAAACATGTACAAACTTGACTTGTACTTGTTTGCCAGCCTCCAGTGAGGTTTGAACTCACGACCCCTGCTTTACGAGGGTAACTGGTCAACTCAACCCCAAGTCAACTCAACCCAAGTCAACTCAACCCTTAGTCAAGTCGACCCCAAGTCAAGTCGACCCTTAGGCAAGTCGACCCCAAGTCATCCCGACCCTTAGTCAACTCGACCCCAAGTCATCTCAACCCTTGGTCATCTCAACCCTTAGTCAACTCGACCCCACCATAAAAAAACAAATAGATATACTATTTTCATGGTATGATATTGATGAATTTTGAAAGAATGAGGGACTAAAATGCTAATTTTCCAAAATAAAATTATCAACTATTGAAGTTTGTGCTTAACGCATTTATAATTTTTATAAATATGACATTTATTTACCAAAATAATATTTGATTAATCTTAATAGGGCTATTCACGATGCTATACATATATTTCACCCCTTCATATTTGAGCTTGTTTTATCTCTCTGAAATAAAAATAAAAATTATCCATACACTTTTCTGTTATACTGAAATTGTTGCAACAGTATTTTTGACAACAGGTTACTTATGCAACATGTGCATTGTGCCAACATCCATCCATTACTTTGTATTGAATGATTTTATATTTTGATAATAATAATAAACAATATGATATATTTCAAATCTTCCTTCTGATCTATAGGCGATAGAAATGTTTATTTTTTTAATCTAGATTTTAAAACAAGACTGAACAAACAATGGGATTTATGATTTTACAATTTCCATTATCGTACCCATCGATGTCAGGTGTCATAAACAATCAGATTGGGATTTTATGATCCATTTCAAATCTTCGTTTTGATCTATAGGTGGCAGAAATGTTTTTTTCTTTGAAGTTTGATTTCAAATCAAACTGCACAAACAATGGGATTATATTGTATTTTAATCTACTTAAAACAAGTAAAATCATTTGGGTCGACTTGACTAAGGGTTGAGTTGACCAAGGGTTGAGATGACTTGGGGTCGAGTTGACTAAGGGTCGAGATGACTTGGGGTCGACTTGACTAAGGGTCGACTTGACTTGGGGTCGACTTGACTAAGGGTTGAGTTGACTTGGGTTGAGTTGACTTGGGGTTGAGTTGACCAGGAAGCCTTTACGAGAGCAGTGCTCTGCCACTGAGCTATAGAGGCTTTTCTGTCTAATTGGTTTTAGAGGCTTTTTTGTTATGATGTGTTTTATTTCGATTGATTTTTATGAACACAGATGGTACATATGATATATACCAGGTAATAAGATGCATTTAGAGTTCTCAGGGAGGGATTGTATCTGACTACTATGCCTTTTTAGAAAATATGTCATAAATCTCTTATGTCACGACAACAGATCTAATAAACCCAGATAATAAATTAAAGAGAGAATCAGATCTAGCAAGCAGGCCAACGAAAAAAAATTTCAATTTTGGAATATTTCTGGCTCATGTCATTCCTTGTCATGTCTATTTTCTAAAAATCCCCAAAGTGCACACTTTATTTCAGGAAAACTAAAGATTTTTACAATAATGTATTATTTTTCTATAAGAATGTTCTTATTATTTGGGAAAATTTAATCAATTTTCACCAATTTTTGCACTTTGAATCCATGATAACTTCATCAATTTATAGCATATCTTGTATCTTTTGGGAGATATTGTATTTGAGATTGCAATGAATAGATTCTGCCTTTAATAATTTAAATGACATGACATTGATATTGAAAGAACTTCATTTTTGATTAATTTCACAAATATATAGAGAAGCAGTTCTCATCTATCTAGCCTCAATGTTTTGAAAACTGCATGGTTATATTTGTCTTTTTGGACCATATTGATAGTTGATCAGCCTAAAAGCATGATCATATGAAAAAAACATGAAATGCTTTCTATAAAAATATATTGATTTTAAGATAAAATCATCAATACTGGAAAGAAAACTCATCTGTGAAGACCTGTTGCATTTAGAATTTAATTTTTCAATTATATCAGATAAAAATCTGGAATGTTTCATCCAAGCCTCTATAGCTCAGTGGCAGAGCACTGGTCTTGTAAACCAGGGGTCACGAGTTCAATCCTCATTGGAGGCTATAGCCAAATGCTATTTTTATTTTTTAATTCAAAATTAGTATTCTAAAATACTCCATGGCATGAATAGACCAATATAACGTTTTGTTCATGGATGGATGGATAAAATGATGGCAATGTAATTTTGGTAGGGATAGATACAGAACACTAATGAAAGTCACTTTAATTTTTTGATTTATCGAATTATCAAATGTGACTAATGTACCTCTCCAGCATAGAGTTCAAAGACAGGGAGAAAATAATAGATTTATATTAAGTTTCAACATTTGATATTTAGAAAGGAAGACTCCAGATGCAGACCTGAAAGTGATCATGATATTATAACACACTGTGTTCAGTACTACTGTCAAAAATTTCTAATATCTGAAGCATTACAAGTAATTTATAGTCGGAATAGATTTTGATATGTTTAATTTCGTAACTACATGTATAGCATTTAATTAAAAACAGTAAAATTATACAAAAGAAAAGAATAACTTTAGAAAAACATATAAACCGATGCAATTTTTTTAAACCAAAAACCAAGTTCAACTTTGACATGTACATGTTTGCCAAACCTGAGTGAGGTTTCAACAAACGATTGTATTGATGCCTTTTAGCATGTTCGTATGATATAGAACTAGAAAATCTATTAACTATTAAAATATTGATTGTAAAGAAAATATAATTGATAATGTAAAGGAACAACATCTGTGCAGATCAAGATTTGTTGCATCTTTTTAATAGCTATCACACAATTAAAATCCAGTTGGTCCATCCAAGCCTCTATAGCTCAGTGGCAGAGCACTGGTCTTGTAAACCAGGGGTCATGAGTTCAATCCTCATTGGAGGCTACAGTTGAAGTGTGATGCTGTTATTTTTTATTTTATTTTTTTGTTTTTTTTAACATACATATTCAAATATGTCAAATATCATCAGTATTCAAAAAATGGATGCCATTTAACTTTCATATTAAACACAGGGTGTGTACCAAATTAAGCGTGACAGTTGAACGCTCGGGGTAAAGTACAACACGAGGATGATGCTATTTCAGCAAACATGTTTTCATTGTTTCAGAAAGATCGGGTCTAGTGTCTAGATATTTTTGTATGTAAATGTCTGTAACGCGGGGGTAAAGTTACCTGAGATACGTTAACGTTTTGTACATTAACCCGCACATTCAACTGTCATGTTTGATTTGGTACATACTCTGTGTACTATAAGTGGTCTTATCCCACCCTAAGTGCTTTATATGATTGTATAATAGCATTGTATAACTGCAATATAAAACCAACACTAATCGTATACAACTCTTGAGAACGATATACAACTCCTGGATAGCGTATACAACTCCTGGGCAGCGTATACAACTCTTCGACTTGATATACAACTGCTGAATTTAGATTAATCTTTTATTGATTAAAGATTAGGGTGGGATAATAAGATCATATAATGGTTGATTCTGTATATCGTTATACTCTCGTGAGTATATGATATATTCACTTGTTCCCTTCGGTCACTCGTGAATATATCATATACTTACTTGAGTATAAACACGATATACGGAATCAACCATTATATAACCTCATAATATCCACATCAAAATGTTGATATTTTGATTCAAAAATTGTATATAGTAATTCGTATTTACTCACTGTTGAGAAAAACATGTTAAACATGTATACAAATGCTTCTACATAGAATCTCCGATACACAGACAGGCATATAGCTGGGATGAAGAATAGGTTGCTAAGGGTTAACAGTAATGTTCCAAGAAGTTGGCGGTTTGGTTCTCTGGCATACTTTCCATCGGTGCATCCATAGCCTCTCCAGCCTAGAATAGAAAGAGTTAATTACACATTTTTATGACCAAAATGATGACAGGAAAAATGAGGAAAAAAAGATTTCTTCACATTAAATGTTTGTTATTCGAAAAGGGAGGCAACATAGGCAAATCTGAAATTGACAGGGGGTGAGAAAATTCTGAGCAATCCTTTAATCTGCAACATAGGCAAATCTGAAATTGACAGGAGGTGAGAAAATTCTGAGCAATCCTTTAATCTGCAACATAGGCAAATCTGAAATTGACAGGGGGTGAGAAAATTCTGAGCAATCCTTTGGTCTTTTTAAAATTTTTGAAATGTGGTCCCATACAACTCCTCCATATGTTTTAATAAACCAGATGTGAGTTGGTAGTTATACATTGCCATTGAAATCACACTGAAAAGAAATTGTTCATAAAATTTCAAATTGTCCATTTTATTTTCTATTAATAACATGATCAATAAATGTTTTCAACCAATCAGTGATTATGATACAATAAGACCAATGTCATCATAGACCAATAAAATAGAACCTCTCTGTGAAGATAGGGACTTGGTACAATGGAGGGTTAATCTCTCTAAAATGGGAAAATGCCACACCCACCTGAGGAACAGCTACATGAAGAGAATGGGAAAACTCCACTTCTGTAGATGTAGCAGTAACCATATTTAGAGCACCCATTGTCATAACACACTTGGACATCAACTCTGAACCTGACTATAGTGCTATTTTGTATGCATGGTTGGGTCACATCACTGAAATGCACAATACATCCCACAAAATAAGTTGATTTTGCGCTATGCTATGTTTAACACACTTAGATACAGTAATAGTGCTGAGCTATCAAATGAATCTTCCATTTTTTCTTGAAACAGGCTCCAGATAAGTTGTTTTCACACATTATAAACAAACATTGAAATTATGATGCAGTGGTATGAGGGAGAGCATTGATATATTTACATTATTTGCGAACTCTCAACTCTAGGCACACTATGCTAACTTACCTGTTGTTGCCATGATAACAGCTCCTCTCCATGACGATGTACCATTTTCCTGGTTCTGGATATGGAATATAGAGTGAGCCACTAGCTCCCGAAGTAGAATTAATTCTGATTCTCCCTGAATTCTCCCTACAGTAAAACTCTCCATTCTTCACAGGTATTCTGTCTTTCTGGATGCAGGCCTTAACACTCACATTCTCTGCAGATGAGTTCTAAAACAATGATGCTGCTGGATTGTTTGTTTGCCTATCTGAGCTGTTTGCATATTGGTTTATTTGTTTGTTGACTGAGACATGTGATGTTACTATAAATTTTGCCTACTGGTAGTTGGGTCATATAAGTAACCTTGAGTCATATTTTTTATCTTATTGCATTGTATGGTACTTGAAGCATTATTTCATACAAAAGCAATTCCAAAATATCATTTATTCAATTTATATCTTTTAAAGTGTTCAAAACTTCCAAAGTCTCTATACAGCAGTTCACCTCCTCTTCATTAAAACATAATTGAAATGACTTTAATTTTGATATTTTTTAGAAAATAATTACTTTTGTGCCTCAAATATTGATATCAATACCCTGCCTTTGAGTGCAACGCTACTTACAGCAAAATATTCTTCAATCTTAAGCTCTATCCTCAAAGTGCCACCTATACTTGATTCTTGGGTCTCTAGGGCAAGGATAGATGGCTCTGAATCTGTTAATTCCAGAAGGTCAGGGTAAACACTATCTAGTCTGTAGCGAGACTGAAAGTAACCACCTTGATTCGTCTCTCTGTAATATCACAAAATATATAAGTCATTAAACATTAGGCTACTTACATTTTATGCACTATTGTACCATGCCCTCTTCATCTTGGCATTACAAAAAGATGTTATTAGTGAAAACCCATGTTATGTGCAAGAGAATACAAACATAAGTGATTACATTGTATTTTTGTGGCTCTTCAAAAACCATAACAGCCTGTTACTTGCACCATCAATGAACTTTATGACAAATTTTTCTTTTCTGTAAAAATTGATAGAGTTAGAAAAAGGATCTGGGCCCATTTAATGAATATCTCTATCTCTAATATCTCTATAAACACACAATGAACACCTGGTAATAAATGGATATTCCTGACTGAAATTGACCAGATTTGTGCAATGACTTCGTTTCACATTGTTGATTTACAAAACAAATTATAAAAGACCTAATTACCTCATTAACATTGTCGCATTGTCACATCTTTTCTGCAAATCACAAACTTTGCTTGCACTGTCTCTCTCACAGACCTGTCTCCCACTCACACCCTCACTATTGAAGTAACTCCCAGCCTCAGGGGATTTGGATATGATGATGGATTCATTTAATGAATTGGAATTTTGCGACCCCATATCTGTATCTTGGATTATTTCACTGTCTTCCTCTATTGTAGGATGGTCAGTGGTGGCATTGTCATTGACTTCTACATCTTTGGCATCTTGGAGTTGAGTGTTGTCAAAAAGTTGACCAATGGGTTGGGAACATTCTGAAAATTAGACACAGAATTGTCATTTTGCAATACTCCATTTCCTATGAATTGAGAAAGTAGAAAGTTTTTCAGAATAATTGAAAAAGCAGAACTCTGGGCATTTTCAATTAACAAGTCAAACCTTATGTATTTGGAAAAGGGCATGACATTAGAATGCTGTGAGATTTGACATTTTTAGCTTGAATTCGTATCTATAATATTTTGTACTTTGTTTCACTTTCCCGATGGGAATACAAACTGAAGGGAACTTAACAATATGAACCATGGTTTCACTGATTTACTTACAGCAGGAAGAGAAAAAAATGAGATTAACATAAAATCAAGACCATGAAATTTTATGGTATAATTTATGATAAAAATGAAATCCTAATTATAAGATAAAAACCATGTGGTGGCTTGTATGGCATTTATATGTCAACACTAAGAACTGTTATACATTTCAGAGGACATTGTGTAGCCACTGTAATGGGGGGGGGGAGTGCTGATTGGGCAGTGAATCTTGAGGCATGATCCAGCAATGAGAGCTACAATCTATACCACAAGAAAATGAGTAATATCATACATTTACAATAAGCAAAATTGATGAAGAATGTGTAATTTAACAATTTTATGCATCATCACATGGCATTGTTTATCACATCACTGGTTGCGTTTGACCACTTACTTAGTAATTTCTATGAAGATTGAAGATCGAATGAGAAATGTTTGTTGTCACTATTGTAAAGTTTAACAAATGATATTTGGTCTACAAATTTTATAATTTGTTGTCTAAAAACATAGTACTATGTTTCAAATTACCTATCTTCGGCCATTTACATTTTAATTGTGTATCGCAAACCTTGTAACTTAGGTGAAATACCGCTTCGTGCAATAACAAAATATGTATACTTGGTAATATGTGGAAATGGGCTATCTATGTTAATCTATAACTCCCTAATTACAGTTTTAAAACTTACCTATCATGGACAATGTAACTGCAGCACTCACATTGAATGGTTCAGTCTTGAGAATGGAAATATAGTACCACACGTCAAGAACAGGATTATTTTCTTCTAATACGCAACCAGTATCTGATGTCATGGAACAATTCCTCGAAATTGTTTCCAAGGGAATCCCCTCCCAATTTGGGAATGCCTTTGGTCTAATTGCAATGGAAACTGGACAATCAGAGAACTTGGTGCCATTTACAGTTGCTGTACAGTTTGTTAAGGTCACACTTGTGGATTTTCCTGTCCATGGAACGAATATTCTGAAAAATACAAGATAGTTTAAAAAAGTTTATTATCTAGATTATTCAATTTCCAATTATTATAGAAATAAACATTATAACACAGATGACTAGTTTTTTTCACATACAACACTGTGTTTTATTTTTTTCAGCGAATTATGCAGAGATAACTTTAATTATTACATCACTGATTCTAAAATAATGATTTCATCATTCAAAAAATTCTTGAAATTCATAAGAAAAACTCAGAATTCATAAGAATTGTATGATTCCTTTTAATGATTTAGAGTTAGTGACAGAGTATACCTGAGAAGTTGTTGAGTGTTTTCATTAATGAGTGAAACAGAATTCTGTTTGCCATTGTCTACAACAACAATGTCTTCAAATGTCACCACGTCAACTGTTGCCTGGTAACTGTATGCACACTCTGTTGTTAATCCCTAGAAAATAAGACATTTGAAAATAAGGGCAAGATCACTTTCTTCAAAATTATGAAATACAGCATCATGAAATCCTTCATGGGTGATAAAAATCAAATCAAATGAAGAATATTGTAGTTTCACTTATACATATCCAATAAACATATTTGTTTTTAATTATGTACATGCTCTTGCAAACAATAGGGTTTGTAAAATATTTTTAAACAAATGAATGAAACAGTGAACTTATCAAGCTTAAAACTATAACATGTATAAAATAAACTTACATACAGGGTGGGCCAAAAAATTTTGCAACTTTTTTAAAAGGCTAGAAAAGTATCAAAACATAAGGGTATTGCCATAAAAAATTATTTACAGAAACTTAAGGATAGGCATATATTACCATTTAAATACTAAAGCTAAACTGGACTTAAATATTTTTTATCAGATCTTTGAATATCAATGGTCTATTGTTCATGTGTCCGAGATTTACCGTTTTTCCTAGAAAATGTTACATTTATGTGATCAACAATAACACATTCATTATGTTCACTAAATCTGTTACAATCTTGGATAACTGTTCAACCAATGTCTAGTACAGTTTATATCAGTATCTAGTCATTATGATATTATGTATCTATTGATTATTTATTAAACAAATTTTATGCATCAACCTTTCACCTTCTCTACAGCGCGCAAGGAGACATGGGCAGAACTGGTGAATGGCGCGATCCAGCGATTCTTGTGGTAGTTCTCTCCACTTCTCCTGCAGAACTTCTTTTAGTTTAACAATAGTTTGTGGATGGGGGATTACCATTAACTGCAATAAGCTGCTCCAGGTGCCCCCAATGGTGATAGTCACAGGAGTTTGCATCTGGGGTATTTGGCAGCCATTCATCAGGACTAATGAATCAAGGCTTATTCTCCTCCAGATATTCCAAAGTGACTTTTGCCCGATGGCTGAGAACGATACGGAAGGTGAAAGGGGATGCATAGAACATTTGTTTAATAGATAATTAATAAATACAATATAACATAATACCATAGTGACTAGATACTGATATAAACTAGACATTGAGGTAGACATTGTTTAAATAGTTATCCAAGATTGTAGCAGATTTAGTGAACATTATGAATGTGTTATTGTTGATCACATAAAATCATAGAAAGTCACATTTTCTAGGAAAAATGGTAAATCTCGGACACAAGAACAATTGACCATTGATATTCAAAGATCTGACAAAAAAATTTGAAGCCAGTTTTAGCTTTAGCATTTAATTGGTAAAATATGCCTATCCTTAAGTTTCTGAGAATAATTTTTTATGGCAATACCCTTATGTTTTGATACCTTTTTAGCCTTTTAAAAAAGTTGCAAAATTTTTTGGCCCACCCTGTAATGTATACATATATAAAACATGCAATGCTAAGAAAATATTTAATGAAGTAGAAACCTTTCATTACCAATCTACCTGGAGGAAAGCCAGGAATCCTAATCTCAGACTGAAATCATTTGCAAACATATAGTCTGATTTTTCTAGAGAAAGAAAGGTCATTATGCATACTCATGCCAAAACTGAGTGTCAAAAGCATGCAGGGAAACAACCAATCAAATTTACACAGTGTTATAGCATGACGGTTGCGTCAAGGCGATTTGCAAGTGGCGTAACCGTCATGCTATAGCAGGGTGATTTAGGTACATCAGGTATGCCAAAAAGAAATTTCAAAGGGAAGCTACCAATAAATGGTAAAAAGCTAGGAATCCTACAGTAAGTCCTGTGTACAGTGACCACCCATGGAGCCACAAAAATGCGATCATTGTGGTAGGTGTTCACTATAGAGAGGTCATTATATACAAAGTCAGTGAAGTATGTATCGAGAATGGGTGTTCACTATATAGTATGTTGAAGGTAGGTATCCATATTTAAATTGCACAAAAAGAAGTGTTCCATTACCGGGAATCGAACCCGGGCCATCTGGGTGAAAGCCAGGAATCCTAACCACTAGACCATAATGGAATAACTGTTGTAGACCATCTTTATATTGAAACTGTCTCCTCATTTAGAAAAGTTAATATTTAACTATGTATTTATCCAATTACTGTTATTTGATTTGTCCAGGATAAATATACAAACAATTGATAAAAGTTCACATTTGAGAAATATCAATAGATCCTAGTATCAGAAAGTTGCACCTAGCTTGGTGCAATGAAACCTTGAAACGATCTTCTTGTACTACTTTTTTCAAGGCCTGACTGCGTCGCTAACATGCTAAATATAAGAGTTAGCTGACGTTTGGGAGTCTGACTTACCTTCTAAAGGTTAGAACCCGAATCTTAATGAAACCATATCACCTTTGTGCCGTCAACCATGGAGCATTTGCCACAACATCCAAGAGGTAAATCATGGATCGAGAAAATGAATGATTTCCTTGTAAGTTCCGGAAGTTTCAATACGAAAAATTACCGAACATATGTGAAAACCGAATATTTGTTCGTTGTTTTCACGATTTACAGGTTCGTTTGTTCTTCAATGTTTTGGTCTAAATTATAAAGCATCACCAACAGCACGGTGTTATAGCATGACAGATACGACAAGGCAATTGGCCAAATTTTGCGGTAACGATAACAAAAAATGGCGGACGGGAAAGACAGCATGTCCTCTTTTTCGCCTGTAGGCAAGATTCACAGATAAGCTTTCCTTTTCAACTAGTTCCATTCGGTGATGCATATGTGAATGGTTATAAAGATTGAGTTAAATCTGTCGTGTGGTCTACAAGAAGCAGAATATAAGCTGTAAACCTACCCAGCTGAGATTTCGAAGTTCATAATTTTTAGTCCTTTTTCGTGTTTTCTCAGTATATGTGCCTCAGAGCCACTCAAAATACTAACTGTACGTAAACTGTGTATAAACAAGCCATAAAATGACAAATGCAGAACAGAAATGTGGTAAATATTGTAGATAATAAGGTTTCAATCGCAAGGTCGTTAGACAGATACGTATGTATTGCATGCTTTTTTATGGACAGCAACGCATTGTATTAGTTTTACATTAGATGTTAGCGGACGGTTACATGTAAGTTCCTGTCAAGTCAAGGTCCCTAGATGGATAGCTCTCTATGTGTGAACTGCCTATATTTGTTTTCAGGTTTCGCAAGAGACGCTCTTGCTTGAGCCTCTATAGGGCAAGGAAAATATAGCGAAAGCCAATGAAAGTGAAAATGATTGTAATGAAGAGGCAAAGGAAGAAATTAGTAACAACGAACAGGCGACGGAAGAAAACAACTCCAAATTAATTGATGATGTCATAAGTGACATGAGTCATATATTACCATTATTACAAATCATATTCAGCTGTTTATGTCACGATCTTCATAATAGTACAATAACGTCATTTCTGCGGGCAATATAGTGAAATATTGGACCAAGGGCCGGCCCTTGGTCCAATATTTCACTATATTGCCCGCAGAAATGACGTTATTACCATTATTACCACCGTTAATGCCCAGGGCTGAAATAGCAAATTTGAAATAGAAAATCTTACGCACTGAACGATATCACTTTTCCCGGGAAACATAGCCGGGCGAATAATATCATTATTGCCCGACTAAAGTCATTAACGCCCGACACAATATTGCTCACGTCAATATTGCAATTTAAATGCCTTCTCAACTAGTACTAAAACCCCTAGAACAGGCCCTGCAAGGTGGTAATAATACGATTTCATCTATTATAGCTTACAAAACTCAAATCCGGTTGAAAAACATTTCAATTTTGGATCACAAGCGATATGAAATGATTCGGTTTTACATATATGAACGAGGTTCGCGTAACTGTCTATCAATTTTTGGCGTATCCGCAAATTCAAAATACATTATTATGGCTTGAGTAGAACATATTAAGTGGTTTACAATGCTTAAATGGCTTTGTATGATCGTATGTAGGTTACATTTATATACACCAAGGTTGTTGCGCAATGTAGAGCATGTCCTAACGAAGAAAAGAAACAAATTACTAAATTTTATGAAGTTTTGAATTTCAAACTCGACAGTTTTTCGTTTATTTCATGTTATCCATGGGCGTCGATTTGCAAAGACTACGTTCAAAATAAACATTACTGAATGCATCACCGAATGCGACGCTTACATAAATCTTTCATGCTTTTATTGATACGCAGTAGTAGAACATAATGCACCTACCTTAGCTTTCTGTTTCATCGTGGCCATTTTATTGGATAAATCAGTGATCGTATACGACTAACCTCGTTTTCAGAGGTGGCGTATCTGTCATGCTATAACACCGTGAACAGGTCTTACTCTATTAATCGGCTAGTACAGCAGACGGCTCATATTTCTACGTAGCATTTCATTCAGACCAATAGTGGGAGTGTAGATCACGCAGTTTCGTTGCGTACTTCACTTGAAATTAGTAATTTTAAATATTGACTACTTCACTTAGCTTGGTGGATGTAGAACATTGCTTAATATTCTTTTAATTTTCACACCAGACATGCTTGGTTGACACGTCAACAAAGTAAAGTTCAAGGGTCAATGCGTTATTTCGTGATAACTACAACGCCTTCCCGGAAGTCAACATTGATGAAAAATGAAAAAGTCGGAAAAGCATTTACGCTAATTTCTATCAAATGCTATGTTTATGCATCATCATCGACGCAACAAAGGTAATATGGTTTCATTAAGATTCGGGTTCTAACCTTTAGAAGGTAAGTCAGACTTCCACACGTCAGCTTACTCTTATATTTAGCATGTTAGCGACGCAGTTGGGCCTTGAAAAAAGTAGTAATAGGGTGATTTTTGAATAGTCTTAAATATTTTAATATGGCCTTTGCTAATTCATAAACATGCATTCTAAATCATGGACATCGACACACGATCAGTTGGCCTGATTTACCTTGTTGGATTTTCATTGTATGATATTAAATGTTACAATATATGAACTTGAAATAAAAAAGTTGGCCTGACCATTCTTCCATATTTTAAATGGATTAACCTTTGGTCAACCTCTGTTCCTAGTACAGGCTAATGGGTTGGTTACCAACAAATGCACACCCTAAATAAAATATATTGCACTTTTCTCAAATAACCTGTTTACGGACTAAAAATCATGCAAGGCCTTATAATATTCTGTCTGCACTAAAATTTCATAATTTTCAGAAAATATAATTAAAAAGTAGTGTTCCATTACCGGGAATCGAACCCGGGCCGCCTGGGTGAAAGCCAGGAATCCTAACCACTAGACCATAATGGACTTACTGCAAGGTATGGTTTATAACATTGTACATGACTGCAGTACAGTACATCCAATATGACTTCTCAGAGACAGAAATCAGATATTTTCAACACATATTATTAACACTTGTCCTTATGGCAGTTTAATGGTATGTGATTGATTATCACTTGAAAAGATGCTTATTATTCAGGGGTCTTCTCAAGATGACAAACTTATTTTAATGAGGGATAACCATATATGCACTGCATTTCATAACAATCTTTATCCTAGATAACAATGTTAGATTTTTAATCTAATGTTACTTTTGTTCAGTAAAATGTACTATTAAACCTAATAATATAAAAATATTATTTCCATTTAGCCTGAGGGAATTATTGTGACTTTTCTATATCACATACTTATATCCGAGACTATAACATAATATATCGCTGGTGAATTTAAAGATCTGGCCAAGATTAAATTAATACATGAATTGTGTATTTGTATTGTCTATTAAAATAGTGTACAGTCCCTATGTCCATAGAATAGAAGATAACTGAATAAATTATTAACAGCCTTATATACAATAATGAGATATAGTAATCTTGCTTCCCCCTCAACATTTGATGCTGTATAGTATACTAATAAAGAGTATGGGCAAACCCTACAACAGTGCCAAACACATGATATAAAGTTAACTACAAAGTACCTGAGTTTTACGAGTGGTCTTACAAAAAGTTCCAAAGGTATTAACATGCAAAATGTCACCACCTGTCATTTGTTACAGAGGCTGACCACCAAACAACATCCACGAAAAAGTTGGAGACTATAACAATATGTCACTTCTGGTGGTGACATCTGGTGACATAATAATAAAAAAACAGGCAAAATATATCACAACCATTATCATGCTTAATAATAATACAAAGTTAACATACCGGTGGAGTGATATGCTCATTCTTTTCATTGATAAATACTGCTGCATACCAGTTGCCTGGCAATGGATTGTTCACCAAGTATAATATCAGTGAGTCACTAGGGAAACTAATAAACTGCATGTCAGCGCGTTCTAAGTAAAAATCATCAGGAAATGTCTCGTTCTGTGGATTGATCACTGGATAACTCCCATGTTGAATAACCCTGCAATTAATATTTTATAGAACATGAACATGTAATTTTTCTCTGTTAAGGAGGGGAATCATCAATATAATGTATTTTCTACAATAGAAAACATTCACAAATGGTACATTGAAAAATGTGTAAGTAACATAAATACTCTTTATGAATTTGAAACCTTATCTTTGTACCATACCTGTAAATAATTAATTGAAATAAATGTTTAAAAACAATAATAAAAAAACAATAGAAAACAGTACCTTGTAAGATGTGTTTTTTTCATTTAAGGTAGATCCACATGATACAAATTTCTATGTAATTTTTGATACAATATCTAACTATAATTGATGAAATGCTTTTATATGCTTTTAAATGTTAAAATGACTTTTGCCAAGTTTTGATAAAAGTGTGCAACTATATTAAACACACCTAAAATAAATAGTGAACAAGAACAAGTACATTTACAAGCCAAGATTCCACCTTTTCGGCCTTTTCCTAGTATAAGGCATAGGTGGCAACCCCCTCAGAAGAGCAGGCAAAAACACTCATAATGAAAACATAACAGGTGATTTAATACTCAAAACTATATATCTTAAAATGAAATTCACACATAGCTAGGAAAGGTGCGTTCAATTCCAACCAATCAGAACAGAGTATTCACATAATGAACAGTGTGTGAAATATCAATAATGCATTTTTTGTGTACAGTTGCTAAGTGATTGAGTTTTCCAATACTTGACCCTTGCAAAAAAAAGTTTTATTGAAAATATGTTCTTTTAGTTACTGATTTTGTATCTTTTAGGTGATTTATAGAAAATATTTTGCAATGTGTGAAAAGAATTTAAGCCCAAGATTCAAAGTATTGTGGCTGCTTCATTCCACCCAGATGTTGTTTCCGAAACTTTGCATTTCCCCCGGCAAGGTCATGCAAAGATTTGGAAACAACATCTTCCTGGAATGGTTCAGCACACAATGCACTGAGTCCAAGGCTTAAATCCTTAAACAATATGAAGAGATGATAAATTATTATGGTTATTCTCATCTTCTATTATTCTGAAATGTTGTTGGTAATAAAATGATCATAGGTCCAGTTATATGAGAATAAAAAAATATACTAGGTGACGTAAAATGGGTTCGATCCATCCACATAGTCACAATTATCTAATCAACAATGGTTCGATGCTAAAATGATATAGTCGAATACTTACATTTGAATTGATTTTGTTTCACATTCTTTGAAGTTCTTACGACCAGATATTCTCCAGGAAACAACAGCAGCTAGGTCTGGTACATTAAACTTTGCCATGGATACACTACTGTATGCTTCATAGAATCCAACTCCCCTAGGATTGTAAGATGTTGTTTGCTCAACCACACCTTTATAATAATAATCAAAGCTACCTGACATAATCTCAACAGGACCAGCTGTCCCAAATTCATAGGTTCTTAGCCAGGGTTGTTTTATATGCTCCATGTGGTACCATGAAGTCCTATCAGAAGACTCAGTGAGATCTCATGAAGCAAAATTCAATGAATCATTCATCAAAGTCAAAAAACAAAAGGTCCCTCTTTTCAAAGCCCACATATACAAAGAATTATGTGTCAGCTTACATGCATCAGTTTTTACATTTTCTTGAAAACTCAGGGGTGCGAGTGAACTCTTTCCCCAAGCAAAATTTTGTCACAATCATACAGATTTTCACCATTCTGAGCTGAGCAGTTTTCCAATATTTAGAGCCAAAATGGTCAAATGTAAACCCCCGGTATACTTTAAAAAATGAATCTCTCCTGGCAAAAGCTGGCTACAGGCCTGGAACCTGAATGCACAGGCTTCGATTCCTGCATGAAGTTTAGCACATTCTCTTCCAAATCTGTAGCTGGCTGAATTGCTACACTTTGCTTGGCCATTGTCCATTCCCCAGTAAACGGGGATGCCCGACTCTAATTAGATAATTCTGTGCAAAACCTCCAATTCGCACCAGTCTAGTCTGTTGGATACAGACTAAGGAGGCCCTAGAACATTACAATATTACACTGTTCAACTTGGATTTTGGTTTTACAGATGATAAGATACATGTAACTGATATGCGGTGATGCTGTAACGTTATGAGAGTTTATAATGGAGAGCTAAGATGTCCGGTTACCACATTTTTAAAACAAACATGACTGTTATCCTACTGTATCTTAAATTTCTAGTTATCTTCCCTTAAGCGATGGAAGATACATGTATGGTTGAACTGTGGCGCCCACACATGATGTTTAAAAAATTATCATACTCCATACACTAGCTCCAATGTCATACAAGCCTGATTTGGTTCAAATATCAAAGCAAAATATCAACTATAATGTAGTTTATTCGATCATGGGCTATCAAGTCTGTTGAAAGCACATGATACATCTTTACAGTGGGGGACAAAAATAAAACTCAACGTTCACAAGTTGTCACAATGAGCTAATTTCCAGGTTTCGTGTCTCAAACTCTCCCAAGCGGTAGAAAAATAATTCCCGTTCACTAAAGTAGCTCAATAAATGAATCCAAAGCTTCATACCTGCAAATAATGGATAAATCCCTACCAAATCGAATGAATGTTTTCATGAATCGCCATGTTTGTTATCCAAGGACGGTTGACTCCCAGCATGCAACATCAGTTAACCGTATTTACTCATGACAGGTTTCAAAATGGCGGGACAGCATGTTGAAAGCTGGCACGTGTCATGTTGCATTCTGGGAGCTAATCCTCCGTTCCGGCGCAATCGGGCGACAAAATCACCTCAATATTTGAAGAGTCGGCATAACATGTGAATATCCACTTCAACTTTTGAAGTTCTTATTTGTTAGTGCTGTCCCTAGGTCTGATTTCGTTACTCGGCTCGGAAAAAAGGTTTGTGGGTATCATTTTGTTCCAGACACTCTCTAGAATATATTCATCTTGGTTGGAGTAAAAATGTGTGGTAAACGAATTTGCTATGGGCAGTTAAAGAGGCGCCATCTATTCATTTTCAAACAGGGGGTAGGGGTATAAAATAATTTTTTAACACATTTTAATAGTAAAATGACATTGAAATACTAATAAAATCTTATCAAAAACATTATTTACAATCAGTATGAATTTTCTTGTGTGGATTAGGGTGAAAATAAGGGCGTATCTTGAAATTCACTACAGGGGCGCCACCTATTTTGGTACTTCTACCATGTGTAATAACTTATTTTAGATTCGTTAAGGTACGAAATGTACTGAAAAAATTCATTCTGAAGGACCTATATATGTTCATACCACATACTTAAAATTAGATCAATAGCTTATGTACCGGCGGAGAAAAAAATTATTGAAATTTAAAATTGTGGTATCATGCAGGATAGGGGTGACCATATCTCACATTATTAACTTCCAAAATATGGAGCATATGTATCTCAAATGTGCTCAAAATGTTGTATGTACTCTTGCTTTGTCATAATATTACTAATAAGAAGTAGAAAAATGATTGTACATTTTAGAAATTATTAATTCTCATTTTGGCTTCTGACGTCCCAGGGGTGACCATATTTCACCTTTATAACTTCCAAAATATGGAGCATATGTATCTCAAATGTGGTCAAAATGGTGTATGTACTCTTGCTTTGTCATAATATTAGTAATAAGAAGTAAGAAAATGATTGTACATTTAAAAAAATATTAATTCTCATTTTGGCTTCTGACGTCCCAGGGGTGACCATATGTCACCTTAATAACTTCCAAAATATTGAGCATATGTATCTCAAATGTGCTCAAAATGGTGTATGTACTCTTGCTTTGTCATAATATTAGTAATAAGAAGTAGAAAAATGATTGTACATTTTAGAAATTATTAATTCTCATTTTGGCTTCTGACGTCCCAGGGGTGACCATATCTCACCTTGATAACTTCCAAAATATGGAGCATATGTATCTCAAATGTACTCAAAATGGTGTATGTACTCTTGCTTTGTCATAATATTATACTCATAAGATGTAGGAATATGATTATACATTTAAAAAATTTTAATTTTAGCTTCTTACGTTCCTGGGTAATCATATCGCAACATATAATAACAATAATAACTTCTAAGATATGTAACATATACACCTCAAATATTCTCAGAAAAGTCTTGTCTTTCATATTACTAATGAAATGTAGAAAAATGATTGCATTTTTTTTTAAATTTCTCATTTAGCCTCTGGTGTCCCACCTTGATAACTCTCACAATATGCAACTTATGCATCTCAAATGTGTGCTCAAAATGGTATAAATATAGTCTTGTTTTGTCATATTTATTTAGAATTGTAAAATCAACAGTTCAGAATCAACGGATTTTGACTGTCTCCTCTACAGCTACATATAATTCAGGGCAAATAATATCTGCTTTCAAATATTTGCATCTGCTCCCCTTACAGGTACAATGGATGAGATTATTCCCTTGCATAACTTGGACCAAACATCTTTTGTAATCCATACAGGAATCCTTTTAGCCTATCAATAGTGGGAGTACTTTACTCCATTTGTGAAGTAATGGCAAATGTTGATAAGGTGTTAATATGTTATCCTGTGGCCTGCAATATATACACCTTGGATCATACACTGAATTAAGGGATTTTGAGTACGTAAAATACGGGAAAAGGAGCTCTTTGTAATGATAAATCTTTCTAGCCACATTCTCTAGTTTTCATGTTTGTCATACAACATACATTGATTGTATTGAAATATTTATGATTGTGATGTCCCGCACTTCTAGGGTCCCAGAGAAGAACTTAGCTTTTGGAACACTTGCATTACTCTTGGCATGATAGGCCATACAGTGAATACAATTGTTGAGATGGGGCAAGAACAATATAGCACATTCGACAAAAGGCAACTTGAAAACCTAACGGTACCATTTGATAGAACCATATCCAGGAACAAAGTTCTTCAGTTTATTAGGCCTCCAAAACCTCCATTCATAACAGATTATGGAAAACTATAGTTCCTCCATTAAATTAAATTTTGAATGACCATGCCAAAAATTAGATCATTAACATGCTAAAACACAACAGTGAAAATATGCAGAACATGAACATAAATGATTGTGCAAATTAAGTAATATTTCTTCCCCACATATAAAACATAGAAATGGAACAAGGGAGAAGGTATATCATACTAATTCACTTGTAAATTTCCTAAGATGTGCCAAGAACAAGAGTGATCTGTTTTCCTTCCAGACATCAAAACTTAATGCTAAAAACACTGAAAGTGTCAATTTGGATTGCGTACTGAAACAGGGTTCGTACATACCTGGAAATGTCAGGGAAATTGATTTATTTTTCCAGGTGCTGGAAATGTCAGGGAATTTTAAAATTGGGTCAAAAAGGGCCACAAATGTCAGGGAATTTTGAAACAGTAGATGTGTCAGGGAAATGTCAGGGAATTTTGTATCAATGTTGAAAGAATAATGTTCCAGCAAAATACATTTTAGGGCTATGACAGGATATAAGTGAAATCCAAAATCATCTAGTTGTTTCAACAAATTGCAAATCTTTTCATTAGGGTTGGTTGAATGACATTAGATCTGGTATTGTCTTTTTGTAAGAACAGTGTGAACATTACACTGAAACCGAACAATAAAAATAATGTATAGATGATTTATTACAATTATGCTTTTTTTTATGTAGTAAGCTTAGTCTTAGGCCATTCAAAGTTAATTACTGGTATATATTTCATGGTTTGATGAGGGGTTAATCTGAGGGGGGGAGGTGAAAAACAAAAAAAATTCTGGGAGCTCTTTACAATGTAAAATTGTATTTATATTAAGAAGCTGTCTGTTCGACAGTCCGATCTTACGTCAGTCTTTTCAACTTTCAGGGACTTTGTCAATTTTAAAAACCTTAGCACATGGAAGTAGGCAACCAAAATGTGTGTGGGGTACTATTAACAGTTTTTGAATTTGGTCCAAATTTTTCTTCTTGTAAAGATGAACCCAGCATTTTACTTTGGCTCAAATTTTGTATGATGTAGCCTTAGGGACAGAAGGACCTGCTCAAGAAGAAATATTCAAGATGGTCTCTGAATTCAAAATTGCCACCATTTTTATGAAATTTTTGATAATTTAAAGAAATTTGATTCATGATAACACAAAATACTGATTATTTGATTTGGTATCATAGGCCTGAGCCTTTTCGTGATCTGGTGATGCTACTTGAGAAGGAATTTCTAATATGGTGTCAATTGTTTTGGTGTAATTTTCCCAAAAGGGAGAAGACAATAGTAATGCCAGGTTATTGCTATCATATAATGTTCACAATGATAGTATTCAATAGAAATATGTTTCATTAGGTGGGAATTGCCCCTCAAGTGAGTTGCTATTTTTCTAGTAGGATTTAGATCAAAATTTCAAAAGTTTCAGTTGTCATTTGGATTCATTACAAAATATTAACAAATAATAGTTTGAAATGCTTAGAATGCACCATATACAATTGTCAATATTGAAAAATTTCCGGGGGTGAACCCCCGTACCCCCCCTTCTGGTTTTCCTTCGCTCGCAGTGATGCAAACCCCAAAAGATGCACCTCCTTGATACTTGTTGGCTATGCCCCATGTACATGTATGTATGTACCTTTGGCCTTATGCAATGTAAAATATGTAATATTAAAAATAAAATGTATCAGGAATAAATTGGTGAATAAGACTGCCTGTACAAGTAGTTAAGTCATGAGAAATGGTACTGAAGGAGAAACCCCAAATGTTTCATAATAAGTCTTTTTGTCTTGAATAATACAGTTGTTTGAGACTTTTTAGAGGGCGCGCGAGGGAAATTAGATCTGGAAATTTCCTTTTTTGCCTGGAAATGTCAGGGAATTGTCAGGGAAATTCATATTGAAAAAGGTGTACGAACCCTGTGAAAGAGGAAATCTTATCAGTATCTACCTTCCCATGATATTATTGCAGAATATGGCCATGGCAAAACTTTAGCCCTTTCCTTATGCAATCATTGCATGTGATGCCATATCTGAATTCTAATACTGTTCTAAATCATCCGATTTCCGATCTGGATTTCTTCTGATACATGTACCATAGAATGAGAGACATTACAGTTATAAAGTCATTTGTAATTCTGATATATGACAAAACATGCAAACGAGAGAATGTCAATCGGGATTAGAAGTGACTTATCGCCCTTGTAATTTAGCAGTGGGACAGTTTGGTGTATGTTTGGGCATAAATGCGCCTTTAAGGCCTAATTTTTCAGGATATTTTCAAAATTTCGGGTCAGATTTGGGGTTAAGGGGCCAATTTTGGTAAAAGAGGCTAGGCTACTCACACTACTGATAGGCTACCAGTATACAAAAGATGTTGCATCCAAGGCATGCAAAAGACTTATCGTCCATTGTTCCTGTAATATAAGGAGTGTTTGGGGAGAAGATGCAAATATTTGAAAGTAGATCTTATTGTCTCTGGGCTATATGTAGCTGCATCCTTCAGGGGAGACAGTCAAATCCATAAATTCTGAACTTCTGATTTTATGAATCTCAATAAATATGACAAAACAAGACTATATTTATACCATTTTGGGCATGCATTTGAGATGCATATGTTGCATACTGTGAGAGTTATATCAAGGTGAGATATAGTTGCCCCTGGGATGTCAGATTCGGAAGCTAAAATGAAAATTTCAATTCAAAAAAGGTGTAATAATTTTTTCTACATCTCATGAATAATATTATGACAAAGCAAGACCATATGCCCCATTTTTGGTATATTTGAGTTGTATATGTTACATAATTTTAGAAGTTATTGAGGGACGTCAGAAGCTAAAATTAAAATTAACATTTTTTAAATGTATAATCATATTCTTACATCTTATTAGTATAATATTATGACAAAGCAAGAGTACATACACCATTTTGAGTACATTTTGAGATACATATGCTCCATATTTTGGAAGTTATTAAGGTGAGATATGGTCACCCCTGGGACGTCAGAAGCCAAAATGAGAATTAATATTTTTTTAAATGTACAATTATTTTCTTACTTCTTATTACTAATATTATGACAAAGCAAGAGTACATACACCATTTTGACCACATTTGAGATACATATGCTCCATATTTTGGAAGTTATAAAGGTGAGATATGGTCACCCCTGGGACGTCAGAAGCCAAAATGAGAATTAATAATTTCTAAAATGTACAATCATTTTTCTACTTCTTATTAGTAATATTATGACAAAGCAAGAGTACATACAACATTTTGAGCACATTTGAGATACATATGCTCCATATTTTGGAAGTTAATAATGTGAGATATGGTCACCCCTATCCTGCATGATACCACAATTTTAAATTTCAATAATTTTTTTCTCCGCCGGTACATAAGCTATTGATCTAATTTTAAGTATGTGGTATGAACATATATAGGTCCTTCAGAATGAATTTTTTCAGTACATTTCGTACCTTAACGAATCTAAAATAAGTTATTACACGTGGTAGAAGTACCAAAATAGGTGGCGCCCCTGTAGTGAATTTCAAAATACGCCCTTATTTTCACCCTAATCCACACAAGAAAATTCATACTGATTGTAAATAATGTTTTTGATAAGATTTTATTAGTATTTCAATGTCATTTTACTATTAAAATGTGTTAAAAAATTATTTTATACCCCTACCCCCTGTTTGAAAATGAATAGATGGCGCCTCTTTAACTGCCCATAGCAAATTCGTTTACCACACATTTTTACTCCACCCAAGATGAATTTATTCTAGAGAGTGTCTGGAACAAAATGATACCCACAAACCTTTTTTCCGAGCCGAGTAACGAAATCAGACCTAGGGACAGCACTATGTCATTAGGGACACAAATTCACTATATTTGGACTTACTACGATGGAGAAAATGGAGCACTGAATACACTGAGGTAAGAATTTATTACATGTGCGACTGCATGTAATTTTCATAGCTTTTGCATTTCTTTATGATCCCCACTGTAGATGTGAATGTTGCGACCGTTACCATCGTTTGATACTGACCAGTGTATAATAGATTTCCCACATACAAACGACACAGACTCTGTCAATGCATGGCCCCATGGTCAATGCTTAATATATTTGCACATAGCCATCTTTAGATTGATCTAAATGGTGGCTATGTGCAAATGGGCTAGACTTTATTTTGATTTTCTATGTGAAATTCAGTGTGAAACATTTCCGTGATTTTCTTACATCCATTTGAAAGTTGATTATGTATCTTTCTGTCATATAAAAAGCATAAAATGGTCATAAAGCTACCGAGCCAAGACTTACCTTCTGACAGGTCCACATATTGTATAATTATTAGACAAATTATGTAAACAAACGGCTCCGTTTTTTTCCAAAAGGCCATCTTGGGATTTCCCCTGATATGTATAATTTGAAATCGAGGCTATGGGGGAAATCCGTAAAACAAAAAAATACATAAATATTCAACAATACATAAACTTTTCATATTCAATGCACATTCATTGATACATTAAGAAAGAGGCTATAACATGATCATATTGAACATCTCCTGCAATGTTTATTAGCTGTCTCAGAGGTCAAATTATAAACTCATATAGAGTCAGCTGAATGGTTTTCTGCTACCCGACCTTGACCTTTTGTACCGGTGAAAGTACGATGGCGCCTGTCGATAAAATGCTTGGTGATTATACTCGATTTTTCGCAATATTCGGTGCTGTATCAGCCTCCTATGTTGCCCTCAAGGTAGTCTCTGCAATCCTGAGTGTCTTCAAGAATCATGTTCTCGCGGGTCCGCTGGGATTGTCTACGAATCTCAAAAAGTTTGGATCATGGGCAGGTAAAAATTCCCCATCACGTCTCATTTTCTAGTCCAACAACATTAGACCTAGCCTGGGCCTCGTTTCTTATCTGACATGTCTTATGGCCCCGGCTAGGTCTAACTTCCATGATGATTTTGCCCTTGTTGCGATCATTTAATCGTTCAGCAGGTTTCGACATGCGGAACTAATTAAACTCCGAAAACATGGTAATATTACATAAAGAATGTGATTCAAGCATGCATACATACCTTATAAATACATACACACCATCCCGTACCCCCCTTAGACCATATTGATGCATAATTACGAAAATATTGGAGACAGGTTTGGAATTTTACGAAAATATCGGTCAGCTCCGGCATGGGCTTTCAACTAGAAGGGTATGCAACTCTATGTAATAACATGAGACCTTCAAAATGAGCAATGACATGCTTCCCTTTTATGGCAATATTTCAAAAAGTATTAGATAAATGTATATGTTTTAGTATTAATTTGAATAAAAATCAATTTTTAATATGATTTAAGCATAAAATATATTCAATATCATATAAAAGTAAACAAAAGAGACCAATAAGAATAAGAGTTATCAAGATGTTCTCTTTGAGTATTGCATTGTGGGTAATTATTCAAGAACACATTCCACTAAAAACATAATTTGTGGGAGAATGTTCACTTTCTGTATTGTCATAATTATGATGAATTCCAATTTTTATTAAATTATCAAGATGTATGTAGAAGATCATGTTTTTATTTTTGAGTTATTTCTTTTAATCATCAATAAAAAGTACAAAATAAGATTTTCTTGGAATGTGTACATTCTCCAATTTTGAAAACCCATGGCAATGTTTATGTATGAAATATGGGAAGTTGCCTACCCTTCTAGTTGAAAGCCCATGGCTCCGGTAACATCGAAATTGCAAATCGTATCAGGAATTAACCGTCATTGCGACACTGCATCAACGAACAGTAGGTTTGCAATTAATAACGATTTTGTGTGTATACAAGCGCTATATAAATCAATCAAAGATACCTGCTATCCTCAAAAATGGCTATTTTATCCCGAGTAATCGCGTGATAATTATCAATCTATTTGACAACAATTTCGTTTCAATAGTTTAAATTTTAACCCGGGACGAACAGACACAATGAAGGACATGCGGAAATGTCATTTTAGAGATTGGTAAGTTTAACCTCATTTTACTTGTATAAATGACCATTTAATACAATAATATTGTGTTGAATCGCTTGATGTTATGTGTTTTTATATTGTTGTCAAGTATCAGTTGCATGTTATCGCGGAAAAATGGTTTCGGTGGATCCAAAACTTGCATCAATGGAAAGAATAGTAAAGAGGTTAAACTCAATAATGGCCCCAAGAAAATTCTTAATAATAAATAACGCCGTTATTGAGTTTAACGACGTTGAACTACTCATTTTCATGACAAGATTTTAGTAACAAAAATAAACTCTTACAAAACAACAGTGTAAACCACATCAGCGATATAACAAAGTGAAAACGAGCACCAGAGACTATAAAAGGTGGCATTAAAACACCGCAAATTGTTACTGATGTGAACACAGGTTTTCTCCAATTAGCCGGCGCGCTGGAATTGAATGTAGATCTAACTAGTGTTGTCGCGATTAATCGATACATGGCGATATACATCGCTAAAGCTGATTCTGGCGATGCATCGATGTCTGAAACAAAACATCGATGTTTTTGAGAAAAATTAATTTGCTAAAAATCACCCTTTCTTATCTTATTTTGACGCAAATCGCATACCTTTCTCATGTCTTATTTCATTTTCCAATGTTTTCTGATATTCTTTTGCTTTAAAACTGTTTTAGCTAGTCGAAATGAACCATTAATCTAAAAAAAATTACTTTCATTTCACCGTTACTAGAAGTTCCCGGATGTACCAGCGTACTCTTATTAATTTCTTCTGTTTGGTATTTTAGTGCATTAGCTTTCGGTATTTCAGTGCACTTTTCTCTGATTTTTTCTCGATGTACATCGCGATGTGCATCGATGTTTACTACTGAAAATTGCCGATGCATCGATGTACGATTATGGCACATCGCGACAACACTAGATCTAACCTGAGTTAGTCTCAGATCTAACTTACCTTTTTCATGACGCATGGTTAGTCTATATCCAGACTAGAATTTCAGACTAGAGGATATTGTCTAGACGCATGGTAGCCTTTGTAGAAGGCTTTAGCATTTGTTGATTTTTAGAAATATCAACAAATGCTAAAGCCTAGCTTCTACAAGGCTAGATGCATGGTGACAATAAGTCATAGGGGAAATGGTCGTAATTATCGCACGGTCCTAATTATCGCACGATTGTCCTAAATAGCTAAAATATGCACCCACCATCTTATAAACCAGTGTTACGAAAATCAGTTACACCATTACTCCCAATCTTCATGATTTATTCATATATTTAGAAATATCTCTTCATTTTTTAAGAATTTTTTACTCCCGCTATTGTCATAAATGCTATTGCACAAGAAGTGAAATTTGTCTGACAAAGTTTGACCCCCCTCCAAGTAAAGACAGAAAAGTAAGTGTATAATGTATATTTTGTTGATATTTTACACTAAAACTGATAGAAAATGATTATAGCATATGTATGTATCTGTTATAAACAGAGAAATATATACAGTATCGTGAAATGACATCTAAAACATAACTGTGCGATAATTAGGATCACCGCACATGCGAGTCTAAGGGGTCTTAAGGTGTTAGTGTTCTGAGATTTAGAAATGTCAAACACTACTTAAATTTTAGAAGAAAGGTTTATCTTTCATCTCATATTCTCAAAGTAAGTTGAAGTTATCATATTTGAAATCGTCAGTAGTTTTCCAGAGTACCCGTGCGGTGATAGGACCATTTCCCCTATATTTGTTATGTAATTTGCATTCGTTCAACTTAGATTCTTAAGGTACTGTGGTACTTAACAGCAAATTACAACAGGAATATGTTGCATTTTTAGACATTTTTTGAACTTAGAGTTCTGTTTTGACCTGTTTTGACCTTTGACCTAGTCAATTTAACTAGTTCCACATATCATTTACATGACCAGGATCACAATGTACATGGTCAGAATGACCCTTAACATGATGAAATAACTTTTTCGGCCCTCTGAAAATGTGTCTGAAAAATAGCTAAATAATTAACCAACAGAAAGTATTACTTGATGATTTCAAAGAATGTTTTTAAAAGATGAATAGAAAATTATCGGAATAATTTAAAAATGATAATCTATATTTATTTCTCAAATTCATCAAGCTTTAGTTTGTTTATGTCATCCGAGAAGTAGTTGATTTTATATACACTTTTGATATAGATATGAGTCCTAATACCTAATCGTATATCCAGTTGGAATATATAATTAGAAATTCAAGACTAATACAATCTACCCAACTATTATTTATTTTTTATTCAAACAGTAAACCAAAATTTGTTACAATCAGAGGATGTTCATTGGATACAATCTGTTAAGTTTCTCTATGTTTAAATTTTGTTTCAATTGTTTATCATTTGTATTTCCAGTTGTAACAGGAGCCACAGATGGTATTGGGAAGGCATATGCTCAACAGGTGAAAATTTATTTCAGCCTTCACAGATCTTTCAATGATATATGAGGGAAATTTATTATAAATGATAATTTTAATGTTGGAATTAGTCAAACAGCAGGTAAAGATATAGAGGTTATTTAATGGGAGGGATGGAATATGGATTTTATTCCGAGGGAAAATATGATATTGGCCAAGGAAAATATCATATTGACCGAGGGCGATAGCCCGAGTGTCATTCAATATGATATTTTCTGAGGCCAATATCATATTTTCTCAAGGAATAAATCCATATTCCATCACGACCATCAATAACCTATTTATTTCATAATATTTTAATATTTAATATTTGTCACAGTAATAGACCTTTGTCACAGTAATAGACGTAAACTAGATGATAATAATTTCAATAATTTCAATTTTCCAAACGATTTTTTACTTCCTGTAGAGATATGCTAGACGAAAAGCGTAAAACTCAAGAGAAATTACCGGGAATATTTCTGATACGGGATCTGATACGGGATTTTTGCTGATACGGGATCCAATACGGGATCTGATACGGGATTTTGGCTGATACGGGATCTGATACGGGATTTTTCAAATAACACTTTTATTCCCTGTTATTTTCCCAGGGAAAACATGTTATTATGGAATAAAACACATTATCTCCTCGTATGTTTTAAAAAAATATTATCCTACACTTACTGTACTAAGTATATAATAACATTAAATTAAAGATAAACTTGATCCAACTATATCAAATTTATTAATAAAGAAATATGTGCATATGTGTACAATATGTGCATATGTGGAAAAACAATATTCAGAGGATATTGCAACGATAATTACGATATACTCCGCTTGTTGATTTTTGTGAAATTTATTTTTCAATGATATTATCCATTTAGTACACTAATTGAACGATAATAAGAATATCCTATGATCTTTCAGAATATCATTTTAATCTACTCGGAGATATTGATATCTGCACTCGTTCACTTCGCTCTTCGTGCAGATATCAATATTACCTTGCAGATAAAAATGGTATTTCTCAAATTCGTAGGATATATCCTATAATTATTCTCTCTGTCTTAATCTCTGTTCAACTTTATTTATCTGCAGCTTGCCAAACTTGGATTCAACATTGTACTCATCAGTAGGAATCCTGATAAACTAGCTGATGTTGCACTGGAAATAGGTAAGAAAAGAAATCATCACCAGAATTGATTGAAGTAGTAACTATTACCCAATAAGACCAATGTCATTATATACTTAGAGTCATGGGTATGGTGCATTTACTTTGTACCATTATAGTGCTATAGTATTGTTTTTTTTCAAAAATATAAACCATTATTATTTCCATGCTGTGATACTCGTTCTCTCATTGGTCAATTAGATACCATGTGACTATAAATATATAGAGGTATTCCATGTCTCTCTGCTTAGGAAACGTGTGAAGAGTGTATTCACCGGCAGTGACATCATTTTTAGTGAATACCACTATGTGTATATTCAATTAAAATGACGTCACATCACTTAATTCCTGGGAATTTAGTAAAAAGTATTTTCATCCGATATGACAGACGGTAAAGTTGTATCAGGAAGTCCTCCCAAGAAAAGGTTCAATACTGTATAACAAACGCGGGATAAAGATTTTACAAATGTATTCAAAATGTCAACAACTATTCAAAGCACGAACACGATGGTGAATACACCTTTAGAAATATATACAGATGTTCAACTCCGCAGAATTCAATATTTGTATAATACTTTTAATTGGATTTTGTGTTTTTTCAATTTGAAGTTTAGGTTTCTCAAACTTTTTGAAAATTTTGTTTTTAATTAATCTCATAAAACTGTGAACTATTTCATGCATCAATGTCTTATGTCTTGACATAACATAAGTCCAATTACGATAAAGCCTGTATATCATTCTATTTTAATTTACCATAGACTTCAATGTGAAAAACCTTAAAACCTACCAATCTGAACAATTTTGTCCAGTTTTAATGACATTTGGATTCATGAACATGTTTTTTTTCCTTTTAGAATCCAAAGAGAAAGTGAAGACAAAGAGCATTCCAGTTGACTTCACTGGTGGAGTGGAAATATATGATAAGATAGGACAGGATCTTTCTAACATGGACATAGGAGTGTTAGGTATATACACATAGTAAATTAGCAGGTTTTGGTAAATCTTAGTATTTACAACCTTGTTGAGCTGAGACAGACAACCTTGAGTGACACTTGGCATAACACATTATACCAGGACAAGATGTCTCAATTTTTGTGAGGTTACCTCAAATCATCTAAATTTGAAAATGGATGCAATAGCATGCACTTATCATTTATATATTTTGATGAACTAACAAATAAGGGTGACATATGAATTCCCCGGAATGTGATATTGTAATGACCTTGGGTTAGGAATGACTCAAAAATGTTTTAATAAAAGACTATTTCATCCATCGCTGCCGTGATACTTTTTCTGGATAAAATGTGAAAGTTGTGTTTGGCAATCCCAAAAATTAGGTTGATTTCTGGTAACTTTGTGAACAGTCACTCCACTTTGACACTGTCAGACCTGACCTGTTCTTATGTGTTCAAATAACTAAAAGACATATCTATAAAACAGAATTCTGAATTATGTTGATGTAACACTTGTCGATTAAACCAATTTACAGTAAAACTGCACAAATACAAGTTACTGTCTGGCTATTAAAACATTCAGAGTATGATTTCTTTCTTTCAGTTAACAATGTTGGGATGGCTTATGAGCACCCAGAGTTTTTCTTAGAGATTGAAGGAGGAAATAAGGTAAGAAATCATTGACACAAAAGTTCATTACAGCTTGGTATGGAACATCTAACATCTGTACCTTGAAGTAAAAATAGAGTAGTTTTCCTGGAATCCCAGCCAATTATTGCAATTTGTAATTTACAATTTCAAATAATTTCATGAGAATTAAAATTTCTGAAAACAGGGAAAATGAATTGAAATAACAGTTAAAATTATTGGAAATTAGTACTATAATTTAACATGGAAACTATTGTGAAGTTCTTCAAAATAATAAGTATTGTTTTTAGAGAAAATTGCCTGCTGCTTGGTGATGGTTAAACCCTATAGTATACTATGTACATGTATACTATGTAGTATGTATCATAATCTTATTTATCAAAACTAAATATTTTGTATATGTTTAAAATACAGTATTTTTAATCTTTTCAGAAATTGATAGACCTCATCAACTGTAACATTTACTCTGTAACGTTGGTAAGTGTAACTAAATTTTGGTAATACGCAGTCAGATGTCCAGAAATGAGCCATTTATAGTATAATGGTAACTTCTTGAATGAAAAATAATGTGGAAATTTTTGATACAGGAGAAACTAAGTTTAAAAGAGGAATCAAAAATCATGTAATATGTAGTAGCTGGATTTTCATTTGCATCTACAGAAATTGTTTTCCATCCTGTATTTATTGAATGATTCACATTTCTGAATTTGTGATGCATATCAATTATCTTCACTTTTGTTGATAGATGACGAAAGCAATCATGCCTGGAATGGTTGAACGTCGTAAAGGAGCCATCATCAACATATCATCAGCATCTGCAGTCCACCCTAATCCTCTTATGACAGTCTACTCTGCCACCAAAGTATGTTTACAGCAGTGTACAGTGTGTATGTGATTAGTTTACATCAATGGTGGCTTGTACATGTGTTACAAGGCTCCCCTCATTTATTTAATAATTATTGAAGATATGTAGCATTAAATCCAAAATCCAAGATAAATCAATGATATAGGGTAGGGGGAAAAATCATCTACTTGTTAAGTTAATTCAATATGGCACCTTTATTTTCAGGCTTATATGGACTTCTTCTCAAGAGCACTTCAAGCTGAGTACAAATCTAAAGGGATCATAGTACAGGTATGTGTTTTATCTTTTAAATATGATTAATCTTTTCTGTATACTTTATAAAACAATCAAATTTTTGTTCATTGGAGGAATGTTGATTCATACATTTATTGACTTATAATTTAAATTATAGCTGTCAGATTATCTCAGACAAAAGCCAGCATATAGATAATGAATAGGGGTGAGACGACAACCCGATGAGTCGAGGACTCGCGGGTTTGGGGCTTCGAGTCGAGTCGAATCGAGTCGAAGTTGATGAATCGAATCATTTTGGAGTTGAGAAAAAAATTCGATAAAATAAAAAGATTCAGAAAAATACTGTCAATATGCATGTTTTTACTCGATATTGCGTTGAATATATAAGTTTCAATGACTTGGATATGCTTGTATTAAATTATTATATTGTATGTACACATAAATGAAAGAATATATGTAATAAAATCAGAATAAACTTACGACGAATTGTGTTTGTTTATATTTCCGGCTTTCCACTATTGACGCATTAAAAATACGAACGGTCAAAAGCGATGTTGTTCGCACTTTACGCAACTCGAAACGGATTCGAAACTCGAATCGTCATTTTCTGACTCGAATCAGATTCGACTCGAATCAGATTCGACTCGAATCGGATTTTATCGACTCGTCTCACCCCTAATAATGAATCATATGACCCCTTTTTGATGCTACTGAATGGTTAGCCTAATGTTCTGTTCATTTTTTCATCGAACTTTGAAAAAGTGCTATATTGTCTTTGTCTTGTGCTGATGGTTGTGTGTCTTGATGGATGTGACAACTTAATTTGTTTTTGTATTTTAGAGTGTTCTCCCATCATTTGTTGCTACAAAGCTGAGTAAGATTCGCCGTCCAACATTCTTCGCTCCTGACCCTACCACATATGTCAAGGGTGCTCTGTCTACAGTGGGGGTGGAGTCCCGCACTTTTGGCTGTCTCTCTCATGCCATGCAGGTAAAGTAGATGACTTCATTGCAGCAAAAACACTTCGTGGAACCCGTAGAAAAAAAATTGCAACTTTAAATATTGAGAGAATAATGCATTCATTAATTGATACCAAAACATAACAAATATGTTTACAGATCATCTAGTCCTGGCATCATTAGCTTTCAAATAAAAAAAAAGAGGAAATCAATTGTTAGATATTGGAAATGAAATCTAATACCCCATTAAAAAGTAGATTAAATATCTTTAAAATTAGCAGCTTTACAGAAAAAGAAAAGTGAAAGTGAAACAACAATTATCAGAATTGATTGAGGGACAAGTTGTCATGTAATTTTCATACACATACTGAAGAAATATGGTTTGTAAAGTATATTTCAATCTCAACCAAGAACTCTATTGAGTTCCTTATTCTCTGCTGACATATCTAAGCATTGTACAGTTACTCTCATGTGTATTTGATTTTGCAATATTTCATATAATTAAACTTATCTTAGAAATATCCCTAAGTGAAACCTATTTGATATTTGTAAAAGGAGGACGTAAAGTTAGGCCAATGCATTACCTCCAGGAAAAGCGCGCATAGAGATGATAAAATAAATTTGACTTTGAAACAGTAATTAGATCAGGGGTTTTAAAGATATCCATTACGGGTGACCAAAATGAAGCTGAGTTTTTCCTATGGGAAAATAACATGGGAAATATTTATCCAAGGAATTACTTATTTGGATTTACTTACTCCTTTAAAAGGGTTTAACTGTGTCTCAAAAAGCAACATATTGATGCAACAAAAATTGAAAAAGCAGGGATGGAAGGTGTTGAAAATCAGGACAACATTTCAGGAATAACATGTTGGTGGGTTGTTTGCATCTTCCCTGTCACAAAGTCGATATTATTTTATCATCCCTATGAGTGCTCTTCCTGGAAGTAATGCATTGGCCTAGTATATGCATCTGTTTAGAACCTCAGAAAATAGCCAAAACCCAACATATGACTGTCCAAAATCTGTTGCGATACTTTCCGTCCTCCTTTTGCAAAATACCTGTTTGATGATATATATTTAATATATTTATTTATGTAATATATATTATAAATTGTCATCCTTGATTAAGCTGTAATCCTCATCCTTAATAACTCCAAAATATTTTAAATTCATAATGACATGTAGCTTACACAATTAAGAGACTTTTACATAAACTAATGTATTGAAAAAGATTTTGCAGGCATATGTCAGTGCATATTAAAATCATAACAACGATATAGATATGGTTAAAAACTTTTTCTTTGAGAAAATATTAGACTTGCTTAACACATCACCTTCTTCATAATGTAGATCTAATATTGGCACAGAGAAACTTGCTCATATGTACAAATAATTACACATTCCAGAATTTTGCAAGATATTATGCATTATTTTCCACAAAATTTCTGTAATTTTGCATAGATTCTACAGACATATGTCATGATTTTGAGCTGTCTAACTGTGTCATAATCCTATTGGTCACTTGTTGTTGTTGTTGAATTTCTTGCTGAAATTGTATTTGACTTTTGAAGACATTTTAGTCAAGTATTTTTCAATATTTTATAAATTCCCAGAATTTGCACAGTTCACAAAAAATCTGTATTGTTTAGAAAGTGAAAGATTTCAAACAATGAAGAAAGACAAAATTCTAGAATGTGTGAATAACAAATTTGCCTGTTTCATTCCATGCACACTTGCTCTATTTACAACCAAGAACACTATGCATGCATCCACAAATTTAACATCTTAATATGTTTACCTGATAACTTCTCATACAATCAAACCTGTGAGGAATATAACAAACACAAAATATATAAATCAAATGTTTTTGGTATGGTCAACTACAGTGAATCTGCCTACATTAAGTCAGTATGAGAACATATGTGTACCTAGTTTGAACCATGGGCTTTCATGTTTGAACCTAAATTGCCCCTGAGCAAAGTACAAGCCAGACTTTGAGTGTGTAATGTATGTATCACATCAACAGGTTTTACTGTATACTACTTCAATATTTCCGTACTGTCACAATATATCTTGTCTGACATCAAGCCCTAGCCTCCCTCCCTCCTTCCACTCTTACTATTACCGGTGGAGAGGAGATAGAATGAGGGGGGGCAGGAGCTTAATGCTAGACTACATCACAATTTATTCGCTTTTCGCTTACAGTGGAGTATTGTTTCAACCCTGCCTGAGTGGTTGATAAATATGGTGGCTGTTCCTATGCATATAGGCATACGTAAGAAAGCATTGAAAAAGAAGGCAGCGAAACAAGAATGACCACTAGACCACCTTAAAGTCTGTCTTTGAACTACAATCCCACACAAACAGTATGTGACTGTTTTTTCTTTAGCCACTGCAGGCCCATAGACAACTTTTGCCAAGGGGGGTTCACTTTTCAAAAATAATCCAGGGGGTTCAGTTTGAGGGCAGAAAATCACACGAAGAATTATTAGAATGGTGAAAAACTGCATGATTTTTATAGAATTTCTGCCAGGGGGTTTACCAGAAGCCCCCCCCCCCCACACCGCCTGGCTATGGATCTGCACTGATTAAAATGTTCTGTTTAAAAGAGACTGGGTCAAACGATAGTTAAAGGTGCTACAAAGAATAGAGACAAGTTGAGAATTACAAACATTTTTGCCTGCAACATTCCATGTTATTTTTTACTATAAGTTTACTATAAGTTACTTGGCAATAAGTAGATGTCCCTCTTTTACATTTTAATGAACATTTTAATGGACATTTTTGCCTTCTTTAGTTTCTATTAGGATAGGGCAAATTGTAAGGGAAACAATGACACACATTTTGAAAAGATTAGCTTCACCTTTTTGACCCAGCTTCTACTGAACAAGAATCTATGCAACTAGTAATTATTGAATGCTCTTATAATAATCACAACTTCAAGATAGAAATTCACATATTTTTATGCACATATATTATTAGTGATCTTTAGAAGTTTTCATTTACATCTGTTGCACTCAGTCTATTAATACAATATTAGAACAATAGAATAGAATACTTACATTATCCCTCCATGTAGACCTAGCTCCATGTAATAAACTAAAAAATATAATGGCATGAAATGTAGACAATTTTATAAGTTATAGTGATACACTACTTTTTTTGCAGTCCACTTACATGCTGGAGGAATATATATTTTTATATTAACTCCAATCAGTCTGCCATCAATAACAGACCATAGGTCCAGAATTATAAGCACAGATGGGCTAGTACAAATAATTGTTTATGTTTTGCTTTTTTTCCAGTTCAATTTAGTCTTGTCAAAGATTCCTGAGGCATGGTATTTCAAGTTGGCTTTTGCTGCATTGATGCCTGTGAGGAAAAATGGACTGAAAAGAAAGGAACAGAGGCAGAAAATGGAATAAAATATAAATTTGACAAATGGTTGAATCTAAAAGGATTAAAATTACTTTCCAGACACCTACTTTCCACTAACATTTTAGACTTTGTGAGTGAATTCAAAATTGACATCCAAGATGTTGGTTTGCAATAATTGAATTCACAGTTTGTATTTTTGCAAGATGTACACTTATGCAATGCATCACTACAGTGCAAGTAGATATGATCAAGCTGTTTAATGAAATCATGATTTGATATTTTGAGATCTCAAATAATTGATTTAATTTGTTAAAAAAGTGTGTGTTTCAGTATTATATGTGTCATGATGTTTTATATGATCAAATGTATTTGTGTTTCAAAATCACTGCTGCTTTATTTATTGAGATTTTCTTTCTATGCACATGTGTATATGGAATATCATTTATGTATCATGCATGTCTTGTTGTTGATGAAATGATGTACATGTATGCTCCTTAGCAGACATTTCCAGATCTCTAGACTTTTAAGGAAATAAACGCACAGATAGATAAATGACATTGATTCTAGTTTGATACTTTGTGCTTCTTTGATTTGTAACTTGTCAAAAGCCAACCACAATAATTCTGCCTGACATATATTCAACATATTCTTCCTTGAGGTGAATTGCATGTGGAGTTTGTGGCAATAAATTGCCAATATTTACTTCTTTCAATTGTGAAATGTACTGTTTTTATAAGTACAGGCTTTTTTATAAGCCAAAAATGTATGTAAATTTGAATAAATTGAGTGATTTGTAATTTCTGTTTTGTCAATGTGTGTTAACAAAATATATATTCATTTTACTTTGGTAAAGTACACTTTTGGTTCAGATAAAGGAAGATAGTGATGCCTTAAGATAAAAAGATAATAAAAACTTTGTTGACAGCTAAGAGCACAACCTCAAAAATGGACAAGAGTTTATTTGATACCAGGTATATCAGGACTAGAGGAGAACAAGGAAATATAGTCCTATACCCTTAACAGTACTGCCATCTATATGTGCCAAGTTTATTTTCAATTTCACCCAAATAACCACGACAGTACATGTTATTTCAAAAGGTTTTCCAATGAGGTATTAATAAAATACTCAAATGGTAAATTATTGTTGGAGGGTGGGTTTATCAATCCTACAACATCAGATAGCCTATATTCCTTAAAGGCCCACTTTGCGTGTTTTCAGTTTTTCAAACTGACCACATCAAAGCTTACAATAAATTATCAAAAAATAAGCTTTATATATCAAGTTTTTATCAATGTCATTGTAAGATGGCAAAGTTGTGGTGGATTACTTGATACATTCATTTTTATAGAAGTGTCGTCATCTTTTAAATCAAGAGCAATTTGAAACACGCACTTTATTTAACATGTGCATGCACTACTAATGATTTCTGAACTTCAGTTGATTTTTTCTTTGTGAGTTATTTTTTTCTTGGTTAAATATTAAAGCAAATAAAACTTTGTGTCATATTTGAGCGAGTGTGTAAGTAACATGTTTCAATGATTATTTTTTTCTTTATTCATCTAAATTAAGTATAGTTGGCCTTAAATGGAATAAGTTCCCGATTTTTATATCACCTCCAAAACTGGTGACTTATTGTTATGGTCTCCAACTTTTTTGTGATGGCAGTTGGTGGTCGACATTCTGCATTTGTAACAAATTCATACAACTTTTAGATTATATAGAGATAAACAAAATAACACAGCCACAGCACAACTAAAATTAGAAGTCTAGTTCTAAGAAACAAGTATATATTTCCTGGTCTGGTTCAACTATTCAACATACAGTAATTGTATCCATGAAAGAGTTAGTTTGGCAGACTTTATTACTTGCTAAAGTACAGGGTGAGCCAAAAAAGGTAACCAAGACACCCTGAAAACATCAGAGAGTTGAAACAGGAGATGAGAAGATATCTGTGAGTATGTATTCACTGAGACTAACATAAAATTCAACTGATGCGTTCAAGTTTGCCTCCAGAGAAAAGACTGGCATTTTGAGTATGTTCTGTAAAATGGCCATAAAATTATAATTATTTGGTATAGACCAATGACCAACTTGGTAGAGTGAAAGTATATTTGGCAATTAATATAATTTTAACCCATACTCAATGATTGAGTTATTGACATTTGCTTGGGTTAACAGAGTATTTTTGGCTCACCCTGTAGTTTCAATTTCCAAGGAAATATTAGGCATGGGTGTTCAACCTCTAATATAAATAAGTATACAAAATAAGTAAATAAAAAATCATAAATGTTTCAACTACTCAATCGTTCGTCGTAAAAACTATATGTTCAAACCCTGCAAGGATGTTAACTATAATTCTATAATTTCGTTTCACCAGTGTGATGTTGACATTTAGACAGCACCCATTGAACATGGCGACTACTTCGATTTTTATTCTATTGTACATTTTCTCCATTATCTCCGATGCAAATGGTATTACTCATTGGTTTGTTACAGAGGACGGAAGAACACAAGCCCAGGTTAGTAAAATTCAATTTTGGGCGTGACCTTGAAACGCAATATTAAGATATTCTTCCTTTATTGTGACTATGGAAAATTTCGAGAATTTTTTTTTATTTTTGTCTTGTGAAAAAGTTGAACAAACAAGTTGAAGATTGTTTTCTGAACATTTACATCGAAGTGTTTGGTTAGTAAAATTATTTACTATTTATTGAATTCCCAAGGCCGATTTCACAGACACGTGAACAAGAGTTCATTCCCCTCCCACTCACTTTGTATTACTTGAGCCTATGGAAAGTAATCCCATCCCAGGACTATAGTCCTGGACCAAGCGCAATCTTTTGCCTGTACGATTACAACTTGGGAGAATTATCCGCGCCCCTTATACTAAGATACCTACCTCAATGCATTATAGAACTCAAAATGTAACTTTTAATATATTGGAGATGATGGCGGTTGGATTTAAAAGGGGATTCCCCGTTTGAATGTCCCGGAAGTGGCCGGAAGTACCAATAAATGGAGGAATTCGACGGTTGAAATAAGTTAAATATTACACACAAATATTGCGATCAAAAACGAAAATTTCTTCGTTCTGCCGATAAACCCAGACAATTGTGGATTCAACTACACGAAAAGAATGCTAAAATACCATGGAAACTATTGAAGTAGGTATCTTAAGTGTAAGGGGCGTAGATAATTCTCTCAAGTTGTAATCGTACAGGCAAAAGATTGCACTCGGTCCAGGACTATAGTCCTGGCACGGGATAAATGGAAAGGGTTCGGGCGTGCAGCGTTTTAGTGGATTTTGATTGAACGAGAAACGTGAAATGCAAGTCCTGCAGGCCCATGCAGACATTCATGAAGTTAAGGTGCAGTGGTACTTAATAGGAAATGACCAAAACGGGAAGTGACAAAAAATGTGTCATATTAAGACATTTTTGAACAAAGATAACAGAGTTTTGTTTTGACCTCCAGTCAATTCAAATAGTAATTAGCTATTATTCAGTCTCATTTTCAGCTGGCTGAAAAAGTTATTTCATCATGTTTAGTGTCATTCTGACCATGGACATTGTGATCCTGGTCATGTAAATGATATGTGGAACTATTTGAATTGACTGGAAGTCAAAACAGAACTCTGTTATCTTTGTTTAAAAAAATGCCACATTTTTTGTCACTTCCTGTTTTGTCATTTCCTGTTAAGAACCACTGCACCTTAACTCCGTGCATCATAAAGTCAATAAACATTGCTTCGTGCATCGTATTTTGAATTATGAGACCTCCTTGACACCGTTCAGTCTCGTTATTTCCTGCTACGTTTCCAGAATAAATGAAACTTTGTTCGGCGAGAATACATTTGATCTTACGTTCGCTTTTGTGATACATCTTATTTGTCGACTTTGTAAACTCAAATGTAATAAGTTCCTATTTCTAAACTTTTCTGTTTTTAGCCAATCAGAACACCAGTTACAAAACGCGACAAAGATTAACATAAGAGAGGTGTAATACCATCGGGATATTTTAATATTTTAATTTCTTTTCTTCTATTTTGATTGGTCGAGAATAACGAATAAGTAGAAATTCAACCAATAGCAAGCCAATCTGGCGAATACAAAGATCGACCTGATATACTGAGATATCTGGACTATGTGACCAGCGTTTGGACTTTGCAAGTCTTGCAAGCAAAATGGAGAGTGGTTTCGCTGAGTCTGTGAAACGTGAGCGTAATGATATTTGATCTTCGTGGAACGTGAATGTAATATTTTGATGATCAAGGACGTGAACGTGAAAGTAATTCTGATTAGTGATGTGATTACGTGACAAAACCCCCTTTCCATAGGCTCTTACTTGGAAAAAAGACAGGCTCCTATCTCGGGAAATCTAAGCCTCTACTCTAATTGCTCATATCTCCGTCACTGAGTAGTGTCATGCATTATCTTTTGTCCCAATGCAAGATTAGACATTAAATCATATTTATGGTAACTGTCCAAATCTTAATCAGCATAATTGTGCGAATAACATTGGAAATGTGACGAAAAAGCAATCACTTTTGGAATCACAACAATCACGATATTTAGATATATCTGTGGGGATGCTATGAACTTATTGGAGTAGTCTCGGTATATTTCGCATAGTTTACCGTCGAATATTAGCTTTTTTTTATTTCTAAAAAAAATCGTCGTGATTTTCCCGCCAAAATTCACGTCCAAGGAATGATCATTCGAGTAATCCAGCTGTTAAAAAATCAAAACAGTGTAGGTTTGTAATTCAAAAAATTGAAAAAAACAATTTTTGCCTGTGGCCGATTTAGTTTATCCAATTCCCGGACTTAGGCTATAGTCCTGTGCTCCAATGATAATTCAGGCAGTTCAGGGAGACCGAAGAGATTTTCATTTTACATCGGAAATGTTTCAGCAATTTTTCAAGATGTCGGAAGGGAATCCCCTCGTAATATACCAATAGTCTACATGGAGGAATTTTGCGATTAAAAACTAAAATTTCCTAACCCATACGATTGGGGATTCAACTACATAAAACTAAATAACTTCAAGAATTAGAATTCCTTTTATTCAGTTGAATAAGATTTAGTGTGAAGCCTTGAGATTTTGCTGTATCAGGCAAATATATGTCCTCTATGGTGAAACATATAGGGGATATGCGTCAAACTTCTATGTATGGGGTTACTTCGTCATGGGGCTACTTCACCCACTGCCGATAATTCATATTTCCGTGGGCGGTCATCTTGGATTAAGATCTCGCCCTTTGGAGATTTCGATTTATTTTTAAAATTTGAAATTGGAATTTGAATTGTGAAACTGAAAAATAAGCCAATGTCAAAATAGCTCCATGGTTGAAAAAGTTCATGATGAAGTAACCCCATATGCTGAAGTTTGACACATCTTCCCTTCTTGTTCCAAGACTTATAGTCCTGCGTTTTCACATATACTTTGTCTGTATAAATATACTTTGGGAGTTACATGTATAACTGACAAAAATAGCATACCTTTATCGAGGTCCACAACTTACAGTCGTGGGATCATTGGATCAATGTTGTCTGTTCTGTACACCTAGATTACATACATCAATACATTCTAGAACTCTAAATAATGCTTTTCAGTTGATATTAATGCAGGAATCAAATTTTTTCTTTATTTTCCAAATTGATTAGGTATTATGGGAGGTGAAGTTGAAATGAATTTTTGAAAGAATCTAAAGTTATTCAAACTTCATCAAACAAGTATGACACCATTCTGATACTCATAGCATGAGATGTCATGATTTATCATCATGGTATGACCACACTACTATACCCCCATACTGTATCCTGTATTCCTTTAAAAGAAGTACAGGCTACAGGGAAGTTGCAAATGGAGGACGTTTGTTTATTTCCATAGATCTGGATGTATACTAGATTTTACACATATTCTAAGTGTTCTACTATACATTGTATAGATTCATCGAGCAGTTTGCAACGTATTATTACCAGAAAAGCCCAATGGACAAAGATAGAGAATACCCGCTCCATTTGCAACTTAACCGTACCCTGTATCATTTTGAAATGTGGTCATGTGGTAGGGTAGTGTGATGACATCATTTATTAGAAAACTGTGCATGTTGTTAAACACTTGAGAAGTGATGCCATATATGTTCAACATTATTTGTGAGACCTCATTATTGAATTATTGTTACAAAGATAAAGTTTTCATTATAAATCAAGCAGTTGCACGTGGAGTCTGCTTGCCCTGTTATAAATACCTTAAAGTGACTTTATCATTCTAGAAAGTATGCATTTGTTATTTTTAAAATAAGTTGTTATTTTTAGAAGAATAACCAAATCTAACTTACAAAATGATATTAGTAAAACTCTTTATTAGATATGTTTTAAATAAAAATAATTGTACCACAATCAGGTTCAAATAAAAGACATTGACAATTGACATATCTTTCTCTTTTCAAACTGTCATTATGCCGTCTATGAAAGCACTGATTCATGACTGTGTTCTCTCATAATGTATATTTCTAGGTTGATTCGTATCTTGATATGCGTCATCCTGATGACTTGGTTGCCTGGATGAAGCAATATGAGCGAAATAAAGTTGTCCACAGCCTCAAAGAGGAGTTGATTATACAAAAAGAAAGGATTGATGCTAATGAAGATAAGGACACAGGTCAGTGTACATGGCATCACTGTAAAATTACATCACAGTATAAATTACATCACAACAATCCAAATTAAATTGCAGGTCCTCGGTTTCTAAATGGATTTTATTGGGATGTATTGAAACATAGAGTATGTAGTATTTGAGAATTTGAATAAGAAATCACTTGCTTGCCTTGCCCCCTTCATATAGTTTGTGCATTCAAATAAGATGTCAACTGAAAATGTTTTGCAATCAGTTCTCTAAGGTATGGGCTTTCAATAGTAGTCTATTCTATCTATTGCTAGACCACCCACGTCCCACCTACCTTTGTTATGAAAAAGACAAAGTAACTTTTATAATGTTTGCACTTGAATTACAAGACATTCATCTTCTACAACCCTACAAAAAGAAACAAATGAAATGGTTCTGTGAAAATCATAAATGTGTGAAATGGTGATTAGCACACATACTTTTTTAATTGTCAATTTAACTTGACATTTCTGATATTACTGAACAAATTAATTTCAAAATAGTATTTATAAACTGCTATCACTTGTCAATGTATTACACAGCTTGTGTTAAGTAAATATGTACTTAAGGTATTAATTCATAGTCTAGATACTTTCACATGCTTTCATGTTGCCTTTGTCTTGTTTGCCTTGTCTTTCAAAAAGTAAGTTTGAGGAAATAGAAAAGCTCTGAATGTGAAAATGTCATGATGCCTGAGTGTCTAGACAGAAATGATCCTTAAAGTACAAGTATATGATTAATTTGAGGTTAGAATGCGCATGCAAAAATATCTCTTTAAGTGATGTTTTGGTCACATTCTGGAAATCGGAATGATTATGTGGTGTTACATAAAGAATTTATAGAAAATCACGATTAGCTGAAAGAGAGCTTTAAAGAGAATCACTTTTACATGGTCTCTTGGCAAACCAACATTGTCCAACATCCTCAAACTAAAACTATAACTATACTTCTAATACACCCTAACTGATATCATCAAATCAAATGATTACTTGTACCCTTTGCATTCGTTCAACTTCATTTCTTAAAAGAGAGCTCCGTCTTTATGTAGATAACTAGACTCTGCACGCAGGGTAGATTACTTGCAATTTGAAATCTAAATTGCTGTTTCATAAAACAGTAAATTGCATTATTCGGCATCTATTAAATATCATATAAAAACAAATATTGAATGTCACAGAGTAGAGTTAGATTCATTTAATATTTATTGCAAAATTCACATTTTTTCTGATATGATTTTGATCAAAAACCTGTCATTCAAACATGTCAAACCTAGCGTTGTATTTACTGGACTGAACTATTACACTTGTACATATTCTAAGCAAACCATAATCGAAAGATTAGTAATATTTTATCAGCATGAAATTTATTCAGTGTATCTGTACAATTTTAATAGTATATACAAAAAACCACATGAAAATTATTTATTAAATCAGAAATCATGCCAAAATTTACTAAAGTTCATAGTAGAAGCACACACTTATACAATAAATAATGCTAATCTATCTTTTATAACAATGATATTAGTCATTTTCTAGATAAAAATTTTCGGATAAAATAAAATGGGTAAAAATCATGAATCCAAATCACTACCATGAAACATGAATTAATTGATGAATTCCGATAACAGATAAGTTGAATGCAAATGCAGATGAAAAAACAGGAAGCCACCAAACTCATAACTGAAAAACTAATAAAAATTGCAATTGGATTTTTTTATTGATTAATCTTTTATTTGAGTGTAATATCAAGGATTACTTGATACCATATTTATCTATTTAATCCTACTTTTGATTCATAACACAATGTGATTTATCATCAACTCCATCAGCAAATCATTCAAGAATATTCTTGTACATGATCTATCAAAGCCCCTGTGGCCTGATTAATGCAGTTAAGGCATCCAACTCCCATCTCTGAGACATGTGGTTCTCCGGTTTACACCTATGCATGCACAAAATGATAAAATACACTAATTTACCTTTGTTTATTATTTTAGATTAGCCTAAAAGTAAACATCACAGTTATTATTTTAGATCAGCCTAAAAGTAAACATCTAAGTTTTATTCATTAATTTGCTTTTTATGCAATAATTGAAATGATTGATGTAATTAAATGTGATCAATGCTATCTTTAAGCATGAATTTACACATATGAGCACTCACCCGTAAAATGAGGGGTGGTGTGTTCGATCCTCACTGAGGTGGACTGACTTTTCCACATCATTAACAATGCTATTATGTCACCACCAGATAGTGGTGACATATTGTTATGCGTCTGTAACAAATTGTTTCAACTTCCAATAACTTAACAAATACTGTTTAGACTGACTTAAATTTTTTTTCAAATTATCTACAAGTTTTCAGAAGTTCAAATCTGACTTTATATTTAAGATTTTACATTCAATGGCCCTTTCAAGGTCAAAAAAGGTTAGAAAGGTCAAAAGGGTCTTTTTCTACTTGCTTCAAATTGACCAATTTTTTTCAAAATCATCTACAAGTTATCAGAAGTTCAAATCTGACTTTAGATTTGAGCATCAATGACCTTTTCAACTCAAAAAGGTTTTTTTTTCAACTCAAAAAATTCTCTTGCAATCTTCCATGACCTTCAAGTGACCTATTAACATGTGTTTTATCCCCCAATGTTAGTTGTAATGCAGAAACTCCTCATCATGTTTGTGTATTTTGCCAAGTATTGGAATCCTACCAACAACAATCTCATATGAATTTATATAGCCACATTGAAAATTCCTTCTACATAGATAAGGCACATTAACCAATAAAATTTGAACCAAATCTGCCAACTAGTATTTGAGATATCACCGAACACACTAATGGACAGACAAAATAATGAGTTCTCTACATCATAGTCCACCCATATAGCTCAGCAGTAGCACAGGTACCTCTTACGCAATAGGTCCCGGATTTGATCCCCGGTTCAGGAAAGACTTAATTTGCTTGTTTGCGTAAAGTACTTCAGGGTGTTTGGCTGAGTGGTCCACTACTCGTACAAAAGACTGTGGTGTGTACTTGTATGTCTATATATGGGCACAAATAAAAGAACACAGGGCTTTTTTGAGGAGGGGTTTCTGGGTCTATCTTCCAGGCTAATTACGTAAATTACACCCATATATACTAGGGGTGGGACGGATAACCGAAATACCGAAAAACCGCGGTTCATAGCCTTCGGATCGGTTTTCGGATCACGGCCCTACTTTCGGATCAGCTTTTCGGATCGTTTTCGGATTAATATTTCATTGGTCAAGTATCAATAAAACAGTTAAAAACACTGTTTTACAGCAACATTTTTGATATTCCTAGTCCCTACCTTGTCTGTCTTGTCTGTTGCTAGCTCACTCGTTTACTAGATTCGTTTCGTATTCGCGTATTCGTATCCCTCGGTAATCAATCATGTGGTCCCTGATACTATATTCTTTAGTCGTGTATTCTAAATAATATGTATTGTTCATGAAATACTATAACATAAAATTCCATCTATAAAATATTGTTATAACGTGGCATATTTGATACAAAGATTTGCGCAAATTTATATTTGCGCAGGTTCGATATAGGGTATTATTTTGTGCGCACCCACAATACATTCAAATATGGCGTCTGGATCTCAAATTCCCGTTTTCCCAAAAGAAATGAAGATTATCGCAGCCCCCACTAAGCTAATCAATACAAATCCTTAAAATGAATGAACCGAACCGAAAAAAACCGAATCGACGGCTGATGATCCGAAAAACCGAACCGAAACGAACCGTCCCATCCCTAATATATACCGTATATACAGGATATAGCTAAGAGGTATCGCTCACCTGCATTGGTGGTAAACAAAATACAATACTATAAAATATACCTTTGCAAGTGCTCACGCTCAAACTTATATGAAAGGTCATGAAAGTTACATTTGGAATTGGCATTTTATCAGCCTAAAATTGTCAAAACTTAAAACTGAACCGATACGCAAGATATTCATCCTGAGTATTGATACAGCCAATTTCAGGGTATAAATACATGATGTTGTTTGTTAGTATTCTTGATATAATGTTGATTGTATTCCAGGTCTTGAGAAGAGGTTTTACAAGTCTGACCCAGATTGTCAGATAGCTGGGAAGCCCCTACCAGAACATGATCTCTATATCACAACAGTTCTACCACTCACTAATAAAGGCATTAAGTAAGTATCTGGGAGGGGGGATTTCCTATACAGTTTTCACCCTAGGACTTTCTCAGCTGGGTGCAACTGTAACATTGTCGTTTTGCCTATGCTAATATAATATAAGTCCAAAATCTATTCTTACTAGGTACAAAACAAAATTGTATGATCTTCCCCAATTTTTCACTTTTTCTAAATTTTCCATTAAATGGAAGTATATTTTCATTTGGGTATGTAGCAGATTTTGAAGTAATCAGCTGGATGTAGAACGTACAGTAGTTACAACTTACTTTTATACATGGGGATTGCTGTTAAGCAATTTCATTGTTATATTAATTTGTCACCATCTCTGGGTATTCAAGGCCGCATACATATCAGAAGTTGCAATAGGAGCCTAATGGTAATTTCAGTGTTATTAACGATTTGATGAGGTAATAGAGATTTGCCGGAAGTTGAAATCAATTTCTTATCATTGGTGTTAACTGAATGTAAACTGTTACTTGTCTGAAGACATGAAACTTGAGCTATTATTGAAATGACCGAAAATCCTGCATACCAAATTCTGAGTTTGCAAATGGAGGAATTAGTATATTAATTCCCACCATTCACTCATATTATTTCACCTTTTTTGGCACATGTGCTAATATGATTAATTCATGTATAGCAGAAGTCATTAATATACCATTACAGCATTGTTGCCTCAACAATTCATTTGTTAATATCATCCATGTACTTCTATTTCTGAAGTGAAAAAATAATGGTGTATTGAAGCTTTAACAACAGGAGCATGATAATACTCTATGAAGGCTACTCTCTGATTCTGAGAGCTTCATGAAACTACAGCAAACACTTATTAATTATTTATTGTTCATTACCCAGGAGAAAGTTGTCATGGTGATCATGCCTTTTGTACAATTCATCTCTAAAATGTTATTGTTCTACTCATTTGTCTTGGATTCCTCTACAATTTAGATAGTGTAGTACACATCAGATTCCTTTATAGTCCTTGCTGATTTCTCGCTTTTCGACTCTATTTTCATTTCAAGTAACAACAGTGGTATTTATCTCACAGGTGTAATATCCTGGATGTAATAAATATATTAAGAGGTTAACATATTGTGACAAATAATACAATTACTGCATGCTAATTTATTGATTTCTGGTTAGTGATAAATCAGCATTTGTTTGTTGAAATTATATAGACTGAGTTGGAATATAATTTGTTGCTATATTGTATAGTTTCATTGATGAAATAATTTACTTAAAAATCAATTTGTTTGAAAATTTGTACAAACCCTGTATGGAGTATTTAGATTAATGCAAACCTTAATTTTAGATTTTTTATGTTTCCAGACTTTGAATGACCTTAAAATTTTGAATTTATTTTGCTAAATAATCAAATTGGGTACTTGGCCAACTTCACTGTCACCTCTGTCACCCTTAGCAGGGTTCAATAACCTTATAGGCCAGTTATGATCAGTTATTTAAAAACAGATTGCATGTCTTCATTGGTGCTTATTCAAAAGGTTTTAAAAAGGCAAACTGCATGCTATATATCCAAGTTGAACATGCTGTATGTACAATGGATGTTCTTTAGACACTTAGTTGAGAATCTATTGAAAATCTATTTGCATTTGATTTGAGAAACATGAAGGGAGGCTATTATGATAAATTGTGACCCATTTTTTGAAGAATTCTTAATCAGAATAACTAAATCTATATGTACTAAGAAAATAAACTAATGCAATTTACTTCCTTCAATCCAACAATGTCATAACTAATTCAGATCTCTCGGGCTGCATACCTTGAAAATACACATTTCTTTTATGAAGAAACTATTGGGTATATTGGAGGTCACTGTATTTCTACATATACTGCAGTAAAACCTGTATAACTAAACAAGTCCCTTATCTGAACACCCCTTAAAATGAGAAAATCGTAAATTACTATGGTTGAAAAAACTTGAAATGAATACCTGCAGCATTTGGATGAGACATGTTTTACTGTACATGTTTCCCATTGCCCATTGATTGTAGAGTAGTTGTATCTAATTAGAACCTCCTCTCACAATCTTGCAGTCACTTATTAATAGTATAATTTCTAAATGGCCGAAAAAGCTGACATAATAGATGTCACCCTTGTTATTCTTCATTTTGCTTTGGTCAGATTGCCATAGCCGTCCATTTTAAGAAGATATAACCAATATTGCTATAGCCTCTCTAGTTGTATTTTCATAATTTTGAGTGAACTTGTTTATATTTGCTTGCAGGGCCCATGAACACATCAACTTTGACGCCCCTCCCAGTAAGAGGCCACAGCTGCCTGACTGTACCAAAGTGAAGAAACTTGAATTTACTATGCATGGGTTTGAACACCTGGAGGTATGAACACATAATACAGAAATCATTATAATTTCTACAATAATACACGTATATATAATAGCAGGGCCTTCTTTTTGAGATGTGAATATGCACACAGGTTATGAAGTCTGAAAATTGCACCAAATTGATGGCTATTTGAAGATTTGTTGATACGAATAAAGGTATCATTTTACAGATGCTTGTTTCATAAAATCAAACATTGTTGTCTGACTGACATAGAATGTTTCTTAAAGATTTTGTCGAACTTGAATAATGCATCCATCCATTTTCGAGTTAATTTTATATCACATGTACATCCATATTTTTATAATAGATTCGTTTGAGCATTCATTGTTGACATTGCAATACATGCTCACTGTATTGATATTGGATGAGTTTTATGAATAATGTGTGTTTACACAGTTGTGTGGGGTAGAGTGAATCATCATAAAGTTTGCTTTCAACACAAGTTGCAATATTAAAAAACAATGCCTCATAAATATAATATACCATACCATTGAGGTAAAATAAGCAGCACAATGAATATAAAAACTAATGGCATTCTAGAATTGTATTAACCAATAAAGCATCCCAGTATTAAATGTCAGAAAACTGAAATGGGAATGACCAAAAATTAGTATGCCAAGAAAATTTTAAAAATCTTAAAGATCATAAGTATAGTCTCAAATGGATACTAGTCGAGGCCTTATTCATATCTGTAGGATGGAAAGTGTCATATCTATATATTGTTGTGATGATAAACAATGGCAGTATGACTGCATTAATAAATCTTATATATGTATATAAGTGTACCAGTAGATATTAAATCACACATTGTTCTTACACACAAAACAACATACATAGACAGATTGTTGGAACAAACAAACGTTTATTCTGAACATTACGACTTCTTGTCTGTGGATCTAATCTAGCAAGTTTGATCCAAAATCAATTCTATATAATAAATAGGCTAAAAATGATTTTCAATACAGGATGCCTTTTTCTGTTACATACGATATAGTATATTACATGATATAGTATGTTATTAATCCTTTTAGTTAATGAACAATCTCTCAATGCATCATTCTATACATGAAAGGCTCCAATGTTTGAAAATATTATTTCGTCATCCAAAGATTATTTTTCATGCCTAGCAATTCAATTATGATTATCCCGGGAAATTCTAGTAATTTTGAATTAGCAGAAATAGAGCAAAGAATTAAAACATGTCAACTTATAATTTATTTGTGATTTTTGTGATTTTTATATGAAGGTATAAACACGAGGCTAAAGTTAGATTTTTCAGCTAGTGCACGGTACAGTGAGTGCATGGTATTTTAATATACTGTATGTAAATGCATGTATTACTAAACTATATGATATTTCTCATATATTTCTCATACATTACTGTCGACTGGAGGTCTTGCTTCTGCGGTTATTGAACATTCCATGGAATATGATCATAATATAAACTGGAACAATGTAAAAATCATTGATAATGAGAGTCATGATCTTAAACGTAGGGTTAAGGAAGCAATTCATATTAAAACAATGCAACCTAAAATGAACAGAGATAATGGGTATCAGTTGGACAATTTGTATCATAAAATATTGTAAATTAAGAATGGTATAGCAAAGTATGCAATAGTAATATTTGAGTTTAATTGTTACCATAACGATGATATATTTATCTTAAGGTTATTATTAGGTCATTCGTTTTTTCGTATCTATGTTTTTTGTTGTTGTTATTATTTTTTAGGTTACTAGGTCATTTGTTACATAATTAAATTTTCCATTGTCTGTTTATGACGTCACATAAATGTATACATGCTGTTATATTTTGAAAAAGACTAAGGGATATTAGTCGAAAGTCTCAATAAATTAAAAATATTCTCTGAAGTAAAGAATTTGACTTGTTTCTGATATATGATATTTAAAATGGTGTAAAACACATCTTCATCAACAATCCAATCTCCAATCCATCTACAGGGTGTCCAGGACAGGGATAGTTTACCTGGTTGGAAGGAGTCTGGTATGGAGGGTGTCATTCCAACCTCCCTAGATGAGGCACAGTTTGGACATATTATATCCAAAGCCATGCAGAAGGTGATGGCAGCACTTGTTTGGATTAAATATTTATTATTTTTCCATTTATTTTTTATTTTAGATGCACCATAGATGTGATTTCATTGTTGGCAAATATCTACAGTATGACTGTTTGAATGAATCAGCCAGGGGAGGCACTAACTGAAAATTCATGAAACTATGAATTCCTTAATCCATTTTTATAACCATGTATGTAATGACGCCATCAAAAGAGAACAAGGACTCTGGAATTCATAACTTCATGAAGTTTATGTTAATGGCCCTCTGATTTCTTTCTTTTATTTGAGTTTGTAATTGATAAATCTTTTTCATGTTGTGGCCTTCATTAAGCTTAATATGCTTTCCTTTGAAATTGTCTCCATATTTCAGGTTGTCTGGCACGTTTTGCAAGAGTGATCTGCTTCTTTATACAATGTTGGTGACATATCTCTTTGATGTATCTTTATACTGTAGATGTGTTTAACATTCTAAGCCTGAGCCAGCGCAATATCTGGCTCATACACTTTAAATGATTTATACTCTATACACCATCTGGGGTATGGCATAGTATGGCATATCGGATAATTGGGGTACAGAATATGGAGTATGAAATATTGCCTTCCATCCCATACCCCCTCAAATGGTAACACATCTTGTCTATGTATTTCTATAGATGTGTGCATGTGTATTCTGTAGGCTATCCAGCAGCGTGAAAATCTGACTGGTACTCCTGAGCTTGGTCTTACTAAGGCTATCCCCCAACTTGACACTGATGTGTATGGGGACCTTATACACCAAGCAATGCAGAAGGTATATTTTTGTCCCCTCTTCCACTTAGTCTTGCACTTAGTTTAGGTTCAGTATGTGAAGCAGGTTTGTTTAAAGTTGCAATTTAAGAGTGGGCCTAATGGCCTAGTCACATAGCCCGGCCGATGAGGTTACGATGAGCCAGCGATGCAATTTTCACCGAACTCGGCCGAACACCGGCCGGACACCGGCCGGACATCCGTGGCGTTTGTTGCTTAAAACCGCATCGGTGGTAGCTCGGTGAAATTTTAACTTCGGAGTTAAATTTCACCGGGCTCTCACCGAGCTCCCTCATCATGTCATCACAGCCCCATCGTAACCACATCGGAAAACACGTCGGCCGGTGCACGGCCGAGTATCGGCCGGTGTCCCGTGCATCTGAGACAACCAGAGGACGAGGTTTTTTAACGGACAGCGGCCGAGCTCCGACCGAGCTCCGGCCGATGTGGGACAGAGCATCGGCCGGTCACTGTTCAAAGCCCGTTAACAACCCGGCCGGCGATCGCACGGTGTCCTGTTACCTGCTCGGGTACCGGCCGTATTCCTTCCGATGTCCGGCCGACCTCCGGCCGGTAGTTGCTGCCACATCGGCAGAAAAAAACTACCATTTTGAGACAGACTCCGTACGGTCACCGGCCGGTGTTCGGTCGGTCGCCTGAAGATGTCCGGACGGAGTCCGTTCACGTCACCGAGCTCTGCTTCCGATGAGGAGAGCTCGGTGGCACCAAAAAAATCCACCGAGCTCTACCGATGCCGGACATCGGCCGGGCTATGTGACTAGGCCATAACTAAAGGTACTAGAAGGGATAGAGACTACTTGAGAATAAGTTTTGAAAAAATTCTCAAATTTATAACAATATTTATTTCTCCCATCATTCCATGTTATGCCTGTTCTAAGACATACAACAGTCCTGATTTTTAGAAAATAAGATTAGGATTGTATGAAAAGCATTGGCACGATTTTGCTTCCAACACTTTCACTCCCTGTCCTTAAGTATTCCTTTGACATCCTGGCATGGAAATCTCTATCACATAATTACTATGAATGATGTGTCTAAACAGAATGTTTATCTTATCATTATAAGATACATGTATTTCAATTATCTATTGTGCCCTCGGCCCTCCAGCCCTTAGACTGGCAGATTATATTTGCCTCAGGATATCCCTGTTATCCCAAACCTCATAAAATATTTATCCCTCTGCATTAGACACTGACTAATAACTTCAGAGCACAATCTATTTTAAGAAACAAAGGATTTTTGTAAATGTTGAAATATTAGAGATATTCCAGAGAGTAATAGACCTTGGATAACTCAACATTTTTAGAAATATACCTCTCATATGGAATTTATTGTGGAGAATTTTTATGTAAATCCTGTGGTAAATCTTTAAGGATATGTTATTCAATCTTTTATTTTCCAATTAATTCCTTAGTTATATTATCTAGACTAGTAAATCTTCTAAGAACTACATGCACATAACAAATGGTTCATATTTCACTGATTTATTTTTCAGAATAATACGTCGTGGGTCTTGTTTAACATGGCGGCATTCTTCTGGCGTATCAAGGGTGATTCATTCCATGTTATTGAATGTGTTCGGAGGGCATTGCACTACTCTCCAAGGTAGGCCATATCAAAATTTGGGTTTTCCAGTTTGAAAATTATTTTTTGGGATTGTTAGGCCCTTTCAAGGTCGACCTCTCTTTATAATAAGTAAAGCTTACTGTTCATTCTGATTTCATATAGATGGCACTCAATTATTGCTTTTATCCTACATAAAAGGTACAAAAGCTATGGTATTGTCATCAGCTTGGTTAGCATGCAGCAATATCTCACTTTTCAGATGAACTGCTTAATAGATCATTTATTTATCTATTAATTGAAATGCTACTTGGTATGAAAATCTAGAAGTGATTAGAATCAACCTTAGCCTTGATATGCATTGTTCTGGGTTTAGCCACATGTTTTTTTCAATAAATAATAAACTTTATTGATATTAATATTAAGCACATTAATAATCATATTACAGTAATTTAAACTCTCAACATTAACTATATTGGCAAAATATTGAATTTCAACACAAGCTTATTGTTATTGTAATATTTATTTACTTTTCATTCATATACATTAATTTAAATCAAAATATTGTCTGTTTACTCAAATGTCTATCAGATATGAAAAGACAACATCATGCGTTGTTAAGCTAACAAATAGTATTGAGTTGTTTAAATACAATGAATAAATCAAAAAGAACTATTGCAAAATTTATCAGGTTCCTGCCTATTTAAGGCGGAATCTGAGATACAGAGGTTGAAAAATTACAAGAGACATTTACAATTTACCAGTCCATTCTTTACTATCTCAAAAATCTGATCTCCAAAAAGATCCATGATATTTTATTTATTAAATAGTGAAGTTATTAGGCCAAAAATGTGTACATTGTCCCAAATAATATTTGGAATGTTGATATATAAAACTGAACACATATACATATAAACATCTTGAGTTAACCAATAATAAAGTATGATCTTTTGGGAATTGAAAAATGCGATATGACAAGGAATTGCCCACAATATTCTAAATTGAAACTATTCTTTGTAAAGTTGTTTGTTACATGTAGATCTGATTCTGTGTATGACAAAAAATGCAGACATGGTGTGTCATATACTATTATCTATAAATTCCAGATAATTGTTATTTTTTATATTTCCAGCATTCACAAAGATATAGCTCTAATTAGTCTAGCTAATGTTCTCCATAGAGCACGTTATTCAAAGGAGGCAGCTATTGTTGTAACAGCTGCGCTGGAGATTTCCAGAGAGCTTAATGTCAATCACTTTACTCTGGGAAATATATTTGCAGTAAGTAGAAACATTCTCTGATTTCAGTATTCCCTGGCCTGATCTTGTAGTGTCATTGACCCTTCTGATGTTAACATATCGTGTATTTAATTAGTGGTGCTTCTCACAAGAAAAATGCTACTCAAGTAAAAAGAGTGAAAATGCTATTGGGATAAAACGACACACAAAAATGAGGGAAAATTGTAACACACAAAACACCAGAGGACCATTTGTACACCAAGTAAATTTCCCCCTCGTTAGATCTCATTAGATTTCGATATAGGTTGTATCAATAGAATAACAAGACATAAAATTATTCAGCCCATGTGTTTGTTTTACAATTTTTTATAATATTATTTTAAAAATATCATTCCCATGGTATCCAATGGCTATTCAACACAATATAACAAAACATTCCTACTTGAATCTTAAAAGCATATTCAAGCAGCTATCTTGGAAAAATTCAACGAGTGAGTGTGAAGTATTGACATTTGAGATGCACCACTAGCATTTACATCTGACATATCTCTCATTCTGTATTCCACTGCAAGTCATTTTTTGTTGATGACCGTTTATCTTCATGTCTACACAGAATTCTCTTCATTATTTTTCAAAAAACGGCACTTCGGTAATATATTTCTAAATCAGCCAGGAATGCTTTGAGAATACATGATGAAAACAACCACATTTATAAATGATTTTATTATTTTAAACTCTAGGTACTTGGGGAGTATAACAAATCTGTAGCATGCTATGAGAATACATTACGAATACAACCAGACTTTGAAGCAGCCAAGAATAGGATGCATGCTGTGCTCTGCCATGCCAAGCTGGAAAAAGCCTTGGAGGCACAACATCAGTAAGTATTAGAGGAGTCAGGAGAGTGTGGTGCCAACAATATTTTGTGACTGATGTTCACTGTTCAGCCTCTATAGCAAACTGTTACACTTAGTAACCATATTCTATAGCTAGCTAATCATGTGGTGAAAATTCCACTTGCACATTTGCCTTTTTATTACACTTTGAAAAAGTGCTCTATTGCGGTTGATGCTAAGAGGCACGCGGATGTGTGTATGTGCCTGCTCCACATATATAAAATCTTGTGACATGTCATAATGAAAGAAACTGACTGAAAGATTTTGTTTGTAGATCTCTCCAGCGCACACTAAGTGAGTTAAAGGACTACCAGAAGAAGCATGAGTACTGGCAGCAGGAGAGAGATAAGTACATATCAGAGCAGGCTGACCCTGCCACCAAAGAGCTCTCTGAGGCAGTATATCGAGAGATACGCTACAAAGAGAACATACGACCAATAGGTAAGTTCATTCTGCTCGGTGTAAATTCTAACATATTCTGACACATTATTCAAGCTTTACCATCATGTAGTATGATTTGTTTATGATTAACCTTTTTATCGTACCCAAAAAGAATGATATTGTCGTAAGCTTGGCTGGTGCCAACTCTTACTTTTCTTGTCTGCATGTTTCTGGACAAACTGGGGTTCATTTCTGTAAGCATTCTTAAATTGATGAATTCATAACTCTATTGGTGTTAAACTATAACATAATAATTGCCATGGTTAAACAATTATTTTATTAATATCCACAAGAATGCACCCCTGCTCTACAGATTGACTTGAAATGTTATGAGAAATGAAAATCTAGAAACTCTTTTATTCTCCAGGTGAGTTCTGTCACATCAAGCTGGTGCGCAACAAGGAGACGTATGACTGCAGTCTGAGAAACAGGCCGGATGCCCAGTATACAAAATGGAGATCTAGAAACCCTCATATTGTTAAAGAACTGGAGCCCTGGAGTATTGAAGATATCCACAATGCGTTGAATAGGGTTTGTAACTGTTATACAATGTAATACTGTTTAACTGCTAAATTATACTTTTTTAAGGAATTTTTTAATGAAAAATAAAGACTTCCCATTTCAGAATTTGCTTTTTATGTTGCAATCAAGGTACAATTACATAGAAGTAATGTGTTATTAGTATCACTCTCGCTCATCATTTGTTATGCTTTGACATCATGTTTAGCATTAATAATTGAATGTCTTTCATCACGTTTAGCATTAATAATTGAATGTCTTTCATCATGTTTAGCATTAATAATTGAATGTCTTTCATCATGTTTAGCATTAATAATTGAATGTCTTTCATCATGTTTAGCATTAATAATTGAATGTCTTTCATCATGTTTAGCATTGAATGTCTTTCATCATGTTTAGCATTAATAATTGAATGTCTTTCATCATGTTTAGCATTAATGATTGAATGTCTTTTTATATTTTCCAGCAAAATGACTCTGAATATAAGCCTAATATCCCTGAGCCCACAGTAGACTATGCCAAACCTATAAAACCGCCTTTGTATAATGGAAAAACTTCAAAAGAACCTGAGGTAAACTTCAAGAATTTTGAAAATAGATGTAGAATATTACAATGCATTATATAACTGTATAAGACTGTAGGTAATCTGCAGTAGCAAATATTGTGATAATGAATATCATAATGTATCATTATGCAAGCATTCTGATGATATTGCTCATTGTTCAAACAGAGTTCTAGTCTCTGAGCTTATGAAGCATTTAATCTGTATTTGTTATATGTTTCCATCTTCATATGTATTTCAGAGTGACTCCCTACTATTTAAAGACAAAGACTGGCCTAGCAAAGATGAATGTGATCGCTATGTGCAAAAATTCCCATCCTGGAATGAGTTTCCTACCACATACTTACCTCCTGAAAACAAAGGCTTTGAGTAAGCAATTAGTTCTCGAGCATATTTCACAAGAAATATTGAAGTTAATAAGGGCTTCTAACAATGACTTCTTTTCACAATGATGTCCCATGCTTGTTTGGTGTGCTCAGTTCATTGTATCTTGTCTATATTCTAGGGTTGTTGCCTTATTGAATGATGCCCAGGGATTAAACCCTGAAGAGGAACATCCGTTGCCATGGTACCCACCTGTTTGTGTCACAATAGAGGATATCCCAGAAGGCAAAAGGGCGGGAGATGATATTCCTGCAGTGAAAGATCGCACAAAAGTGCTAAAACTTTATGATAGCAGCATGAAAGAGGTAATACACACTGTGGAACCAATCTGCACGAGAAATTGTTTTAATACACTAATCAGGGCTCTCACCAGGAAATATTTAGGATGTGGTGCAAACATCTTCAGCATTACCGTTTAATCGTGATAAATCATATTTATGTTATATTTTATCCTTTTATATACTATTATTGTATATTCAGTCAAGTTTAGACTGTGGAAACAGTCATGATTTGCCAGTAGGGTGTGGTGGGAGCTAAATAGAGTGTGGTGCTGCGTCACAGTCTAAAAGCCTGGCGAGAGCCCTGCTAATAGTTATTGAGGACAGCTCTGTGTAGTGCTACTACATCTATATGGGCAATAACTTCCAATACTTTTGATCCTATAACGTTCATATTTTTATACACTTATTCTCTATTGGAGAGTAAGTTCTACTCAAAAGTTGATTCTCAAAATATAAGTGCCACTTCAATATTGATTTGAGTGTATTTTTGTTAGAACTTACAGTGTTATTATTATTATTTTGATGGTGACTTAGCCTAAAGTCCACTTTGAAACCAATATTGATATATAAACTGTATCTAAAACCTTCCAGCACATAGCCCGTATATATAGATCTAGTCACCTAGTATACACATATAAATTTAAGCTCTGAGGTTGATCTATGAATTGGTTGTTGTAGAACCTACTGAAGATGATACCTATCTCTGAGACATATCTAACTAGAGAGGCTACTGCTGAAGAGGTGGGACAGAGAATCCTTACAGCACTTCAAGAAGTAAGTTGTAAACGTGGATACCATGGTGTCATAACATGGGCTTCTCTTGAAAGCCCATGGTCATAATTAGAGAACCATAGACTAAATGAATTGAAATTGACCATCTGGTGATCATTTCTTCTGTTAAAATATTTCCAGTAGTGCTTGCACAGTACAGAACAGAATCCAAAAAGTGAGTTGTGAAGGTCATAACAAATTGATTTGGTTTAATTTTAATCAAAAACATTCAAAATATATTGCGGTGCGGAGCAAAAGATGCAAAATGTGCCAGCCTTATTTCTTTTGCTGCAATTTTTGTTTGATTTTGTTTTTGGAGAAAAATTTAAAGGTAACATTTTTCTCCACATTTTAGATTCTTGTATTTTCTCCCTTTTTACATTGCAGAAAATTGGTCCCAAGTGGATTCTGTACAACCTTGCAGGATTATACTGGAGGGTAATAGGTAACTGTTATCATGGTATTGAGTGCCTGAGAAGATCCCTGCAGTTTGTGCCCCCTCAGTACAGAGATGTACCTCTTGTCAATCTTGCAAATATTCTCTACAAGTGGGGCCGTGTGGAGGATGCCATCCGTGTGATGAAAGAGGCCCTTGCAGTGAATGATCATGAGGTATTTCATTGGTTGTTAAAATTATTTTTGTATTATGCATACTCCTATGTACAATGACAAATTCCTCTTGCATTAAGTCTCTTTCCCGCGTCCTTATCTCCGTACCAAAGAGAGGACATGAGAGAGGAGTTGAGGTTGAAGTGTGTGTATTGGGATTGAGGTTCAAAAGTGCTTGATGATATCATATAGTCAATAAGTTAGTGAAAGCAATTAATGTTCTCTTGAGAAACAGTCATATTAGATCATTAACAATACAGAGACACTACACATCAACTGTTCGATTTATCAAATGCAAACCAATGCTCAAAATTATAAGTTCAGTTGACTTTGATTATTAACAATAAGATTAACATAGATATATGTGCCTGACCAGGAATAAAATGTTGAACTGTATTACATTTATTGATTATTTTACTAACTTCTCCTGCCTTATGCTCTAATATTTGCCATTTGTGTGGATTTGAAGGATTTGAGACATACATTCTCGTAGTAGTATGAAAACTAATTCAACAAAATTTTATATACTGTACTATATGAATTCATGTATTTATGTTTCATTTTCAGCCAACTACTCATTTCTTCCTTGGTAATTTAATGTCAGCTAAATCCAACATGACTGGTGCAATATGGCACTTTGAGGAGGCATTGAACCAAGACAGTAAAAACACTGAGATCTATGCTACCCTTAGGATTGTAAAGTGCTATCAGAAGTTCCACCAGGCAAAGACAAGTGCAGCAAAGACTGAGGTGAAAGAAGAAGCATGTAAACATGGAACAGCTGCAGAGAGAGAAAGTCGTATTGTATGCAAGAATGTAAGTGGTTCTTACAAAAATAATTTCTCATATATGACCTAATTTGGATTCATGAATATTTGATCATTTCATTGTAATAGACCTTTCTAATATACACTGCCACCTTTTGGTTGATCAGAGAAACTATTTCTAGATTCATAATGTTGTGTTGGCAATTTGTCCAGGCAAAAAATGAATTAACTTATTTCTAATTTTGAAAAAGTACAACCTTTGATCAATCTGGTCAATTTTCCATAGCTTATTTGTTATACCAAAAGGTGACAGGATTTATTGGAAAGGTCTATTGAGATACATTTTTTGACCTAGCTTGAATTTCTTACAGTAATGCATGTTCAGTCGTCATGATTAAATTTTTCTTTTTGATTTTTCAAAAGTATTTTGTATTTAGTAAACTTGGACTATTAATTAATATTTATCATATACATGTAGAATCTTAAATTAGTCTAAATATTCCACCCCTATTGGTCTTTGAGAGGTCAGCAGATCATTAGTCTACACATGTGAGGAATTAACAGCTTTGGATTATCTAATGTTATTTTAACAGTACACATAGTCACATTTCAGTTCAAACTACTTTTTCATGTGACTGTGTTGTAATTGTACATTCTTATTGTATGCATATATTTTATATGCTCATATTCTAGAGATGTAATTGTGGAGTACCATTTAAAGTGAGTAGTTGAGAAGACTGAAAAACGAACATGCAGTTTCTGAATTATTTATTCATGAATCTTGTTTTCTGCCACTTGCACTTGTACAACTACACATAAAATGAATGATGTACTGTTCTATTTTTACTTGGTTGAACATGTTAAGGGCTAAATGGTGAAGGGAGCACATGGTATATTGATTTAAGGTTGGGAACACAAGTTGCCCACTCACCCAATGGCAATCACTTTTTCTCCCATTTAAGAGATGCTCAGCTGAAGTGAGTGATAATAAGTGATTACTTTTCAAAATAACAACTGGCCCTGTACCCTGTATTAATCTATATTGTATCTTATTTAGAATAATGGTAAGGAGTCCTGTTGGGCAGAGCGGCTTGTTGACTTCCCAGATCCACGCTTTCTCAAAGTTGGCGATATTGTATCTACCAGTCCGATCCAGGTGAATAGTCGCAGATAAAGAATCAGTTATATGTTATTTTAGAAGTTTGCATATATGTTTTCATTCTTATGTACAGCTTCAAAACACTGCTCAGTTTGAGCCAAATCTCCATTCATTTACGTTGGTGTTTTTGGAGCTGGGCACAAGACTGTTTTATAGATGGCGCTACTGCATTTTAGTGCATAACCTAGCTGGCCTTTAAGCTGACAGCTGATGTTTTCATGTGTTATTTACTAGAAATTTTACCATTGCATTAACATTGCATATTAGAGTGAGTAGATATAGCAGCATGTTACAATAAAGTATTAGTATTGCAACAAATCCTTGTCCCTCCCCTTCATCTGATTATGTTTTAAAAGGAAGAAGTTGGATAGAAGAAGGGGTTGAATAGAAGGACTTAAAGAGTCAGTAAGACTAGAAAACATAAAAATCAAACATCAACATTAGCTCTACTAATAGCACTACATACACATGTATACAAAACAGGAATTTAGAATTGTAGTTCATTTGTTTTTATTTGTATGTGTACGAGCGATTAAACCTTTTTGCTTTATATTGTAAAACTTTCATGTCATTTAAAGTTTTGATTCATAGTTGAATTTGATGTTGGCCTTTAGTAGATTCAATATCTGAATAACAGAAATGTAATATAGTTGAACCCAATAGATCAAATACAATTTAAAGATTTTGGATTTCTTTCAGGTGGTTCTGCTGGTTTCAGGTGCTGGGCTATCCCCTCCTGAGATTTTCCCATAATTATATTTACTAGAAATATATTTATAGACATACATATCAATTCAATTTTAGGTTTTTTCCATGGAGAGACACCGAAACAGTTACATTTAGACAATTTTTGCAATTTCTAAAAATATCAAAATGTGACATGTATTACTGTTTTTTATCATGCAAATCTTTTTGTGTGTAAAGTGTTATGAGTAACCACTTAATTGCTACGAATAGAACTCATTCATTCACAATCTGAGTACACAAAGAAATTTCAAATGAACAATTATCAAATTTAATAATGGATATCAGATTTCCATTGTTGCTTATTTGTAAAATCGATTGTTATGCAAAAACTAGTGTAAGGTACACTATGATTATATGCCCAAATATTTAATTGATTATTTCCATTGAAACCATGGTTCAATAATGCTTTCCAGGGAGGGAAGGGGTTGGTGAAATATCAGAATATTAATATGGTCCCTAATCTTTTGAATTACAGCTTGTAGCTTTTTGTAGAATTTATTTTGCACATGACTTATATGAGGAGATTTTAATGTTTTTAGAAATTTTTACTTGTAATAGGTAGATTATTATTTTTAATTGCATTTTGATAACTCTTGTTCTTTCTCAGGTTAATAATTTAAGTGAACCAAAAACTTCAAGGAAAGCTGGAAAATTTTATTCAAGTATCATTTGCATAAATATACTCACTTTGCTAATCATTCAACTTATTTTATGATGAAATCCTTTGCAAAGTTTCATTAGAATTCTGTCTACAAAGAAGTACTTGAGTACTTAGATTTATTTGCATAAAAGCATAGCATATGTATACCATTATATAGCTGACTCAAAATACAATGGACTGATAGGTAGTGTATATTGTGTTTCCAGGAGAATGGTCAAGAGAAGTGTATGGTTGAAACACGTACAAGGGCACGTAAAGAATGTAATGGTGTCTGCACACAAAGCTGTGTTATGCCAGCCAACAAAGGCTCACCTTGTATGGGCGGCAACATCCCTAAATGTGGTTAGTACCCCAATTTTTTATTTTTAATTGCTTACAAAAATGTCCTATATTGATACAATAGGAATGAGGAAGTTGGCCATATTAATTGTGATAATCATTTAAAATATGAAGAGGATAAAAATGTTTTGAAAATATATATCAGGTGTCCCAAAAAAAATGAGCCACTTTTTGACAAGTATTATCTCGGCAACTGATGATCCAAATTCACTGAAAATTTGTACAAAGTAGTCTAAGAGTATCTCTAGCAAGTTGTAAAAATATAAAAACGATCAAGTACATATTCTATGAGTTCTAAGAAATTCAAAACAGCATGTCAAAAATTCCCATACCGGAGCTCTGATATGAGACTTCAAAAATGTTTGTACCACTATCGTCTTCGCACGCTCAGTCTTCATTGTGTTCGATGGGAGCCGAGTGATATCTGATCAATTCTTTTCATTCATCCCAAATATCCAAAATCCAATTCATTCTCAAATTCATTGGAGGTGATATTGTAAGAAAAAATGCGGAAAAGTATTTTTACTTGGAAATGGATTAATAAGTGAGTTTTACATTGATATTGGTTATTTTGACATACTGTCTTTAATTCTAAAATACACACATACTATGAAACCAATCTCTTACATATTCATGGCACTAGCAGAGGATAACCTAAAGTGCCTAAGGTAAAGTTCTCGAAGAATTTGGCTCATCTATTGCTGAGAAATTACTTGTCAAATTGCCTCTCATTTTTTGGGTAGAAATGCTATAAGGTTCACATTGCATTGTTCCGGTATGGGCTATTATGACATGCTATCTTGAATTTCTTAGTACTCACATAATATTTACTTGATCTTTTTCATATTTTTATACCTTGCTACCAATACTCCTGGGCTACTTTGTACAAATTTTCAGTGAATTTGGTTTATCAGTTGCTGAGATAATACTTGTCAAAAAGTGGCTCAATTTTTTTGGGACACCTGATATATGACAAAGCATGAATTTAGATCAACATTGACATATCCGACTTATCCGGCAAAGAAAATTGTAATTCAATCGTCATAATGGCAACAGACACTGTCAAAAGCTCAATGACTTATGGTAGTAGGTTAATAATTTGAGGAAGTTTCACCATAACTCACATTGTTATGTTTTAGAAAACTTACCTGACCTGAATGAAGGAGAGAACTGTGTTACCATGCCAACCTTTAATGGTCCTGAATCTAAGCTATGTAAGATGCTATGCTTGTATCTCTGCATGTCTATAAAACTGCTAGATTTTAGTCCTATTGAAACAAAAAAGACATAAGCGCAACTTTAGTATACACATAGTTTGTTTCAGTAGTGTAATGTTTTGCCTTATTTATTTATTTTTTATTTTTATTTATATTATCATTACTTCGACAAATGTTTAGATCTATGAATTCCACAATTAATGGGTAAACTATATTCCTGCTTAGTTTCATGACATGACTCCAAATATTTTTTGAGACGGAGAGTCACTTGCAACTTCTATTGATCAGTGATCACTCCATGTATTATGTCATACATGATGCTTTATTGTTATCCTTACATGTAATATTTGTAATATTCCAGTTCCCTCTGAAAAGCTGAGTGAAATTACAGAGTTCTATAAGAAACAAGGCCTGTGTAGTGGCCAAGAGTGCAAAATAGAGGTAAATGTGGGAAACAAGCAGTTATCCTTTACTAACATATAGATGCAATTGTTTTATTTTTTAAGATCAAGAATTCAAACGTTGGAATGTAAATTTATTTTTCATTCATTTATTTCCAACAATGTAATGCAACATACAAATTAAGGTTGATGACACCCTATTGGGAATATTATCCACGCAATTGACAATCAACATGATAAATAAAGAAAAGTGTGGAAATAATAATAATATCTCATATTCAGCACTCCCACTTCCCTCTCTCCACCCACCATTTAAAACATGATTCTACCTATATTGATTTTACAAGCCCTTGGCTACTTTTACATATTTAATGGATGGCAAAATAAAGTAATGTCAATTAAGTCAACAGACAATGTAAACCTTTTTAAATCAAGTTCACAGAACTTGTCTCAGAACTCAACGTCATTACATAAAGTTGTCATTGAGTAATTTTAGCTTCAGAATTTTTATTACAACATTACCAATGTTTTGTAGCTCATACAGCATTGATTACATGTTGTTCATCAAAATAGTTTCATGGATTGAACTTTTGTATTTCAGCACCCAAATCAACGTCCACATATAAAACTAGAGTATCATGAAGGCTTGATCCATCAGAAACTTGTGTTTACAAGTAAAGATGACATTATAGTCATGGACGATGACTGTGTCATATTCAATGATGGTACCAAAACTACAGGGTGTGAGAAGAAAGAGTATCAACCTCTGGTAGGTTAACTTGTATTGTTTTATATGTGTGTCATAAGGTGGTTGATATATTGTATGTATTATTAGATGGTTATATTTAGTGGCTGCCTATTAGATCTTGGAAAAATATATATACTGACTCACTGTACTGTGAAGCATGTTAATTTCATTTATTTGCCACAGCTGTCGAGAATTTTAAACTACGCGCCATCCGCTCTGTGCGCTATTTCAATATACACTGGATGAAAATATAGTATGATGTCATTCCCGTCATATATGACATCATATAATATATATCTGATGTCATATCATATATATTTATAGCGCCAGACATCTATCGTCGAGCTCAGGAAATAAAAACATGAACCAATTTGATGCATCAGAACAGCAACTCGCCCGCTATGTACATATTTTTTGTGACTAATATATTTCACAGTTATGACATCTGTGAGTCAATAAAATGTATTATTTTTAAACAGTCACTCATGAATTTTACATGTTGCAATATGAATTGTACCTTAAATTTCATTGAACTAAATTCTGAAATTGTGAATTCATCATGACGCACATTTCTAGGAAATTTTGAATTTGTAAAAATTGTGTGAATGAATTAAACGTGTTTCACAGTACTAATCAAGGGTGATACCTCCAGTTCTAATAGTCAGGGGTTAGGTAGTATAGATTAAATAAAAAGTAGTTCTAGCATAGCTATTTTAACACTTTTCAGCTGACATCATTTTGTTTTAAGTTCATTTTAGCTCTCATGGTGAGCTATTGCAATCACCCACCTGTTAATATAAGCTATAGCTCAGATTGATCCTTCATATTTCAAACCAAAAATGATTGCATCACAAAGATTATATTTAAATCTGAGAGCAATACATTGGATTCTATGATTTTGAGGAAGGTTGTTCTTATCTGGGCTCAAGAATATGTATGGAATACAATATCATGGAGAAATCTCAAATCTGCTCAGCAGGGAGGGGGGTTATTGTCACACATATTTTTATAAACTCTATGTTCATCCCTGTGCACCGAGAACTCCATTTAATATGCTTTTTACTCAGATCTATTGATTATGAAATAACATGAATTAAAAAATACACACTTTGCTTTAGAAATACAGTAATATTGTGGAGAGACAGTTCTGTGTAGAAACACTTATTTTTAGATATGTTTCTGTATAAATATTGTAGATTGCATATATATTTAAAAAGAGCTTAGACAAAATGTTGGTAGTTAAATACTTAAAATATCACACTAGATGCAGTACAAAAGTTAATGTTCATACTGTTGATGTAGAGTAATAGTTTAAAATAACACCCATAATGTCGAGTAATATTAAATTATATTGCCCAACTCAAAATATTACCCCACATGCCTGGTATTCCCAAAATTACCAAAAATATGTGTGGGACAATATTTTCAAATACCATTTGATTTTGGGGTGATAGTTCAACATATCATAGTGCTCGATGAGATGTGGGGTAATAGTTTGTGTTCTGTCTCTCTATAGGTTGGGATGTTTGTAGAAGATGTAAAGCAATGGTGGCCAGAGGTAGTTGTACACATAATTTGTAGCCTTTAGAGTGTAGTTTTCCCCTATTTACAACCCCTTGCAATGGATTTCTCAAAATTTTCTCAAAATGGATTTCTCAATCATCTTCAGTAAAACCTGTCTATTAAGTGAACACTGTTTCAAATGGGGTTCAATTCTAAATGTCCTGAAAACATGGGAGTAAACAGGATATAAATTAAACATGGTTTTCTTTAAAGAGGTGTTCACATACAAAGGCTTTACAGTACTGTATACTTTTTTATAATGGAATCAATAAAAAATAAAATTTGTTGCAATGGGATTTATTTGTAGCATGTTTTTTTGTATTGTTTCATTTATGTTATGTAGTGTATGGCTCTATTTGCAGAGTGCTGTAAATATTACAGTGTCAGTTAGTGTGTGTATGTGCATATACATTTATACATTGCTCTTGCCATTCTTCTATGAATCCCAATTTATCACGGTTGGACCAGACCATCACTTCAGATTGAACAGTTGCACCGTGATTTCATCATTTTGGAGTTTGTACCCCTCCTCGCATGTCTTGCATATTGTTTTGAATTTTTTATCTTTGATCCAACCGTTGATTTTCAATAATATACTTATCTTTTTGTATATCATAAAAATGATAAAACAATAAATTTCAAGTATTACTATTTTCTCTTTTGCAGATTTTTTACCATTTTTTATTGTTAGTACCTCGTGTGAATACTCACATCTGATTGGTCAATTAGTGGTCAACATTTCTGCCTGTACCCCACCTGTGCATAATGGGGACATTGTTGACTGCATATTTTACTGTACTTTGCTTGTGAATTATGGGAATATGATGTCATAATGTTTACAGAAAAACATGGCAGGCTGACATTTTTTAAACTTTGATGAGTGTGATATTTCGACTTTACTAGACAATAAGGATAGCCAAAATACAAAGAGAAACATAGAATTAACATTAACTTTACTTACAATGATGTGCCGAAAATAGAGTTTAAAGCTACCATTGCTGACTTCAGGTGTTGACAATTTTCTCAAAAAAATTATGCTGGCATGATTCAGACCCAGAGAAGATTGTGAAATGTCCAAAATAACTTTTTAAATGCTAAAATGGGTCATTGCATGATCAATTCATACGATAAAGAACAGATGGACGCTACCTGAGAATACTTGAAATAATCAAACAATATTTTCAAAGCTGATTGATGATTGTCATCTACAGGTGTATTATTAGTTTCTTCTGACTTACAAAACAATTGTAGACCTCTCCTGTTATCCCATAGCTTCTTTATAAATGACAAATGCAAAGGATTTCAGATTTTTACATCTCACTGGCATTTATTGTAATCAGGTAATATTCTTATAGCGAGATAAATAGTGTCAAAATAGTTCATTCTTGGAACGAAGCGTGAAACTTTCCATATGTCATCAGTATACATTTATCTTTGATTTAAGAGCATGAGACATTTTTTTGGTCCACTAGAACGATAAAAAATTACAATTATCCCCTCCCCCCACCAAATCCTGGGGATGGGGGTGAGAGAATTTTTTTTCTTTTTAGAAATATGTTTGAATATACTCATATTGCAGTTTTAGTATGCTTTTAGTATGCTCAAAATAATAGCTAAGATTACATAAGCATTTCTCATGGATATCCATTGTTAAAGTCTGACTGGGGGCGACACCCATATTATCAACAAGTTAAGTATGCAAGTTAGTGAATCTTCTGATTATGAATAGGAAAGTAACCTAGTTTAGCTGAACAAAATGGATAAGGATAAATCAGTTAATGATATTGATATAATATATGGTATAAGAAAGACAATTCTATTGTTATTGCTTGTTATTGGCCACGCCCACTTTTAGTGATTAAGATATAATATGTGTTAATCACAAATATAAATTGATTCTATTGGGTCTTAATGAAAGCACTCTCTGACTAGTTGATCAGTTACCTTATTAAGTACCCGTATGCACTCAAGTATTATATATGCCATTATCAATTAATGTTCACATTCCCCATTACACAAGCTCAGGGAGGTACATTGAAGATTGGCTTTAAAGCACTTGCAGCGTTTAGTTGAACATTGTTGCTTCCAAATGCATTTTTAAAAGCATCTGAGGCTTGGGGTAGTGTCTTCCACATTGGAACCCAAATTATTTTTCCAGTCTTGGTGTTGATTGATTACAAACCCCATTGTGAGGGTTATGGAATGACTGGGATAGGTATAATGGACTGCCCCCATACATATACTGCTTCTAATGTTGGGAGAATGTTCTCACTTTGTGTGGTTTTCTTCATGAACATTTCTTGTCTTGCAGCATTTATAGTTGTTTTGTTGCTTTCTGTATTGTATAAAATAACAATGATAGGTTCAATGATTGGCATAACTACGGCTAACTTATTTGGATCTTCAGTCAAAATTGGGCATTCCATTGTTTCCATGCTGTTGTTTTGGATTTACCATGGAATCCAGATGTGGTGTTAGGGGAGACAAGTGGCCTTGTTAAGTCCAAGGGAAGCTGCCATTTCATGGGTTGGATAATTTTTCCCATTTCCAAAAGCTATCCATTGAGATTGTGAATTTGGTTCCACTGGGCGTTGTTTGCCTGTTCTTCCTTTCTGTCTGCAGGTTGATAGTTTTAAACTGTTTTCCAGGTACTGATCCCACACAATGTCTAGTCGTTCCACTTTTGCTAGCTGGGAAGAAATATAGTTTTCTATTCATTGAACACATGATCTGAGTACTGTTGGAATATTTTGGCCTGTTGGAGTTTCAAAAGGTGCACAATGGCTGCACCATCAAGGAGCAATGCTTCTACCTGTGGGCATTCAACTTGTTGATTTCCAGTGGGTAGCTGCTCTAATGGTTTGAGAATGTCAGACTTATTTGTCATTTTGAGAAAAGGGCACAGTCATTTTCTATGTTTCCTCGTTTACATTCATCTTTGTTTTCTGTTCTTTAAATATCTTGTAGTTGTTTCTCTTTATAGTGTCTGCTAAAGGGTTTGTTCTGTCAAGCAGTCTTTCTTTAATGTACAATGTGTACTAATCCCGACCAGCTTGCTCCATTTCATATAACGGTGTTGATGATACAACTTCTTTGTTGTCTAAGAAGTACAAGTCTGTTAATGTCTCTTTTGATGAACTTTGTTGAATACTTTTGCTTTGTTCATGATTACATAGGTCCTCATCTTGATCATCAAATATATTATTCTCAAACTCGGTGATCAGTCTGGCTAATTCAGGCCCTCCAACCATCCACTTCGGTAGAGCTGTCTGGTTATCAAAGAGCCCCACTGCTCCACCATCTGATTTAACAAGATTGTTTTTCTGCTCATGAGCTTGACCGATTGCTATGGCAGAAAAGCTTCGTCTCAATTTACTCACAGTGAAGTGGCCCTTCAGGAAGGCTTCATAGATCTCTGGGTGTTTTTCTTGTAGTTGTACCATATCCCTTAGATGTACTGGAACCCATCGAGCATAGTTGGAGTGGTCAAAAATGAAAAAACAGGGGAGAAGCTTGCTTATTGATTGGAGGTAAAGGGGAAGTTTTCTGATAGCCCTCACATTGTTAAGGCAGAGGAGTTCAATTTGTATAACTAGAAACCATAACTTGAAAACTGGTACATGTTGTTGGGCATTACACCAATCATCAAACTCTTCAGGTATTCCATTGTCAAGATTCTCAACAGATGTATATGTAGCATAGGCTTTCTTCAGAAGAATGTACTGAAGCTGTCACTCTATGGCCCTTCTGGTTCTGGTTAAAGTGTGTCACTTTCAGGAAGGAATCTGCTTATAAGACTTAAAGGATATTTAAAAGCTTGTATCTCGTTCTCATCCATTCCTTCTAATAATAAAAAAAATATGACATAAAGGCTTTAAGGTCTCGGGTAGTTATTGGGAATTTACACCAAACAGGAAATAAAAAAATCATGTTGATTTTAGAATTTAGAGTTCTGCTTTGATCTTCAGTCAGTTGTATTACTCCCATTTATCGTTTAGATTGCAAGAATCACAATGGCCATGGTCAAAATGACCCTTACCATGCAGAAATAGCCTTTTCAGCGCTCTGAAAACGTGACTGAAAATAGTAAAAAGTTAGTGTTTCTAAAAGGTCAGTGAACAGAATGATATAATGGGCACATTTTCTTAAAAATTCAATATATTCTGTTCAGTGACCTTTCGGAAGTGCTAACTTGTAACTTTTTTCAGTCACAATTTCAGAGGGCTGAAAAAGCTATTTCAGCATGGTAAGGGTCATTTTTGACAATGACCATTATGATCCTTGTCATGTAAATAATATATAGGAGTAGTAAAACTGATAGAAGGTTAAAGCAGAACTCTGTTATCTTAGTTCAAACAATTCTAAAATCCACATGGTTTTTCATTTCCAGTTTGGTGTAAATTTCTGATAACTACCCCGAAACCTTAAGTAATATAACTCTTAGATTAATTGCAACACCCAAGATCATAATTAAGAAAGGAATCTGATGTTATCTAGCTGAAAGGTGAATAGCAATTATTTCTTAGACCGAAAATGGAGATCTGATTAAATGAATATATTCAATATAAGAAAAGTGGGTGTCAACCTCGGTCAAGCTTTAAGAATGTTAAAATTCATGAGAAATCATCTTATTATAATGCCAATCTGTCTTAACTATGAAAGAAGCATGCTAAATCTGCAATATGAGCATATTTAAACATATTTTTAAAAATAAAAAATAAATTCTCTCTCCCCCACCCCCTAGGATTTGGTGGGAGGGGGCATTTGTAATGATTTTAGTCGTTCTTGTGGACCAAAAAAATGTCTCATGCTCTTAAATCAAAGATGAATGTATATGGAAGATATATGGAAAGTTTCACGCTTCGTTCCATGAATGAACTATTTCCCTGTTTATTTGCACTATTGATCTCGCTATTACAAGCATCCTTTTCTTATTTATTGACAAGGCCTCTCGTTACAACCTTATCCTGATTGCTTTTTGTTTTGCATGATACTTTGAAAACTAAAGATATTTGCATGTGAAGTGTATATTCTGAAGATATATTAAGAGATGGTCTTAATACTAATATAAAATTTAAATATCTCTTTCATTGCCCCACTTTGTCTTCGAGACAATCTTCATAATTTTTACAATGTTAACTATTACGTTGCTTGCTTTTACTAGGTACAAAACATTCATTTCTGAGCGCATCATGTTAGATGCTACCCTCTGCTGAGGCTGTTTTTAAAAATCCCTGCTTGTGAGAATGGAAGACAATATCTTGCCCTTATCAGGAAGATCAAATTGCTTAATTATACCACAAAAAAAGGTCTTTGTGATGTAGAGAAGTCATCTGTCTGCCATTAGAATGTTCGGCGATATCTCAAATACCAATTTTTTCAAATACTCAAATACCAGTTGACAGATTTGGTTCAAATTTTATTGGCTTGTGAGTTATGGGTGGAGGAAAGAGGGTGAGAGTCCCTGGGGTTCAAAGATGATATTGAGATGACCCACCGTCCTGATTGGTCCAAATCGAGAAATAAAAATGGCAGATTCAAAATTTTCTAATAACGTTATATTCAAAAACTAACTGGTAAGAATTTGTGCAAACGAAGGTGGTACGCAAGAGACGTAATATGTCTGTCATCCCTAAAGTCCTGGGGGTTTCCCTCCTCTTGGGTGTAGAAGGAATTTTCAATATGGCCACTAAACTCAAAATAGCTGACATTTGTCTCAAATGTAATCTTTGATAATTCAAATACCGGTTGAAAGATTATAGAAATCTGCTCAAGAAAGAATTCTCAAAATGACTGCTGAATTCAAAATGGCCTTTTTATTTCAAAATGCCAATTGTCAGATTCGGTCCAACTTTTATATGCTTAGACCTAATTATGGTCATAAAACCTCTGCTCAAGAAAGAATTCAATATATGGGACATCACATCATGGTTGTAGATTTTGTCAAAAGAAGACAATACTACCATACTACTTTCTGGTTATTTCTATCATGTAAAATGACTGGGGATTTAATAAAATATGTTTTTTGTTTTGGTTTTATTTGATGCTCCTTGGAGTTGCTGTTTTCTAGTTAACATATTGAGACTCTGTTCATATTGTGCTATTCAGGAAGAACAGCTTGCTGAATTTGCTAAGAATGTTGATGAGCTGGAGAAACTATTGATGAAACATGAAGAACAGTGTAAAGATGATGAGAATTGTGCCAAATTGCCAAAGTCAACCAGTTTTACCTCATCCGGTAAGTGATCAGTCCTTTTATACGAGGCCCAATCAGAAAGTTTCTTACCAAGTGCTCTCATTTTTTTGTTTCTTGAGATTTTAACTTGAAATTTTTTTTTTTTGATTGGGCCTCACTCCTTTTATATGAAGACTTTGGGCAAAACCTCTCATTTGAAGTAAAACCTTTCATTTGAAGGGATCATGTGAAACTTTCATTTGAAGATTGCTGGTTAAGCTTTTCATTTGAAGAGTTAAAAGGTAGAACAATTGTAAGAGCAGAGTAATGCCAAGATTTAATTTGGTTCTGGGCAAGTTGGGTTGATTTCTTGGCAGCCATTTTGTAATAATTACTCCAGATCAAAAAATTCTGCAACTCATGATTTGTTTTCAGCTAAAGGAGAAAAATCCACTCCAGATGATGAGAAAACTGACTCTAAAAACAATGATGAAGATGATGATGACAACCTGACATTCCTGAAATACAACTACGAAGATGATTCATACAATGATGACAGCCCAAGTCAGATCAGTGATGATATACAGTTAAAGGATGATGCCAGTCAGACTATATATGGAAAGGTTATTATTAACTTATTTACTGTTTTTATTTTATTAAACAAATTACAATTGTAATTTTTAAAATTTCAATTTTTTAAGAAACATATGAATTATATTATACAAATAATTTAAAAAACTGAAATTATGAATATATGCAAGCTTTTGGGTAAGGAATAAAAATCTTGTATTCAGGTGTAAAAGCATGAGTTAATGTTAATGTAATAAATATGGAATATCAACCCATCTGCACCGCCCAATTTCTTTTGAAACCATAATGTATTGTAGAAGATTTTTCTGCTCAGTTAGACATCTATCAATGATTAGCACACTGAAATACACCAAGCTTGCCACATTTGAATTGCCATCATTTAAATGTCATGTTCTGTACATGGATTTATATGTTTCAAAATGTTAATCAAGTAAACTAATGCCTCAAAACCTTCGTAAAAAGTTTTCAAAAGGAAAGGGCTCGTGGAAAAGTTTTCACACGACAGTGATGCTCACCTCAGATGATTGTTCAAGTACAGTACAACCTGTATGAGTGAGCACCCCTCTCACGTGAACACTTGTGTTTAGTGAACACCGCATTTTACATTGACTCCTGTAAATCCCTCTCTGAAGTGAACAACTATATATACAGGTTTTACTGTACTCTGTAATTCACAAATATTTTAACAATCTTTTCACCTTAAAGGTTAAATATAGCACACATAATGAAGCAGTGGATGATGACCTCCCTGATGTTGATACAATGATGGCGAGCAAGATTCCTGACCCAGATGATGCTAAACTGCCAGGTTGGTTAATGTTATGTGTATTTTACTCTAAATGCTACACAAAATCACAACATTAAAACTTATTAATTTGCATCAATAAAAGTGTTAATGAGCATCCAGTTTTACTGATCATTTATGGATAAGTTGATTGTTTTCGCACATATTTCTGGCTCACACAGTGAGCCTATGGGATTGACCAGGCGTCCGTCCGTCCGTTGGTCCATCCGTCCGTCCGTTGGTCCGTCCGTCCGTCCGTTGGTCCGTCCGTCCGTCAACATTGGCCGCACAAATTAAAACTGCTATTCGGATTGAGTCATATCCACATTCATTTTATGCATATCCATAATGCCTATTTGACCTATCATCGCCATTTCCCAAGTTCGCCCGGTTTCCGAGAAATTGCGGATTTTGACGTCAAAAAGTCAACTTTTCTGTAAATACTAAACACTTTGTTGAAGCAGAACTTTCAAATAACTTTAAGTACTTGGTGTATAGCAACTTATGTCCTCTGAAAATTTCAAAGCTCTTGGAATTACGGTTTTTGGTGTTTACTCTATAAAATTTGAAAAAAGTAGGACTTAGTCATTTTCAGGAAACTTTCTCATGTATAAAGTCAATGGCAGGTTTTGTGATTGACAAGATTCTTAAAGTTTGCCTTATACTTGATCATTTCCTGCAATAAATTACATCATTAATAGATTTAAGCATTCCCTACATATTTCTCAATATATGTCAGCATCAAATTTTTACTATTTTGAAATATTTGATTCAAAAAACAGTAAAAATAAGTTATTTTTCAACTTGCTTCAATTTGACCAAATTTATTTTTGAAAATCATCTACAAGTTGCCAGGAGTTCAAATCTGACATTAGTTTTAGGATTTGACCTTTACTTGACCTTCAGTGACCTTCGAAAGATCAAAAAAGTTGATTTTTGGATGTAAATTTTGGTCAGCTTAATCACAAAAGACCTTACTGAGCTCTAAATAAGTAAAATTTTCAAGGTCAAAGGTCATCAAACTAGGTCACATAACTATGCTATCTAAGTTTCTCAAAGTTCGAGACTACAAATCCAAATCAATATTTTTGTTTGAAAGTCAGGATATAAATTCCTCTGAAGGTTCCAAACTGTGTGAGCATAGGACCGTGGGTCCTTCATTTTTCACATGATTGGTTTATGATTGGTATATGATGGTTATACAATGTTTGTGAGGTACTTTCAAAAATACTAAACAATCCAAGCTTACCAATTGAATAGCTTGTGCATTCCTAAGTGTTAGGTATTATAGTCTGACATACCCTGGTCATTTTCATCTCTTGAAATGTAGAAGGCTGTATTGTTAAATTGTTAAACATGAAAAACTCATTTTTAGACTAATTTTTACAGTACAGTACAGACATACTCCTATAATGTAATAATATTCAGTTGTGTATTACTATTGATTTCAGATACCACAGTTCATATAAAAGATCGGAAGCATCTACCTTGGCCAAAATGGGAAGAATGTAAAGAACAACGCCGCACCAACTTCCAGGAGTTCACAAGCACTTGGCTCTCGGTCACTGTCAAAGATATCAAGTATGTGAACTATTTTATTTAAATTGGTGGAAGTTCTATTTATGTAAGAGTATCTTATGTGTAAAATGGGGGTAATACTAAGGTCTCTTATGCTATACAGGATTATAATATACATGCATCCTTAGTAGTACCTGGGTCTCTACCAAATATATCAAGTATGTGAACTCTCCTTATTTAAGGCAGGCATTATCTATTCAGAGGTATATTATATTAATAGTCTACAAGTAATAATATATCTAGTTGAGAGTCAATTGGAATATTAGGGCCCATGAACATAGGGGAGGACCATGGCTTTATGTCCTATCCATTGGTCAAGTGATGTGTTGCAGTATCAGAAAAGGATTGGTATCGATATGGTGAACTGAATTCAACATTGTTTTTCTTTTAAACCAAAAAGAAAACCAAAAAACACGGTCATTTATGTAATGGTGACTGATTGACAACAATTTATTGTGATTATTTAAATATATTTTTATAACTGTTTTTGTTAACATTTTTTGATTTTTTGTCGTGTGTAATTGTTTTTGCTTCTTTCTATCAATTCTTGAGAATGAAATAAAATATCTTTCCGAACCCTGTTGGAACAAAATAGCATATACAACATTTCCTTTGACCTCTCAATATTATAGTTATACAAAGGAACTTTTGGGTGGCCATCTTGTTTTCCGGTGGCCATTTTGAAGGTTTTTCGATAAATCTTGTCATCACCATTTCAGGAAAACCACTCATCGGATTTTCTCCAAATTCAGACACATGATAGAAGATATCAAGTTCTTGAGCTGATTAACTTTTGAGTGGCCATCTTGTTTTCTGATGGCCATTTTGTAGGTTTTTTAAATAATTCTTGTCATCGCCATTTTTGGAAAACTGCTCATCAGATTTTCTCCAAATTTGCACACATGATAGAGGATATCAAGTTCTAGAGCTAATTAACTTTTGGGTGGTTTTGGTAAATTTGTTTTCTGGTGGCTATTTTGAAGTTTTTTCAATGGTTGGATCTCGTTCATGTCATATGCCTTGTTTAAATCAACAAAACTTTCTTTTGTACAATTACAATATTGAGAGACCTAAACACGTTGTGTATATGTTGTTTTGTTCCAATGAGGTTGGGTAAACACGTTGTGTATATGTTGTTTGTTCCAATGAGGTTGGGATAGATGTTTCGTTTCATTCCGAACATATGATACCAAGAACAAAAAAGAAGTGTCTGATGTGTTTTCTAAAACAATATAGGGAATAGTATATTTTTTTTTTCAAATTAAATTGTTACCATTCAAAAGATGATCATTAGATTGACGATGTGTAAAAGTTTCAGAATTTGTTGATGACAAATCCTTTCAAATATTTCAAACAAATTATGTTGAGAGATTCTTTTAGTACTGTATTTTTATATGTTAAAGCACATAATTATATCATCTGAATTTTTCATTATCAATTGACAGTTCTAAATGCCATTGCAAATACATTTTGAACTCAACAGTTAATTACAGTTACATTTAAGTCCATTTTATTCTTTCAATATATGGTGTATAATTTAGGTTGTGAACATTTCATATTTTAAAGTTTTAACAATATTCCGTGATCAGTTTTTGGATTATTGATTAATGAAATACTGTACTTTTGAAATAATATTCTTGTTCATATAACTTAGCATCATTTTTGAATGCTGCAGATATAGATCCCCTTATATGTTAATCAAAGTTAAAAGAATTCAATGAATAATGACCTCCACAATCTTGCAGACAAACTTTTTGTTTTTGGTCTTTGATGATCCTTGGTTTCAACTTGCAGCATACTTCGTTTTTGCCACATCTTCCTTTGCACTCACTAGGTGACAATCTGTTATAATCCTCAGGCATATATTTTGCTCTGAAATATATGTGTATAATGCTTGATTTGACATATAGCGATGAGGATTGTCTCAAAATGTGACATTTTTGTTTCTTTGACATTTTTGATTCAATCGGACATTTTGACTTTATTTAAGATTTTTAATAATTTACTTCTATGTCAAATAACACGCGGTACAAACTTCAACCATTAATTTGAATTTTTGGCCTACCAGATGCTCGAAAATCAAGGATTGCGAGTCTCATACTACACCGTTTTTCTTCAAACGTATACCATTAAAAGCAAAACAAAATTGCCTTTCTGTCGGTGCATTACTTTATTGTAAAGAGTCCCTCGTTCTAGCAGCGTTTTGGTCCCCAGCTGTTAAAAGGCCTTCTTACAGCTGGGGACCAAAATGCCGCTGGAAGTAGGGACTCTGTTTAAGAGAATAATGTACTAACAGAAGGGGATTTTTGTTATGCTTTGAATGGAACAAGTTTGAAGAAAAACGGTGCAGTACGAGACTCGTAATCCTTGATTTTCAAACATCCGGTAGGTCAAAAATTCAAATTAACGGTCGAAGTTTGTACCGCATGAATAAGTGAATAAGAGATTAAATGGCTTTTGTATATTACAATGTATGGCATACCTACTTATCTGTAATTTATGATCAATTATAGAAACATATTTTCCTGAGGGAGATACACTTATTCCCAATTGAATTAAACTTGCCCAGTGCATAATCGTTTATACATATATGTCAATGTTATCTTAAGTGATTTGTTTAGCAAATTAATATGTCATTCTAGAAAAGAAAGTTTTACTTACCCCCATGCTTCTATACACACAGAAGCCATTATAAAAAAGAGGAATGTCAGTTTCAGAAGCATACTGTAGAGGTCCTTGGATACTGCTGGTTTTACTTGTACTGTTGAAAAGATAAATAAATTAATTAATTTGGCTGATTTTTAAAGAGGCACAGGGGACAATTCGTCTTTTGATATTTGTTTACATTGTGATTCATACGATTCATATTTATATGTCCCGCTCCAGGTCAAATATGGGTAGATATAATATATCGATCCCGCTCCAGGGAATCATTCAAAAGTATAAAAAAGTTTAAATATCAAAAAAGGAGTGGTATCGATATGGTAAACTTTTTGAAGACACCATGTTTCTCTTAAACCATTCATCAAAACATTTTGAAAATTTTACACATCGTCAATTTAATGGTCATCTTTTGATTTCAAAAAAGTATTTTGTTAATGGAATAAAGGGTTTATCTTAATTTTTATATATTTTGGGAGGTTTTGCATACTTTTTGTTAAATAAACCAAAATTTCCTTTGTATAACTATAATATTGAGAGATCTAAGAAAATGTTGTATATGCTATTTTGTTCCAACAAGGTTCGGAAAGACATTTTATTTCATTCTCAAGAATTGGTAGAAAGGAACAAAAATCAATTTCACCAAAAAACAAAAAATGTTAACAAAAACAGTTTTATAAAATATATATAAATAATTTTTGCATTAAATTGTTGTCAATCAGTCAGCATCACATAAAGGACCATGTTTTTTTACAGAATGTTTTCAATAATTGGTTTAAGAGAAAAACATTGTTGAATTCAGTTCACCATATCTATACCTATCCTATAAAAGTTTGAAGTTTTGAATTCTGAAAGTTTAAAAAATTCAAATGTTACGGTTTCATTGTATTGAACTAAAGGAATATTACGAAAATGTTAATTATAAATTCTGCTTTTACTATAGGCCTATTTTGTCATTTGAAAAAGGTGTCAAAGGTTACATCTACACCAAACCCACTCAAGTATGAGATACACCAGTTATGTACGGTCGGTTTTGGGTATAGGGTATATCTTGAGGGATATATTCATATCTCCCCGAGGGACCGAAGGGACCAAGTACATAACCCTTATATACATACCAACTGTCAGGGTCTGAACCCTTTGCTAAAGGTGTTGTTTGTTGATTTTATGACAAAATTAATATTTAAATCGGAAGTAAAAATGTGCTTAAGTATATTGTGTTGACTTTTTGGTTGGAAATCCCCTACAATACAGTGTCTATTCATATTTTAAATTTAAGCTAAATCAATCCTATATTACATTCATTACATATATACTGAATACAAATCTATGATAAAAATATCAAATCTATCAATTTGCTCCTTTAACACGATTTTGAATGGAAAAGTTATAAATTCCACACAAGTTGCATTGTTTCAGAGAGAATTTCACATATCTTACCTCTTTGCAGATGTCCTTGCTTGTAAACACTAAATAAGAAATTCAGATAGATATGGGTAATTTAACAAGTAGATTTATGGAATTGGATTTATGAGTTGGATTTGAATATCCTACATTTTATTTTCACGTGATGCTTATGTTCTGTTAAAAGATAATGTCTAATTATTATCCCATCGAACAAAGTTCGGAGGGATATAGGGAACGCCTCCGTCCGTCCGTACGTACTTCCTTACGTACGTACGTCCGTCCGGGCTATAACTCAAATACCATTGGCCCGATTTTATTCATATTTTGTACACATATACCCTATGGGGGTAGAAGTTCTGCTCGAAAGCTGATTTTCAAAATGGCCTCTCATTTGAAAATGGCGGCCATTTTAGTGCCGATTTTACAGTAATTTAGGTGCAATATGTAAAACTGTAATAGCAATTTGTTTTAAATGTAAAAAAATTAAATAGGACATTAATAAAGCTAGAAATGTATCCATTACGAGTAAAGAAGCACATGGCAGCCATCTTGAAAAATGGCGGCCTTTACTTGTTATTTTACGATTTTTACTATAACTCGAAAAGTAGTGGAGCGATTTTGTTCATATTTAGTATGTGAATAATATAAGCGTGGCACACTGTCTAATGATACTTTTGGTACACGGCGGCCATTTTGAAAACTGGCGCCATTTTAAGGTATTTTACTATAACTCGAAAAGTAGTGGAGCGATTTTGTTCATATTTGGTATGTGAATACTATAATCATGACACACTGTCTAATGAACTTTTGGTAGAAGTCGGCCATTTTGAAAAATGGCCGCCATTTTAACGTATTTTACTGTAACTCGAAAAGTAGTGGAGCGATTTTGTTCATATTTGGTATGTGAATAATATAAGCATGGCACACTGTCTAATGACACTTTTGGTACATGGCGGCCATCTTGAAAAATGGCTGCCATTTTAAGGTATTTTACTATAACTCGAAAAGTAGTGGAGCAGTTCTGTTCATATTTGGTATGTGAATACTATAAGCATGGCACACTGTCTAGAAGGTGGCCATTTTGAAAAATGGCTGACATTTTTGGTATATACTTTGCAAGCCATGGCTGTTCGATGGGATTTGCTACGCTTTGGTGTTGCTGCTGTCTAGTTCAGAAATACTTTGCCAATGAGTTGTTTACTTAGAACCTTATTTGTAAATATTTAAATATAAACACATTTTGAATAACCACATCTATATTCTCTTACAGAAATTTCTACATTTAACCAGGCAAATCGTATTGCAAACTTTTTCAGACAGCTGTAACTTTAGTTCTGTGAATTTTGTGACCACAAAAACAAATGGGTTTCTTAGCCCCATGCATAATCTTAGAAAGATAATACAATCGATTATGCTGTCACTAATCCAGCCATCAAAGCCTATTTTGCAAAAGGTTTGCCCAAAGGATTCGTAGTGATATGCTGAACTAATTTAACACATTTTTTCTTAAATCAGTCATCAAAAAATTCTGAAAAATTTACACATTATCAATCAAATGGCCATCTTTTGTATTTTATAACAATTTAAGTTGAAAATATTCATTTGCATGTACTTTGTTCTGTACATTGTTATAGAAAACACATCAGAAACTGTCTTTTGTTCTTGTTACAATATATTTGGAATGAAATGAAACATCTATCCGAACCTCGTTGGAACAAAATTTTATATACACAACATGTTTAGGTCATACAAAGGAAAGTTTGGTTCATTTAAATAATTATCTTAAAAACGAAATAAAAGGTATACTTTATTTTATCTATTTTTTTTTTTTTTTAAATATAAATGAACAAAACTTTCCTTTGTATAATTACAATATTGAGAGATCTAAGTACATTTTGTAAATGCTATTTTATTATCCACCAAATGAAGTTCGAGGAGGATAGAGGAAAGCCATCTGTCAGTCTGTTCATCCATCCATTCGTTTGTGTGTCCGGGTGATAACTCTAATACCGGTTTTACTCAAAATACTTTTAATTAGGAAGGTGATCTACTCATTTTTTTAATAGAAAAGTCAAAGAAAATCATTTAATATCTCTAAAAGCAGTCCTCACATATATAATCAAGACAAGATACAAGAAATCTAAGCACATCTCTAATCCAAACACCAAACACTTTCTGAAATGTGTTTCTCAACTGGTTATCCGAACATTTTTGGCTGCTCTCATGTCATTCAGATTTGACAGGTTTTACTGTACATACAAGTATGATCCCCATTGCATAATGAAGCTGAAACCAGCTGTGGACACAAACATTTTCATCTTCAATCGATGCATAATCATTAGTGATAGTAACATCCCATTAGTGAAGCTGATGGAATCAGAAATAAAAATGCACATTAACATCATCTTGAATAAATGCATTAACAAAATAAGATACGATCATCTGTAACATTTTATCCATCAGTTACTTACAACTTATAAAATTCTCTTATTATGAAGTTTTATTCAAAGGGGTAATACAATGTAAGATCTTGGGGAGTTATCTGAACTTTTGATCTTTGACCTGTAAAAGATTTGGGGTCTGTTCTAAATTAAAATCGCAATTTTTGTTTAAAGAGTTGCATAACAGTATGTACTAAATAACTCAACTTCATTTACTTATCAAGATTACATTAAGAAAATAAATAACGTAAATGACGTTGAATTTTTTAATATATTACCATAGTCACTGTGATGAATCTATACAGAAGTATGTATGTATACTGTATATGGCAACAGTTGTACTGTTTGTTTAATTGTTTGTTTGCTATATTTGAAAATCTACATCTATCTTATTAAGGAAAAATGCAAAACAGTGTTTTATCACAGGTAGTACAGGTGCTATATTCTAATGAATAAAGTCAGTTAATGATGCACCATTACACCTTTTATTATCATCACATTTCCTGACATTTCTATCATATTGTTATTTTTAATATGCTTTTTTGTCACCTGTGAATCTTTTATGGATAATATATGCACTTTATTGTGTTTTACTAAAACTGCATTGTAAATGTAATATTTGTATTTTTATGGTAATAAGTAACCTTCCATATTTTCAGTCTTGCTGATTACTTGGACTTTGAAACACGAATTAAGAGAAACTTCATTGAGCCTGAATGTGCTACAAACTTTGGTGCATCTGCCCACACACTGGACCACCTTGAAGGCATATCTCAGAGAAAACACCTCAAATATTCCCCTGAACTTGGCCTCAAAAAGGTGAATACAGTAAAACCTATGTTTGTGAATCATAAATGGTAATGCTGTGAATGTAATTAGAACAGTTAATTATTGAAAGACTTGGTCAAACTACTTCTCATGAAATGAAAAGGTTTTTAAAGTGATCATCCTGAAACACAAGATTGGACACCCTGCTGGAGAACCGCTCAACTAGACCACTTCTTAGGGGAGGCATCAAAAGTTCAATGTCTGATAGGAAACTAAATAAATCTAGTTTTGAGTTGGACCCCCCCCCCTCCCCCTTAAAACTAAATACAATGAAAGTTGATTGCGGACTTTTCACATGTTTTAGTGACTCGTACTCTGTCATTTGACGGATAGCAAACTGAAATAGCTTTGACCCCCTCCCCCAAACTAGATTTATTTAGTTTTCTATCAGACATTGAACTTTTGATGCCTCCCCTTAATGTGAACATATTCAGTATTCATTTCAAGGAGGTTTTATTGTGGAAACATTCAGTTGCTTTAATTTAGGACATTTCCCTTTAAAAGAATTTTGTCTAGTACACTCTTCAAATAAGAAATAATATCCAGTCTAGATGTATCCATTCAGAATTTTTATTGCCAGAAAACATTTTCTGACTAAAATGTCTTTAATTTTTTTTCAGATTTAATTGCCGTGAAAGCTATATTTTGAATTGAATAAAACATGATATTGATTTTGCAGGTTTTACAAGAATTGGGGAAAGAATCTCAGCCAACTGATGTCATGGCAACGAGGATAGCTAGAGCTCTTAATGAGGTAAGTTTATATTTGATTAAGAGAAGGATTAAGAGTTATACCTGTCTGTTTTTTTGTATTTTTATCTAGAATTTATTTATAATTGGTTCAAAAATGCATAATCATATTGAATTTAAATTTTCACACGAGATTGTTGTACATTTTTAGATAATAGCAAATGTCCACATATCCAAAAAGATAGTAATTAGTTCTTTTTTCTTCTCTTCTTTTGTCTTCAAAAAATAGATATTTACAAAATACAAATGTAGTTCAAGTTAACAAGTTATCCATGGTAAAATGAATTGGCCAAGATGTGATCTATGTTAAATCAACAAACCCTGAAAGGAATAATGTTCATTCATGATCCTGAAGGTGCTTAGCCCATTTCATATACTTGAACCATATTGCGTTTTAAACCCCTATATACTGCAAACTCTAATGCCCACCATCTTCAGAATGCTGCTTTTCTTAACTAGGAAACTAGGAAGTATATATTCTCTGGAATGATTCTCTGTATTTTAGACCCAAAAGAAGGAATTACAAACATTATGATGTTTCTCTTTACACTCTAGACTCCTGACTCATGGGTGCTTGCAAATCTTGCTGCTCTGTACTGGAGAGTGGAGGGGGTGGCGGAAAAGGCAGTGGATTGTCTTAGACTGGCATTGCACCATGCTCCAGATGACATGAAGGTATGTAGAGTTGCACCCATGGCTCAAGTTGGAGCAGCAGTATTATCATTAAGTGGATAATAATTGCACTCATATATGACTGATTGTGTATTATGAACATACCAGTATCTTCGTTATAATCACCTATCTTATTTTATCCTATGACAAGTGAGGTTTCAGGCACATAACAGTGGGATATACAACTGATATCTTATTGGGAAACATGATTTTCAAACCACGGACCCTCCAGCCGTCAGTAAAATATCTATATTTCCCTCGGCAAATCCCCTTTATCCAAAATCTCCCATTTCATAACCCTCATATATTTACAGTATACTGTAAACATAATGTTTCAGAGCTACTGCTTGATCAAAATTGATTTATGGACCAAATGTCATGTAATTTTGCTTAAACAAATTATCATCTGGTCTGTGGACCAAAGCTTCTTTTGTACCCTTATTACTCTGACCTGAAAATAAAAATGAAATTTCAACTTTCAGGATATTACACTTGTGAGTTTAGCAAACATCTTACATAAATCAGGACACTTGAATGATGCAGTGATTGTCACAAACATGGCCCTTGATATATCTCCCCATCTTGTGGTTATTCACTTCACTATGGCTAACATATATGCTGCAAAGGTGAGCAGAGTTTTCCAATTAACCATTCACTTCAGCATTATTAAAACTTGTTTTATTGTAATTTAACTTTGTCATGTATTTGATGTCATGAAAGATACTATGTAATTGAGTAAGTTTATATTTTTTATATATTCAAAAAAAAATAAATAAGCAAGTAAAATAGAAATACAGTACTTTTAAACTGAATGTCAGTGAAAATATGTTATGTTTTCCTGTATCTTAGTATTTTTTAAGTATTTAAGGTCCATAAATATCAAATGGTGACATTTTGTCATGTGAATGCCTTGTTAGAATAATGTAACCACTCCCAGAAAAAAAATCAATTATCATTTTTATTTCCAGAGCAACTGGGAGAAGTCAACAATGTTTTACGAGTCAACAATGAGTTTACAAGAGACATTTGCTCCAGCTAGGGCCAGGTTGCGCTCAATCATGTGTAATAAGGTTCTCAGCAATCCACATATCTTTAAGAAGTCCCGAAAGACCACTTAGGAGTCATGTTAAAATAATTTGCGTTATTTGATTTTTTGACCCCTTACATTGGATAGACTGTACAGTGTACAATCAATAAGAGATAGTCCCATTGCGTAAATGTGATATTGTTTAATTTGTATGCTTGTTTAGTTCATGAAAAGTATGAATATTTAATTCAATACAGAATTTAGTCTGTATATTTATCAACGTGCAAGGAACAATGTCTATGTTATATAGATGCCTCCCACGTTTGTGGTCCACTTATTTTTGTCACACAGTAACATATTGAAATAGACAGATTTTTGTTTTTAAATTATATTTTAAAGTATTTATTGCACTGTCTGTAAGAATGGCACGGGTTGAGGGACAGAAAGTATGATTTATGTTGTTTGTACCATTGGTTGTTTGTTATTAGTTGGCTGCTTATGTCAATAAAGATTAACTTTCAGAAGAACAACTAAAAAACATCCAACCACATAATATGAAATGTAAGAAATCTTTTAAAGATTTTGACTAACCAAAACTTTAAACTCCAAAAGGTAACAGATCATTCCAAAAGTGGTGCTTGGATATTCTGGTCAGTTTACATTGGTGCTGTATGCTTTAGACAGTTTTACACTAACACAAGCTTATTTATTCACACAGGTAGCTTTTGATGATTTTCAGTGGATGTTTTAAGCTCACATGGGCAAACCTTTGGTGGCTCATCGTTGATCCTCAAATGGTTTTACTTCCAAAATGTCTTATGAGGTCTCTTTAGGATATAAATTGATCACAGTTGTGCTTTAGGTCAGGCTAAGTGTCCAAATTTGGGTTAGGCTACAAATAGTATCAGTTAACAGCTTAAAAGAGTTGATTTTTTATAGCCTATTGGTATTTATCAACTTTTTGGACACTTTTCTTGAAATATTTTAAGCTGCCACTTTTATTGAAAGACCATCTCCATGTGAGCCAAGTGCCAACGTTTATGTTTAGAAAAACATCAAGTCAGCCAATATTTCTTGTCAGTATTTAATTTATTATTAATTTATGCCTACATTGTATTTTGTAATTTTTGTTTTGGCAGAAAGATAAAGCACTGCACTGCAGTCAGACAGTTTTGCCTGAGATTGCATGAGACCCTTCACATGGGAAGGGATTGAGGTTTTAAAATTAAAATTTGGCTATCAAATTCTTTAGCTGGGGAGCAACCTAGTGAGTCAATTTCCCTATCTTGGAGAATAATAATAACTGCTCAAATAATACTGGTCAAAATTCCTGGGAATATGCACTTCAAAAGTCCCTAGCCCTGGGATAGAGTACTGTCAAAATCCCAGCCCCTGGGACAATACTGTATGCCAAATCCCAGCCCTCCACCATAAGGTGGTCTTATGGAGCCTTTAAATGTTGCATAATGAACCAATAACTTTTTTGTTTTCGCTTATTATTGTGTTCTATGTTATTATCATCTCTCTGTCTGTGTAGATTGTTCTGCTAAGATTTTGCTAGTTCAGATTCCCTGATGTGTGTGGTACTATTGAGCCTATAGTATTGAAGCCTATTTATTTTATACCTACAATCAGTGGATATGAAATACTTTTCTTATTTTTATACTTTCTGTATATACAGGGTGATCCAGAAGTAACGTCAAAGATGTTGTAATTTCAAAAGTATTCATCAGATCTTCATGAAATTTGGTATACATGTACCCACAACATTTCTGAGTTACCATCTCAAAGATTGGAATTCAATCATTTCATTGGTTGAAATTATGGTTGCTATAGTAACCCGATATCGCGTAACCCGGGGCAAATTACTTAACGTGTAATGCGTAATCTCAAAATATCAACAAGATCTGAAATTGTTATATCCTCAACATTTTATTTCACAACAATATAAATCATACTATTGCACAGTTACTAATAATAGTTCATTCTACATAATTGCCACCATTTGCAACACATTTCTCATGTCTGGATACCCATTCCTTGAACACAGAATTAAATCCATTAGAACTCATTCCTTGTAGGGCTAGTACTACGGCATTTTTCAATTCCTCACAGGATTGAAAATTATTTCCACTAAGGTTTCTTTTTAGTTCCCCATACAAATAAAAGTCACTGGGGGCAAGATCAGGTGAATAAGGGGCATGTTCAAGTTGTTGAAATCCAAGTGTTTGGACTGTGTTGCTGGTCAGGATTGCAGTGTGCGTAGGGGCATTGTCCCAATGCAAGATAAACTGCTGCAGATGTCCGGGACGCTTTTTCCTCAGGGAACGTTGAAGATCACGCTTCAGAACCTGAAAAACAAATGTTTAATGGTTGTTAAACCAGTTGTTTCATTGATTGGATTTGGATTTGAATCATGGCCATGGAGTTATAATTATATTGACAGTGAACAACATTTAAATACTTTAATTTAAAAATAAAATTCACAGTATGATGTATTATTAGAACAAATGATATCTTACCTTTGCAATGTAAACGGCATTAATTCTCTGGCCAATGGGAACAAAATGGGTTAACACCATTCCTCTAATGTCAAAGAATGTCACAACCATTTGTTTCTTTTGTGGAATTCCTGGTACTATTTTAGGCTTGGTTGGTGTTGGGGAGTTGTCATGTTTCCACGATGAACTTTGTTGCGTGGTCTCTGGGATGTAGAATGATAGCAATGATTCGTCACTCGTAATGATCTTGTTAAGAAAGTCATCTCCATCTCTCCGATATTTTGCAAGAAAGTCCCTTGAAGCCTTAACACGCCGGTCTTTCTGCTCCTGTGTCAAGTCATGCGGCACCCATTTAGCAGACACCTTCTTTAACAGACAGTTCTTTGTCAGTATCCGTTGCACAGTCCCATAGCTCAGATCGTGTTTTTCAGCCAATTCTCTGATAGAAATTTGCCTATTGTCCATAACATCAGCTTCAATTGCTTTGATGGTTTGATCATCGAATGACGACACTGGCCTGCCTCCTCGCTGCTTGTCTACCACTTCATCATATCCACTGGAATACTTGTTAAACCACCTGTAAATGTTTCTCTCAGCAATGGCAGCTTTACCATATGCCTTCTTTATCTGTCTTATAGTCTCTTTTACACCTTTCCCCAACTTTACACAGAACTTAATGTTTGTTCTTTGCTCTATTTTACTCTGACTTGGCGCCATCTTTAATTGGGTGGGTTAGTGTCCCTGGTCATGTTAGTATTTGTCATGGATGATGGAAGCAATTCAAAGAAATTGAAAGCTTTTTATGAATGCCTATTGTGACATCACAACTATTACATATTTGTTACCATGGCAACAAATATAAAAATCATAGAAAACAAACAATGAACATTTTCAAATGTTACTGACTTTTTAAATTAGAGAAATTCACAAAAACGTTATGGTTTCTCTTCAATTTGCCCCGGGTTACGCGATATCGGGTTACTATAGCAACCATAATTTCAACCAATGAAATGATTGAATTCCAATCTTTGAGATGGTAACTCAGAAATGTTGTGGGTACATGTATACCAAATTTCATGAAGATCTGATGAATACTTTTGAAATTACAATGTCTTTGACGTTACTTCTGGATCACCCTGTAGCTACTCCTCAAACTTATGTTGGTAAAACCAAACGTTTGAGTGTCGTTAAGAGTCACATTACAACAATCCATACACTGTACAAACACATGTAAATCGCATTGTGCTATGAAGTATTAAAAGGTACAGTAAAACCTGAGAATTAGGAACGCTCTCTGGAACTGCCCAAATTCCTTGCAGAAAGGTATCCCTTGCAGAGAGGGTCCATGTTTTGAGCCAACCAATGTTGCTTAGAGCCTGTATTCAAGTTTTATCAACCCAATTTTCTAGCATTAACGATATTTGCAAGTTTTGATCCTTAAAAGATTCTAAGAGATTTGGCTCAATATCACACAACAAATATATTTCTATTATCTCTTATAAACAGCTGTGTCAGTCCCTAGAATATTTCAGCTTGTTAGATGAAATCAACTTTTGTTGAAAGAAAGCATAAGGGTCAATTTGCAATTTTAACAGGTTAATTAAAAAAGATATTGGGATAATAACAGTGAAAGGCCCGTGTTGACAATTGGCTTATCCCAATCTTATCTTTATTAATCAGAGCTGTTCAGAATCACATATTCGCACAGTGTAACTAATTTCCCATGTTTCTTGTGAACAGATGAATTTTCAAAAGCCCAGATTTTCCTTATAGAGAGGGACTGTTCATATGTAAGTCGATAGAAAAAATATTTGGTTCTTTTGAAAACCATTCCTTGTAGACAGGTCCATCAGAAGGTTTTACTGTGTTCATGATTCGAGAGATTGAATCAATTCAAAATATTTTAAAAAATAAAATATTTGTAGATTTCCTTTAGAAAAATAGTCCCACTTTATGAATTTATACAGTGGTCGCATTGTTATCACTTTTCCATATTTTAACAATGCCTACTGTTTTTGAGTATGATTCTTTCTAACTCTGAACATTTTCTTATGAAATGTGTACGCACTACACAATCAAGTAATGTTTATTTTATGTTAGGGTATTTATGTTATATTATTATTGGCATAAACAAAATAGCATTTGAATAAATGAATAAAATATTGATGCTAAAGTGCATTTGGATTTGAAACGACAACACTGAATGAGGAAGACCCTTATAACAACAATTTTTATCGTTGTTAGTATTTTTTCCAGCTTTGAATTTTATTTCCGAAACTGACCCTCTTTCATTTAAAAGTAAACCAATAAGTTTTATAAAGATCATCATGCATCTTGACTTTAAAGTAGACCTCATGGGGTGACTTGTGGGCCTGTTTATGCAAACCTGTGATTGAAAGGCCCTTGGTCATTAACAAGTTTGTCATACCATTCCGCCTACCTTAAGACTTGAATATATATATCTATAGGATTAGGTACTTGAAAATCTTGTACAAGATATAACCATGAGGTTATTTGAATTACTATTTTTACAATTTACTATTCTATACTTTTGATGATATTTAATTATATGTGGTCATTATTTTTGAAAAGCATCTGTTGATTTACTGTGTTGTCGTTATTTAATGTCAAATGAACTGAATAAATGAACAAGAATAAAAAATAAATGATGAAACATATTGAATTTTTGTGTCAATCCTATTTCTTGTGGATATGATCTTAGATGCTCAGGTAGCTTAGGTGGCAACACAACAGAATGAACTGTATTTTATTTCAGAGAATATCCAGCTGTAATGCCGTGGTCACATTTGCTCCGATTTTACCACCGGCAACCTGCCGATGAGTATTTTGTTCAAAATTGAATACAATTTGGAACAAAATACTCAATCGGCCGGGTGCCATAGTAAAAATTGGTGCAAATGTGACCATGGCATAACAACGAGGAGTGTATTATTTTTCTCTTGTTTTTTATATGTACTCTTGGCAAGCTATCCAAAACCAGTGTGGTACAAAACCAAAAAGAGGATTGACTGTCACATCATGCAGTGCACTGACCTAAATATACCCTATTCACTCTTTCAATAGAATATTTGACACAAAAGAATCAAGCTTCAAACTGTTACATGCAGTGCACTGAAGCTGAACTAATAACACCCACTCTCAATACACTTACCTTCTTGTCAGTACAAATGAAAACGATTTTTCCTAAAATTGGATCATGGACCATTTACCTTTCATAAGAGTCAGTGCTCAGTGTGTGGTTAAAGTTTTTTTAGATGAAATCATTTATATTGGGTCTCAGGAGAATTGATAGCCTCGGCTATTATTCCTCCTAAAATCCAATACTCATACTTTATCCCTAACCTATGTAACTGCTCCTTTGAACCACCCCCTCCAATCTGAACAAGTTTTATATGGAAAAAATGATTTATTTTACAACAATTACAAAATATCCTGTGTGTATCTGTCTAAGGTTTTCACATTATATATAGAGGTTATTTAATGGGGGATAGAATATGAATTTTATTTGGAGGGAATATATAATATGTGCAAGAAAAATAAACAACAATTACAAAATATCCTGTGCGTGTCTGTTTGAGATTTTCATAGTCCATTGATACATACAGCCTAATAGTATATAGACGTAGCTTCTACAATATATAGATAAATTACCAAAAGTCTAAACTCATAAATGTCTATAAGTAGCTGGTAGTAGTGTATTCGGATAATCCTTAATTGATTAGAACTCCTCGTGGAATGGATAGTCTGGGTGTTTATCTGCCCTAAAAATAAATAAATATGAACTGATCATGATAGGAAGGCCAAAGCAAAGCTAAGTTTTATTGTACCACAATTTAAATTAAATTTAAAATGTTTTAATTATTAACATAACATTTTATTGTATAATCTGTAAAAATAGCAAAGTTAGTAATTACCCTTTGTTTTTGAAGCTTTCAAACAACCTGTCTTTTTTATCAATGGATCGAAGTTTTATCATATCTTCTGCGACAAGCTCAAAGTCATAAAGCTGGAACATTAATGTGAAATTCTGAAATTGTTTATTTTTCTATTTCAAAAATTAATCCCAAGATGAATTTATCTTATCTTATTATTCCTCAAGTGTGCTTTCACATTTCTTTTTTTTGTACTCCCATGCGATATTTTTATAGTATGATAATCTTAAAGGACCCAAGGAAAAATTTGAAACATTGCTTCAACAATCAACATCCAAAAATAGTAAAAGTAATTGAGTCACTTTTTGTAAAAAAGCTTGACTTTCGAAAAAAAGTAAATTCAAAGATTTGAAATTCCCTCCAAAATATATCTATTTTCCCGTCTCTTTAGCAGCAAAAGTTCATATTTTTAATCATCAAATACAACACTATGCACTCCATTGTCATCGGCTAAAAGTAACAACATTTCAATTTTTTAATTTATTATGCATATATAAGATTTTGTAGCATTTTTGAACATTGGTCTGGTAAACGAGGGGTCATGGGTTCGATCCCCACTGGGATGAACTGACCTTTTCACATCAGCCTAGCGCAGGATTTAATCCCGTGTTTTCATTACCAATAAGGTGCATGGTGCTTTATCAATCATATCTTTTTATTTTTTATCATACCAATCATTCAGAGATATAGTGTACTTTTACCAAATGGAGAAATATTCGAAGAATTTCGTAAATATGGTAAAAAGTTTTAACCCAAGTTAGCCATATGTGGTAGTTTTACCCAATGTTATGAAAATATGATAGGTGAAACTTATTTTTTTATTTCAAAAAGTTGTTTTTGGTGGGACTTTTGTTTGAAAAATTGTGAGCTTAATTCAAATAATTTTTGGTTAATACACCCATCTATAAGTGAGTAGTAATTCACACCAATGGATAGCATATAAATCCTAATCTATTACGAAGACTAAAACAATATGTCTTGTTGTAATTAGTTTGTGTGTCAGTCATATTTCTCTTGGATGTGATTTTAGATGCTCCTATGTAACCCCTCCAAACTACACAAGTTTAATAGGAAGATTATTTTTATTTCACATTAAAAATATCCTGTGCGTATCTGTATGAGATTTTCATAGCCCATTGATACATATAGCCAGCTATTACAATATATAGATAGATTACCAAAAGTCCTAACTTATAACTGTCTATAGGTGACTGGTAGTAGTATATTTTGATAATCCTTAATTGATCAGAACTCCTCATGGAACGGATAGTCTGGATGTTTTTCTACCCTAAAATAAAATAAATATGAATTGATCATGATATGAAAGCCCAGTGGACAAAGGGAAATTATTATTAAAGAAATGAAGTAAGAAAATGGAACACCAAAAAAGCCTGGGTTTATCAATACCACAATTACGATTAATTTTAAGATGTTTTTAGATACTCAATAACAGTTAGGAGTAATCAATAATATAACAGTTTATTGTATGATCTGTTAAAATAGCAAAATCAGGAATTACCCTTTATCGAAGCTTTTAAGCATCCTCTTCTTTCTATCAATAGATCGAAGTTTTATCATATCTTCTGCTACGAGCTCAAAATCATAGAGCTGAAATATATTAATGTGAAATTCTAAAATTGTTTATATTAATATTTCAAAAATCAATCCCAATATGAATTTATTGAGTTATTTCTATAATAATTTTAAGTATGATTTTCCATTCATTTTAGTCTTATTTCAAAAAGTTGACTTTCGAAAAAAGTAATCTTGATTTAAATATTTGACATTCCCTCCAAAATATTTGAATTACTTGTCTGTTTAGCAGCAAAAGTTTATATTTTTAAACATCAAATACAACACTCTACACGTAACATTTCAATTAATTGATTCTATTTTTGTGCATATATTAGATTTTACTACCATGTCAACAGTTTAAGACAGTATTTACATTGGTATGAAAAATTAATCTGGCATAAGGAAAATGATGACTCAGCCATAAAGGAAAATGTTTAACAACGTATAATTAAATCACAAGTTGTAATTTATGACTTAACAAGGCACAGACGTGAACAATATCGTACCTAAAACACAGCATTGTGGTCTTGTTGACCAAGAAAGCAAGATGGCCGCAAAAAAGTTAATCAGCTCTAGAACTTATCACTGTGTAACATATGTAAATAAGAAATTTGAACGGTTTGGCTGGAAACCTGTAGACAAGTCTTGAAAGTGAAGATTTTAGGACGGAAAATCCAAAATGGCCATCTTAAAATTTACCCAGAATGCCCAAAAACCAATCAGTTCTTGACGTTGATATGTAGAAACATCCCTGAAAATTTCAGATGAATCCCTCAAACGGTTTGGCTGAAAATCTGTAGACAAGTCTTGAAAGTGAAGATTTTAGGACAGAAAATCCAAAATGGCCACCTTAAAATTTAACAAGAATGCCCAAAAACTAATCAGTTCTTGACGTTGATATGTAGAAACATCCCTGAAAATTTCAGATGAATCCCTCAAAAGGTTTGGCTGGAAACCTGTAGACAAGTCTTGAAAATAAAGATTTTAGGACGGAAAATCCAAAATGGCCACCTTAAAATTTACCCAGAATGCCCAAAAACTAATCAGTTCTTGATGTTGATATGTAGAAACATCCCTGAAAATTTCAGATGAATCCCTCAAATGGTTTGGCTGAAAACCTGTAGACAAGTCTTGAAAGTGAAGATTTTAGGATGGAAAATCCAAAATGGCCACCGTAAAATTTACCCAGAATTCCCAAAAACTAATCAGTTCTTGACGTTGATATGAAGAAACATCCCTGAAAATTTCAGATGAATCCCTCAAATGGTCTGGCTGGAAACCTGTAGACAAGTCTTGAAAGTGAAGATTTTAGGACGGAAAATCCAAAATGGCCACCTTGAGATTTACCCAGAATGCCCAAAAACTAATCAGTTCTTGACGTTGATATGTAGAAACATCCCTGAATATTTCAGATGAATCCCTCAAATGGTTTGGCTGGAAACCTGTAGACAAGTCTTGAAAGTAAAGATTTTAGGACGGAAAATCCAAAATGGCCACCTTAAAATTTACCCAGAATGCCCAAAAACTAATCAGTTCTTGACGTTGATATGTAGAAACATCCCTGAAAATTTCAGATGAATCCCTCAAATGGTTTGGCTGGAAACCTGTAGACAAGTCTTGAAAGTGAAGATTTTAGGACGGAAAATCCAAAATGGCCACCTTAAGATTTACCCAGAATGCCCAAAAACTAAACCGTTCTTGACGTTGATATGTAGAAACATCCTTGAAAATTTCAGATGAATCCCTCAAATGGTTTGGCTGGAAACCTGTAGACAAGTCTTGAAAGTGAAGATTTTAGGACGTAAAATCCAAAATGGCCACCTTAAGATTTACCCAGAATGCCCAAAAACTAATCAGTTCTTGACGTTGATATGTAGAAACATTCCTGAAAATTTCAGATGAATCCCTCAAATGGTTCGGCTGGAAACCTGTAGACAAGTCTTGAAAGTGAAGATTTTAGGACGGAAAATCCAAAATGGCCACCTTAAAATTTACCCAGAATGCCTAAAAACTAATCAGTTCTTGACGTTGATATGTAGAAACATCCCTGAATATTTCAGATGAATCCCTCAAATGGTTTGGCTACCTGTAGACAAGTCTTGAAAGTGAAGATTTTAGGACGGAAAATACAAAATGGCCACCTTAAGATTTACCCAGACTGCCCAAAAACTAATCAGTTCCTGACGTTGATATGTAGAAACATCCCTGAAAATTTCAGATGAATCCCTCAAATGGTTTGGCTGGAAACCTGTAGGACGTGTCGCAAAAAGGTGGCGCATTTGTTTTTTAAGGGTATCGCGTGAATGTAACTTTGATTCCCGGAATATAAGATAATATTCTAATTAAAGTTATATATCATTTTAAAGCTGTTTCGATGAAGATTTTAGATCAACTACACTCCGTTCACATTTTTTGCGCGTTCGTTTTTAAAAAAGAGTTTTTTACCAAAACATCTGGCAAATATCCCATGTTGACACGTTACATTTTGAATTATTTTTCGTCTTTAAACGCTCATAACTCAAACAATATATGACTATTATACTTATTTTTCGTCTTGATAAAGGTAGATGGAAGTTTTATTTTAAAGGATGAATTTTAGTAAGCGTCCCATATTGTGACGTCATAGGGTCTGAAAAATAGAATCTGTTGACAGCGACCTTTTTTGCTCATTTTTGGTACCTTCAACTTTTCAGGTGTACATTAAACAAAAAATACGAGATCAATTTTTAATAAATCATACATGATTATTTTGCTCCCAAACTCTAGTTTATTAATAAATAGTTGATTTTGTTCACAAAAGTATGTGTTTTCTGTTGTATGTGGAAAAGTGGAGGACGAAAGGTTTTCAAAATTCATTAAAATAGGGCTAATTTACGCCATTCGCCTATTTTCAAGCACAGCAACACGTATATTTATTTCACCTAAAATATCAATTGATTCGTGTTTTATGATGCTCCTAGCCCATTAACAATATATATATGATATCAGAGTTATTCGTCTAAAATGTTTTGAGATATAAAGGTAAATGTGGAGGACGAAAGGATTTTCATTTGTGTACATTTTTCTCAAAAACGTCACAATCTATCATGTTAAAAGCGAGGATCCTCTGGATTACTCCACAAAATGCGTAACAATGCGTGCGCGAGCTTTTTGCGACACGTCTAGACAAGTCTTGAAAGTGAAGATTTTAGGACGGAAAATCCAAAATGGCCACCTTAAGATTTACCCAGAATGCCCAAAAACTAATCAGTTCTTGACGTTGATATGTAGAAACATCCCTGAAAATTTCAGATGAATCCCTCAAATGGTTTGGCTGGAAACCTGTAGACAAGCTGAAAAGTGAGACGCCGCCCGCCCGCCGCCCACCCGTCAAGCTGACTACAATATCGTACCTTTTGTTAGGTACGATAAAAAGGATTTCCACCAGTTATTTACAATGTACACACAATATCCCTCCAGGGGTTTAGTAATATTGAAAATTCTATGATTGATAAAGGATCATGCATCTTTTTTATTTACAGATGGTATTCTTCTTCTCTGGACCACTTTTCCACGCTTGTTAGTTAGTTTCTCTCTTTGTTTACAACTATTCTTCATAATATTTCAACATATGCATATATTAGGATGTATACCATGCATTGTTATAAATGTTTGCTTCTCTGTGTGTGGCAACCAAACTTTATTTTAGATATAAGTTCACAATTTTTCAAACTTTTTGAAATCACATATCACATTTAAATAACATTGGGTAAGACTACGATATAAGCCAAAGTGGTTTAAACATTTCCCGGGGTATTTATGTCTATATTCAAAATGGATGTAATGCATTTACACCAAAAGGCTTATCCTTATGTTAATGTCGACACCTAAAAGTTAATGATTCAGTAAATAAGGTGGTGAAACCCTTCTAAAAGCGATATGCAAGTTTGGTGGAAACTCACAAAATAAAACGTTATCCTGTCATTATCTAGGTCACCATTTTGACTATCCTATATGTGATAAATTTATCAAATATGTAATACAAGTATTTGTCTTACCTCTGAATTAGATTTGATTCTTGAAGGTGTAACACTCTTAGGAATGACAACAATTCCCCTCTGTAGCAGAAACCTTAATAGAACCTAGAATAGTTAAATACACCGGTGTATACCACGCAGAATGGTAAAAGTAAATCGCAATGGCACCTAGATCGGTAAATCGGTTAAAACCACGATGGCTACTTGCAATAGTAAAAGTAAACTACCGTGGCTACTTGCAATAGTAAAAGTAAACCACGATGGCTACTTGCAATAGTAAAAGTTAACCAATAATGGCTACTTGCAATAGTAAAAGTAAACCACAACGGCTACTTGCAATTGTAATAGTAAACCACAATGGCTACTTGCAATAGTAAAAGTAAACCACGATGGCTACTTGCAATAGTAAAAGTAAACCACGATGGCTACTTGCAATAGTAAAAGTAAATCACAATGGCTACTTGCAATAGTAAAAGTAAACCACAATGGCTACTTGCAATAGTAAAAGTAAATCACAATGGCTACTTGCATTAGTGAAAGTTAAAAAATAATGGCTACTTGCAATAGTAAAAGTAAACCACAATGGCTACTTGCAATAGTAAAAGTAAACCACAATGGCTACTTGCAATAGTAAAAGTAAACAACAATGGCTACTTGCAATAGTAAAAGTAAACCACAATGGCTATTTGCAATAGTAAAAGTAAACCACAATGGCTACTTGCAATAGTGAAAGTAAACCAATAATGGCTACTTGCAATAGTAAAAGTAAACCACAATGGCTACTTGCAATAGTAAAAGTAAACCACAATGGCTACTTGCAATAGTAAACCACGGTGTCTACTTGCAATAGTAAAAGTAAACCACAATGGCTACTTGCAATTGTAAAAGCAAACCACAATGGCTAGTTGCAATAGTAAAAGTAAACCACAATGGCTACTTGCAATAGTGAAAGTAAACCACAATGGCTACTTGCAATAGTAAAAGTAAACCACCATGGCTACTTGCAATAGTATAAGTAAACCACGGTGTCTACTTGCAATAGTAAAAGTAAACCACAATGGCTACTTGCAATTGTAAAAGCAAACCACAATGGCTAGTTGCAATAGTAAAAGTAAACCACAATGGCTACTTGGAATAGTGAAAGTAAACCAATAATGGCTACTTGCAATAGTAAAAGTAAACCACAATGGCTACTTGCAATAGTAAAAGTAAACCACAATGGCTATTTGCAATAGTAAAAGTAAACCACAATGGCTATTTGCAATAGTAAAAGTAAACCACAATGACTACTTGGAATAGTGAAAGTAAACCAATAATGGCTACTTGCAATAGTAAAAGCAAACCACAATGGCTACTTGCAATAGTAAAAGTAAACCACAATGGCTACTTGCAATTGTAAAAGTAAGCCACAATGGCTACTTGCAATAGTAAAAGTAAACCACAATGGCTACTTGCAATTGTAAAAGCAAACCACAATGGCTACTTGCAATAGTAAAAGTAAACCACAATGGCTACTTGCAATAGTAAAAGTAAACCACAATGGCTACTTGCAATAGTAAAAGTAAACCACAATGGCTACTTGCAATAGTAAAAGTAAACCACAATGGCTACTTGCAATAGTAAAAGTAAACCACAATGGCTACTTGCAATAGTGAAAGTAAACCACAAAGGCTACTTGCAATATTAAAAGTAAACCAATAATGGCTACTTGCAATAGTAAAATTAAACCACAATGGCTACTTGCAATAGTGAAAGTAAACCACGATGGCTACTTGCAATAGTAAAAGTAAACCACAATGGCTACTTGTAATAGTAAAGGTAAACCACAATGGCTTCTTACAATAGTAAAAGTAAACCACAATGGCTACTTGTAATAGTAAAAGTAAACCACAATGGCTACTTGCAATAGTGAAAGTAAACCACGATGGCTACTTGCAATAGTAAAAGTAAACCACACTGGCTACTTGCAATAGTAAAAGTAAACCACCATGGCTACTTGCAATAGTATAAGTAAACCACGGTGGCTACTTGCAATAGTAAAAGTAAACCACAATGGCTACTTGCAATTGTAAAAGCAAACCACAATGGCTAGTTGCAATAGTAAAAGTAAACCACAATGGCTACTTGGAATAGTGAAAGTAAACCAATAATGGCTACTTGCAATAGTAAAAGTAAACCACAATGGCTATTTGCAATAGTAAAAGTAAACCACAATGGCTACTTGGAATAGTGAAAGTAAACCAATAATGGCTACTTGCAATAGTAAAAGCAAACCACAATGGCTACTTGCAATAGTAAAAGTAAACCACAATGGCTACTTGCAATAGTGAAAGTAAACCAATAATGGCTACTTGCAATAGTAAAAGTAAACCACAATGGCTACTTGCAATAGTAAAAGTAAACCACAATGGCTACTTGCAATAGTAAAAGTAAACCACAATGGCTACTTGCAATAGTAAAAGTAAACCACAATGGCTATTTGCAATAGTAAAAGTAAACCACAATGGCTACTTGCAATAGTAAAAGTAAACCACAATGGCTACTTGCAATTGTAAAAGTAAACCACAATGGCTACTTGCAATAACCACAATGGCGCCTAGATCTGTAAGAACTGTAATACAATTTGGAATAGTAAAAGTGAATCACAATTTAAAGCACATACAATAGTAAAAATTAATCACAATAGCATGTTAATGCCTTGGTCACATTTGCTCCGATTCATCGTCCGGCGCCCTGAGTATTTTATTCAAAACTGAATACAATTTTTAACAAATTACTCAATCGGCCGGGCCCCGGGTAATGTATCGGTTCAAATGTGACCATCTACATTTATTATCATGTATATTCGATATGCTACATGGAAATGCTTACTTGTGCTGTAGTTTTGTTATATTTCTTTGCTATATCTTTGACAACTGGATCCTCCAACAAGACTGGTTCATCGTCTGTCTTCCTGTAATAAGTTATCGTACAAAGAATCAGTTTGATAAAACACATTTTCATTCTCGTAGTGGCTATACCAGATCCTAATGTATAGTCTATATAGTATTATTTGGCTGAGAGGATACCTTATTACAATATGATTGTATTTTTTGTCTAAAAGATCATGCTTGACAGCCCAAACTCCCATTGAATATCATGTTAAATTTAATTTTTAATCAATAAAGTCAATTTTCCATCAATAACTTTCGGACAGTAACTCATGTCCAGTAGATGAGATAGTGTTGACAAACTTTTGAATGGGAGTGTACGATTAAATTAGTCTCATCCCCTCTCAAAATCAATACTTACGACGGTCTGGAAGGAGATCCTATTGGGGCATAGGCAGTGAGGACAATTCCATATGGCTTACAGAATTCTTCAAGTTTGTTCTGTTGGAAGTAACAATGGCACTCGACCTATAAGAATGTTGCATTTTCTTTCTTATTAATACTAATTTATAGTCTCCACCTGATTATAAAAACGTTACATCTTTATTACAAAATGGATGAACTTCCGTTGGAGGAAATTTTCATCATTTTCACCAAGAAGGAGGTCGAACTGTATCCTAATAGTTTACCCGTATGTTAATAGTATCATCCGGTTACTGAAAATCTAGACAATCACGTGCAAATTCGTATATCCATAAGCTCCAATAATCGAGTGAAAATTCTTCACTTCAGTAATACCTGGGTCACATATGCTCCGATCCGTCAGCCGGCGCCCGGCCGATTGAGTGTTTTGTTCAATATTGTATTCAATTTTGAATAAAATACCCAATCGGCCGGGCGCCGTAGTGAAAATCGGAGCAAATGTGATCAAGGCATAACCAGGACCCTATCTGCTGATCGAATTTCATAACGTATAACGTCTTGGTTGCTTCATGTCATGGGCTATAAGTCTCATACTGCAACGCTTTTCTTCAAACTTGTAAGCGGAACAAAAATGCCTTTCTGTTGGTAAATTATTCTGTTATACAGAGTCCCTCCTCTTCCCAGCTGTTAAAAGGCATTCCCACGCCCTCCTATTCCCACCAAATATCTGTGTTTCTCACCTGATTTGTCACAGGTTTTATGTTTGCCTTGTCCAGAATAGTTGTGACTTGTTTTGAATTGAAGTTTGACAAACCAATTGACTTAGCCAATCCAGCCTTCACACAATCTTCCATACCCTGTAAATACATCAAGATGACGGGTGATCAAATGCATAACTGAGTTATCATGTGTTACACCCATTTTCTACATGTGAAGAGTGCTATACAGTCTAGAGAAAAATAGGGCGTGACAAATCCTAAATGACAGAGGTGTATACAGGTATATAAATGCCATTAGTGCAAAATTGTCATTGACAAACATATAAATGTTTTATCAGATTTGTTCACTAAATACAACCCCATTAGAAAATTCATCTTTGACTTACTCTCAAAGGCAATATCATGTGTATTTTAAACTAGTTAACCAAAATAGTGATTGTTTTTTTTTGTATTATTACTGCAAATGTTCAGCATTTACATAGTCTTTGTTCATATAGATATAGCATGTAGAATGTAAATGGCATACTGGCTCTAAAATACCCTGCACCAACAAAGTTTGACAATCGTTGTTACGCGGAATATGGCATATATTCATGGTTGCGCGGTATTTGTGATACAGTTGAATATGCCATATTCACCTGCGGTATATTGCATATTCCGCGGGTGAATATGGCATATTCCGCAGTGAATATGCGATACACTGATTTCAGTGAATACCCGATACTCACTGCGGGATATGCCATATACCGCAGGTGAGTATGACATACACCGCAGGTGAAAACGTGATACAAAAAGCCTTGTTTTGATTGGTTGCAGGAATCTACTCAAAATGTGAAACTAGTAATAAACTTACTCAATGTATCCAGGATTCATAGTACTCCAAGCACTAACTAAGATTGTTGCGTGATACTATTGCATTAGTTGTGATATTCAATACACAGAACTGTTGATTCAGTAATCATTATAATGATTTATATACTTTAACCCGTTCGTACAGTCGATGAAATTGACGATTGCGTACTTCCGTACCACGTTCTCATTGGTTAGTGAGTATGCCATATACCGCAGGTGAATCTGTCATATACCTTAAGTGAATATGCCACATTCGTTGCGGAATATGCCATATATTTGGATCATGTTCACTCCGTAACAGACAATACCAATTCCTATTTTGGTTGCCAAAGTTAATGATGGGGGTATAATTACCTTCCAAGTCTCAGTGAGGTCATAGCTCTTGATATCAAGCATTCCATCTTTGGTAAGAGGCATAGGTGTTCCATCTTCTCGGCTCTAAGAGGAATATCCATTAATTCATAACAATTACATGTATGTACTCACTGGCATGTAGCGGCCCTGATATCGATAAATTCTACACGCAATATAACCCGATTTTAGATGCTTGGTTAAAACTTTACACGAAAAAGCCTCGATATCCGGGCATTTACTCTTACACTGAACTGAAAATAGCATCGTCTAAACGTGTATGTCTTGGCTTCCGGGTAAGTTTATCAACATTTATACTCAATTGAAAGAGCAGTCGTGCTTATATCGTGTACCAGTTTGATTGTTTTATATGTGTGTGTATTTATAATATGATAGCCTAGTAATACCGTGTCGTTAGAACAAGTGCTAGATATCGAACTGATGACCTGAAATTAGATTATTGAACTGATCGCGCATCTGATATTAGATGATTAATTTGCATTGAATCTGATATTAACTTGCAACCCAATACCACAGTAAATACAATGACTTTACATTAGAATGATAACACGGCCTCATATTCTAATTCATTATACGTCCATTGCAGGCCAAAAATGTTTCAATGTGGATATTGTAATGCACACGATAATACATTCGATTCGTATATATTGATCATACATCAATATCCTAGATGCGAGTAGAAATAATCTTGATTTACGTCATTAAAAATTCACAATTCTGTCAAACTGGTGTCATATTTGAAATCTACATATAAAATTTCATCTAAAAATGTGGTTTTGAAAATAGTTTATCAACTTTGAAAATTTAATTTTCTTTGACAATGTTATTTCTAGGTCGGGGAGATTCCCCATAGACCCCATGTTGTAAAACTACAAAAAGCGAAATATCGTTTCTTGTGTTGGGCAGATAATATTTTCTTTTACTGGACATATTTTAATTTGTATAACTATCACATACATAAGGGTAATTTCAAAAGTGAACCACTAAAACTGATGCATATTCAGGTTTAAGGGAATTTGTAATACCCTGCCATGTTATTTCCCCCGAATCAGTCACCTGGTGGCGAAACTGGTAACTACCTACTCGCATCTGAGTAATTGAACATGGAGATTTTCCTGTACACTTTTCCCAAACATGTGGAATAGACTAGATGCGAGTAGAAATTATCTTGATTTATCCTATGCCAAGTAGGGTTTTAGGGAGATAAGTTGGTAAGATATATCCCGTATCCTGATTTTGAGGTTTCCATATCAAGAACCTCCATATCTCCCGTCATATCTCCCGCTTCGGTGCATATCTTCCCGCTTCGGGGCGTATCTTCCCGCTTCCAAAAAAGTGGAAATGCAATAAAATGACTTTGCATATGAATGATTTGTTTATTTTTTTACACCTTGTACTACTGAAAACTCTACTTGGTATAGGATAAAGCAGTTATGTACGGTCGGTTTGGATATTGGGTTCATCCCTCGTGAGATATGCACATCTACTTTCTGTCCCTACGGTCCCTCAGGTAGATATGCATATCTCACTCTGGAAAAACCCCATATCCAAAACCTCCCAGTACATAACCCTTATTTATCCCATACTTGGACGTGTTACAGGTACATAAAGCCGGTTTGTAAAAACTTATATTTTCATCAGCGGGCAGATATAGCTTTACGTCCCGCTCCGAGCGGGCAGATATAGTATATCTGCCCGCTACGTCATAATCGCTGTTCCTGTATTGGTTCGTTTTTGTAACGTTCGACCCGGGCGTTCGCATACTGTAAACTACAATGAAGAAAAACGCAGACAATCACGATCTGTTTGATGCTTTAAAGAAGAATACAAAACTGGACATGAATATTTTAAAATAATTCCACGGTTGGTTGCAAAGTTTCTGAACTGTGGCCAATTGGACAATGTGATTGGTATGGGATAAACAGATCATCCTATAGTCGGTTCAGGATATTTGGATTATCCCTTGGCCAATATAATATATCTACCCTCGGGACCTACGGCCCTCGGGCAGATATATTATATTGGCCTCGGGATAATCCCAATATCCTGAACCTCATATAGGATAATCTCTATTTATCCCATGGTTACAAGGATATAGATCGAATATCACGTGAAGATATAATTGATACGTGGATGAAGATATCATATTTTAGCAAACAATTCCCAAATCATCGAATATCACTTTTGAAACCATCGAATATCACTTTTTGAAAGGTGATATTCGATGGTTTCAAAAGTGATATTCGATGGTTTCAAAAGTGATATTCGATGGTTTTGATTTTTTCAATTTTTTTATTAATTCAGCAAAACGATTGTTTATATATTTATTATATATTTTTATTTTTTGGGATCTTGTTTTTACCGCGTTCGCATTAAATACAAACCACTCTGTTACGTCACGTATATGACGTTCGTTGAATTATCGCAATCAAAATCTCAGACGAAATGGAATTTCCATTGCAATTTATCTGACTATTCAATGTTCGCTGGATAATAATTCCCAATGGGATAAACGGACAATCCTATGGTTTTTCAAAAATATCACTTATATCCACTCATGGATATCAATATCTTCACTCATTCGCTGCGCTCACTCGCGAAGATATCAATATCCACTCATGGATATAAGTGATATTTTTTCAGAGCCATAGGATATTCCTATATTATTCCATAGTTAACATGATATCCATAGGATAACATGTCAAAATAAAAACGGTATTTTTGAAATCAGTGGTAAAATATGATATTTTTGGCAAAGGAGGAGGGAAGTTAGTGCAACAGATTTTGGACAGTCATATGTTTGATTTTGGCCATTTCCTGGAGATTTAAACAGGTGCATATGTTAGGCGAGTGAATTAGCTCCAAGCAAATCACTTCTAGAGATGATAAAATAATTTTGACTTTGAGACAGGGTAGATGCAAACAACCCACCCACATGTTTTTTCTGATACGTTTTCCTGATTTTCAACCCCTTCCATCCCTGCTTTTTTCATTTTTCTTGCATTAATATGTAACATTTTGACACACAGATAATCCCTTAAAAGGAATAAATGATTCCTTTTAGATAAAGTGGAAAACAATATTTCCCATGTTATTTTCCCATAGGAAAAACCATTGCTTTCAGCTAAGTTTGGTCACCCATAATGGGTATCTTTAAAACCCCTGAAGGAATCACTTATTCCTTTAACTATGTGTCAAAATGCAACATATTGATGCAAGAAAAATTGAAAAAGCAGGGGTGGAAGGGGTCGAAAATTAGGAAAACATTTCAGACAAAAAACATGTGGGTGGGTTGTTTGCATCTACCCTGTCTCAAAGTCGAAATTATTTTATAATCTCTAGAAGTGATTTTCCTGGGGGTAATGCATTGGCCTAACATATGCAATTGTTTAAATCCTCAGAAAATGGCCAAAATCCAAAATATGACTGTCCAGAATCTGTTGCACTAATTTCCCTCCTTCTTTTCTTTTCACTTAACCATAGCTACTTCAGACTCAAAACGAGGCTAAGTGTCAATATCGCCGTATCGTTTGGAAAAATCGTTTTAAATCACTTAATTCCCGACGATTCTGATGATGACTTTAACTATTGAATATAAAGAACATCCTATGATTTACTCGTGATATGATTTTAATCCACTCTCTCGCTACGCTCACTCGTGCAGATATCATATCCATTCGTGGATAAAAATCATATCACTCATAAATCATTGGATATCCTCTATTTAAGATGTGATATTCGATAGTTTAAAAGTGATATTCGATGGTTTGTAAATTGTTTGCTAAAATATGATATCTTGATCCACATATCAAATATATCATCATGTGATATTCGATCTATATCCTCCTTGCAACCATGGGATGAAGCTTTACGTCCCGCTCCAAGCGAGTATATCTGCCCGCTACGTCATAATCGCCGCTTGCATATTTGTTCATAATTTATAACGTTCGCGGAATGACTGTAAACGGCAATGGAGAAAACACAGACAATCAGGGTCTGTTTGATAGTTAAAAAAAGGGAAAGAGCATCCACTTAATCAATAAAAAATTCGAGAAAATAAATATGGGAATATTTGAGAGAACATGAAAATCCGCCCACGGCCAAGAAAACAAAACTGGACATGAATATTCTAAAATGTTTCCACGATTTAACAATGTGAACCAGATGACCAATATTGGTATGGGATAAACATATTATCCTATAGTCGGTTCAGGATATTGGGATTATCCCTTGGCCAATATGTAGGGGTTATGCAATTGGAGGTTTTGGATACAGGGAATATCCCGAGGGATATACAATATATCTTCCCGAGGGACCAAGGAAAGATATATTATATATCCCTCGGGATATTCCCTGTATCCAAAACCTCCAAGTGCATAACTGTTGTATATAGTTTAGCATGATATGTACTTCTTTCTGTAACTGGAATACGATTCTAATATACAAGCAGCACATACATATTCCCGGGGAACCATAAATATTTTGTGTAGGGTGTGGACATTTTTCTTTTCATTTCTCTAAAATCAGATTATTCTCATAAAATTCATACAAAGTTGGGCCTAAGCCTCTATTTTCGTATTCTGCATGTAAAGATATTTATAATGTAAAACCTAAGAGATAAATTCAATGTCTTCAGTTGAGAAGTTTAAGGTAAATGTGTGAATTCTGCTTGTTGTTGCACTTTTTTTATAATAAACAAGGTTCGATACGCAACACTGAATAGACTGCAGTCATAGCTTAGTTGTAAAGAAAACAAAAGAAGTTGGGACGTGGTCATGCTTGAATACGGTTTTGAATATATCGCCGTTTACATTTGTTGAAATCGGCCTGTATTAATTTCAACAGGTGATCGGTGTACAAGGGCATATATTTGAGTTATTGGTTTAACGATAAGTATGACCTATGAGTGGGTAATGTTTTACAAATGCATGAAACAAATACTCCAATGGCCTAATCTCAATTTTCCTGCATAAACTATTACATTGAAATGATGGTCATTTGCTCTCTAACTTCCGCACCGCATACGTAACTTCGTAACAATTCAATAAGCCAAGACAGGACCGCTATAATCGCTACATGCCAGTGTGTACTGTATCACACTACCCTACCTCGATCACGCATGCGCGAATCTTTTGGCTTTCAAACATGTCGCTTTTGAGTATATCGACTGCTTAGTCAAAAGGTTAATACGTTTGGTGCTCGGAGTGAGTCAATATTGCTATTCGCTACACTTCAGCGGTGCAATAGTGAAGTCCATGTTCCAAGTTATATGATAATTGAAGAAATAATGTAAATAATATTGTTTTAGATTTTAAAATATTTGATATGTAATAGTACACGGTACACAGTTGCAAAAGTTGATCAATACAGGGTACAAGGAATGTAAATTGTTCAATAGTACAGGGAGCGAGAAAGTAATCTGATTATACAGACATACTATGTCCCGACCTCATGTACATTTACGTTGCAAACAGTGAAAGTAATGCTAAAAAGGCCGCCTGTTGATGCTTTGAGGTGTCATCAATTGTTAATTAATCCAAATAAAGTAAACATTATTTTGTAGATTTAGACACGGGCTTTCAAGTCGTATGCATTTTAGTCATTAAATTAACAAGAACGCTAGATTATACGTGTTACTAGGGTATCAAATTGAAATAAAATAACAAAATTAAATACCAACATATTAATGATAAATGACTATCCGCTATCAGTATTAATGACTATTTGCAACTCAGAATAATTAAAATTGCCTGAACTACATGTGAAGAATCTTTCTATAGAACCCCTTGAATGGTCTAATTCACTACCGTCCTAAAAAACCGACCATTCAAAATGTTTTGTTCAAATTCACAAAAATACAGTTGACTAACATACTAGAAAACGTATCCACCTATAACACGATGACACGCAGTTTAAATAACAGTTAACCTGTTTTTTTGTTACATATCAATGTAACATTTTCGAAGGGAAACTTACATGCTCCCTGTACGTTGATAGATTTACTGAAATGTATCGTGTATTACATTTGGTTTTGCTTCACTGCGCCCACTATTATCTATCTTTGCCTATAGTGGTTTTTTGCCAACAATATTCTACACACTCCTTGATGAATCAATTCTATGTCTGGTAAAACACTAGAAATAAATGTAAAATGTATTTTACGTTCAGAAATATGGAATTAAACCCACGTCCTCCATTTGCAACTAAGCTGTACCTTGTTTCCCTTTTAAACGTGGTCACGTGGTAGGGTAGTGTGTGTATTCAACAGATTAAAAATCTCATTTATTTCCATTGTAAGTTTACACCAATATGACTTGAATTTTGACTTATCATTTTCATCATTTCATTTCATGGTTTATTGGGTCGTTTGTTTCCGTGTTTTTCGAATGTTTCTCCTTGCAGTTTCTGAGTTTACGGTTTTTAAGTTAAATGTATTATTGATAAATTAGATGGTATTCTATACATTACAAAGCGTTGCGCTTTTAAAATAACATGACACTCATTAGATATTAAAAATAGCTTTGGCTAGATGTCGCATCTCGTTTATTAATTATTAAGGCCAGGACCCATTGAATTACATCAGATAATTTTCCAGTAGTGTAAATTTACGCATCATTTATGAACATCAGTAATAAAGTATCCCTACAGATGCATGTCAGAGTTGATTTGGATTACGAGTACATAAAATCGTAAAGACCGAGACTTAATGATATGTTGAAAAAACTTTCGATTGATTGAATGCATTAATTTTCACCATTAAAACCTCTATGTGAGGAGCCTCGAAATGTGGCCTGAAAAGGTATGAACTAATGCATGGAACCTATCGAACGTTGAACATGTTTAACCTGCAATGACGTTTAAGAAGGTGTTCACTGTATAGATGACGTAGCCAGAATGATTTCTTCTCTCCTAAACACTACACACCTATTCACTCACTCATATTCTACTCGCATTCGAAAATAGCGTTCGATTTTCGTAACGCTTAAAGCTACACTCTGTAGTAATATGTAGAAATAATTTATATTCTAATTCGTTACACTCAAACGAATATAAATAAAACTTATAAACTATTTACCACTAGCCCTGCAGGGCCATGTATCAAATATAAATCAACGTAATCCAGTTGAAGTTTCTCTAAACTCTTTTTCAGAGCAGGAACAACTGCATCCTTAGCCATCTGTGTTATCCAAAGCTAAAACAAAAAGTTCATTGGCCATTTATCCTTATTGAATTGATTATAGAGAACATTTCTGGATCTTTTATTGCTATAAAGGGACACTATAGGAAGGCAGGGTAAAGGGGATCAGAGTTAAAGGTAATAGTTTATTTTTCCTTGCATGTAGTTAAAATGTATTTTTAGTATATTAACACACCTTGGTTGTGATGTAAACATCTTCCCTCTTCATTTTCCCCGCTTTGATTCGCTCTTGAAGGATATCCCCGATCACATGTTCATTCCCATATATGGCTGCCGTATCAATATGTCTGTAACCAGCGTCTAGTGCTGCTGACACAGCCTTGGTTATTTCATCTGGTTTTGACTACAAGGCAAAATGTAACACTAAAACAAGTCCACTCGCTATGGCTAGTTGATAGGGGCAAGTTTACCGCTGTCCCTTGGCCCTGGTTCGATTCCCGGTTCAGACAAAGGAGGAGGGAAATTAGTGCAACAGATTTCGGATAGTCATACGTTGGATGATGGCTATTCTCTGATGATTTAAACAGGTGCATATGTTAGATCAATGTATTACCTCCAGGAAAAGCACTCATAGAGATGATAAAGTAATTTTGACTCTAAGACAGGGGGGGTGCAAACAACCCACCCACATGTTTTTTTCTGAAATTATGTTCTGATTTTCAACCCCTCCTACCCCTGCTTTTCAATTTTTGTTGCATCAATATGTTGTGTTTTGACACACAGTTTAACCACTTTTAAGGAATAAGTAATTCCTACAAGGATTTTGAAGATATCCATTATGGCTTACCAAAATTAGCTGAAAGCAATGGATTGCATGAGTTTTCCCTATGGGAAAATAACATGGGAAATATTGTTTTCCACTTCATCTAAAATGAATCACTTATTCCTTTAAAGGGGTTAACTGTGTGTCAAAACGCAATATATTTATGCAAGAAAAATTATTAAAACCGGAGTGGAAGGGGTTGAAAATGAGGAAAACATTTCAGAAAAAACATGTGGGTCGGTTGTTTGCATCTACCCTGTCTCAAAGTCGGAATTATTTTATCATCTCTAGAAGTGCTTTTCCTGGAGGTAATGCATTGGCCTAACATATGCTCAAAAAATAGCCAAATCCAACATATGACTGTCGGAAATCTGTTGCGCTAATTTCCCTTCTCCTTTGTTTATGCCTTGTGAGTTATTCTGGGTGTTTGACTGAATGGTCCTCCACAAGTTGTATACTAGGCTGTGGTGGGGTGTACTTGTATTTCCTATGACAAGTGAGGTTTCAGCTACTTACATTAACAGCGGGATATATACTTGATATCTTGTATATCTCATGCAGTGTTCTCCCGCTCTAGAATTCCGTTCAGTGAAGAAACTGTCAATTTGTTCGAATATCTTGCCATATAGCGAAATTGTAAAAATGGATGCAGCAGACAGAAAAGTTTTCTCGAATAAAATGGTGGAAAGTAATGAGGATGTGGACACATTGATGCTCGGTTTCAAATATGGAGTATATCCCTCCGGAAATATCATTTCTTTACCTCGGACCCTCCGGGCCCTTGGTAAGAATTTTCCTCAGGCTATACACCATATTATATCCAAAACCTCCCATAACATAACCCTCATATCTATGTATCGGTGCACATAAAATAATACATGGCTACCCAGAGTCTACTTATAAGTTCTCTTTTAAGAAGCGAAGTAGAACGAATGCAAAGAGTAGTAATTATGCTGCATTTGCTTAAAACAAGAAACTGGTTTCAATATTATCAAAAGTACTCGAATGATACCCTTTACATTCGTTTGACTTCGGTTTTTAAAAGAGAGCTTCGTCTTTCGTAGTTTGTAACTAGACTCTGCAAGTAAGGTACTCGAATGATTTCCCTTACACTTTTCCTAAGATTGAGATATAGCTGATCGATGTAATTGACTATAAACCAATTTTTCTCACCTGCCATGTCCCCAAGCCAAACAATGGCATCTTCTTCCCATCATTCAGTTGGACCTCACTCTTTATATTCAATTCCATAATTATAACTTAGTAATATTGTAAATGACTTCGATGTACCGGTTTGGGTTATACGTTCTTATTTAAAAAGCCTGGTTTGGTCTCGATGTTTTATAGGATTTTTAAATACTGCTTTGTCATCCTCTTTTAGACGGTACATATCATTCTAAATTACAGATAAACACGTATATGTTTACTTTGGATGACTTTCCATACCCTATCAGTATTTTAAAGTGTAGACCTCTAGACGTCCATGTTTAGAGAGTGAAGATAAAGTACACACTTCTGCACTTTTAAGTGTCAATGATACGGCGTTTTATTGTACGAGTAATATGACATTGAATGACTAAATCGATAAGGTTCTAGAATATTATTTTTACATGTATAATAATGGATTATTTTTGTTCCAAAAAACAACATTCAATGAAGTTTTTACCATCCATGCAATTAAAGAAATTGTTAAATCAACAAATAAAAACCTTGGAACATCATGAATAGTAAGAATCTTGGTATTTAGACATGATAGATATATAGATAAATATTAATATCCTCCCTATTTTTCATTGAATTTTTTTTTTAAAATAACGAATAACAAAATGCCGTTGCAACACCACAGAAAAAGTCAGTTGAAAACTCTTTATTGCGTTGTACTTCATTCATTTTTCGGATTTTTTGGATTTCTAGATCATATTTAATGCTTCTATGAAATATATAACAGAAAACAAGATTAGCTAAGTAATTTGGTCGGTGTGCGGTGTATGACAGATTCACCTGCGGTATAGGGCATACTCACTAACCAATGAGAACGCGATACGGAAGTACGCAATTGTCAATTACATCGATTGAACGAACAGGCAAAGGTTTAATTATCATAATGATAACTGAATCAACAGGTCAGTGCACTGAATATATCAACGTATTGTTTGATCTCGTTTTATGTATGTGTTACATGATAATATATGTCTTCAAGGAAAGCTCACACATAAATAAATGGACCTGTGTTCTGAGTGACTTTTATAACCAAATCAACAATTGAAAAAAACACAGATAAAAACCTTAAATATCACGAGTATCATGTATTGTTGTATTAGAAATCACGATTTACACATTCCTAATACTTTCAGAAGTATCATTCAGCGATTACATATAAAAATGTACTAAATCAATCCAGGATTCAAATATAAGTACTCTAAGCGCTAACAACATTATTGGTAATTCTGCCGTAGTTTTACATTTAGAATCGATTCTTTTGCTCAATCAAATCGAGGCTTTCTGTATCGTGTTATCACCTGCGGTATGTGGCATATTCCGCAGGTGAGTATACCAAATTCCACGGGGGAGTATGACATATTCCGCAGTGAGTATCGGGTATTCACTGAAATCAATGTATCGCATATTCACTACGGAATATGCCATACTCACCTGCAGAATATGCCATATACCGCAGGTGAGTGTATGGCATATTCGCCCGTATCACAAATACCGCACTACTATGAATATATGCTATATCCCGCGTAACACATATCACATAATCTATTATTCATATTCTGTGCGTTCGTCTTGATTTCAACAAATATCTTTAATATTGTATTTTAAGTTGATATAAGATGAAAGAAAAAAAACGATAAGTATATAAAGATTAAAGTTTGTTTAAACATTATTCCAGACAATAAACCACTTTTAAAGATTAAATCGATATGTAAATAATGTTTTCTTGTTAAACAAAGGGCTGTGAGCCGATAAGTCAATAATCAATAATAATTAGAAGAATTCTGGGATTAAGCTTATGTCATTTTTAACGGCGTCCTCGCTCCTTCTCATAAGCTCATGAGACAATATAAAAGGTGACGCAATTGATAAAACTAGTCCCTGCGCCGAGTATTGGGCTTTGGGCCGATTTTGGCCCATTGTGCAAAAGGAACGATTTTTCACCCAACCTGGACCATGGCCACATGTGAATTCTGGATGCATGACATGCCATTTGAAAGAGGAGGGGCGTGTCCTTATATGGCATAATGAATGACATCGATGCAGTCATCACTGATTTTACAAGGTAATTGCTTGTTGCTTATTGCGTTTTATTTTTGGTACGCACTTTAAAGGGTGTACCGAAAATGCATATATTAAATACTGTATATTCCATTAAACAGTATACATGGGGATTTTACTTCATATTAAAGGTTAAAATCATATCAAACTATTCAAGGTCAATCAATGCAATGATACGAATGTCTAAAATCACTTGCCAAAATATCCGTAGTATTCTGTGAAGTTTGTGTTATTCTCATAGAAATGTTCCTGAGCGGAAAAATCTTCGTATGAAAATATTTATGGTTTATTCAGCATTGGTCTTTATTCCACAATTTCTGCATCTCCACAGCTGTTAGCTACAGCTATTATGAATAAACATATTGATCGCAAATACCGGAAATCAAAGTCGCATCATATTTGTTTTGAAAACAACTGAGAAAGGTATGCTTGCAGTTACCGTAACTGCTAGCCCTGAACAGTGAACACAGGATGGCGGCTGTCAGAAAAAAGTGCCATTTTATTTTGATCCTAAAAATATATTTTTTGATCTTATAATTTGTTTGAATTTGCCAATCCCTGTATTTTGAAGCATATTTAGTGTTTTTTTCCATTGTCCCATTGGTCTATTTCTTATTCTCATTGGACTCTAGAAGATGAATGCTTTATCTATCAAATTTCTTAGTAAAATCTTTGAATTTTTCACTGTTTCGTCTTACGAGACAGTTTTAATATAATATTTCAAATTCTTGTTTTGACTACATATAATTAGAAGTGCTTCAAATAATTGTAATCTCATTTCCATCGTTATGATACCATAACATATATTTTAAGAAAACGCATCTACGCATGGTAACAAAGCCCAATGGCACGTGACAGCAATTCTAGGTGTTTAGATACTCATAAATATTGTGTTAAAATTGCTGTTGGTCATTAATAACTGATGTTACAAGTAATTATCCCAAAGAATGAAGTTCGGTAGGGATACAGTGAAGCCCTTCGTCCGTCCGTCAGTCCACCAATCAGTCAGTCCTTCATTCCGTCCGTCCGTCTGACCGGAAGATATCTCGAATACTAGTGGACGGATGTTCTTCATATTTCGTGGAAAGATGTATATTGGTGAATAGTTGTAAAAATTGGTAGAAATTCTGATATATCTCTAATGTTTCCAATGTTTATATTTTTGTGACAAATACAGATTCATATATGTTATAGTGTTCGTTGGGATTTGCTTCTCCGTGGAGTTGCCGTCTTAAACAAGTGACTTTCAAAAACAAGAAAATATGTCCCGTTCATTATTACAGTCGCCATCTTGTTTTGCGGATCGTTGGTCTTGGTAGCAAGGTGGAGCAGAGTTAATGCCGACATGACCGCGTCTGGAGAGTATTTTTCAAGATTAAGGTAGACGTCCTGATACTTTATATTCGTCTGAAACAAGGTAAGTTGGTTTCATTTCATCTGTCGATTTATTCTATTTCATACATAGCTGAAATATAAACAAGGATATCATTTATATTTAATGACTTCACAGTATGATTAATTATTTTTAGGACATTTTTGAAAACGGCATTATAGGTAACATGGTACTGAAGATACAATATTCAGTGTACGTGCTTGCGCTAGTAGGTTCGTACAAATGCACCGTATGTTATGAATATTAATACAACTTTTATATAATAAATATTCACTTTAATTTTCAATTTTTAATTGTGAATATGCAAATATTTCAGTTCTTACAGATTGCATGTCGAGTGTTGTTGAAAAAATCCATGTTTCGCGTGGCAAATAGGACTGGAGCATCCAGAGAACGCTTGGTTTCATGAGATCTTCATCCATTTAGCAACAGATCCAAGCTCAAAAAAATCTCTAGCAACTGAAAAATTGTATTCTTATTTGGGAAAGATCTACTTTTACTCAAACTATTAAGTAATAATTTTACTTTTTAAATAATAATAGTTTTATCTTATTTGTAATATTTTATAATATATAGTTAAATCATATTTTTGTTCCAGTTCTTTTCGGACATGTCAGCTTCGTAGAAACTCAAGGTAAGAAGTTAACGTTTTCTCGACAAAATTTCAAGCAAAGGACAGGTCTCGGTTTGGAGAACAGTCTCCTGGGCTAATAATTTTGTTTACAAAAAAACATATAAATAACACCCAAATCAAATTATGAATATTCAAAAGAGGACATTTAAATCTACAAGATGTAAAAATATCAAATTTGTCCCAAGCAGGAGTACGTAACGCTCAATTCAAGAAAATACAAGGTCGAATTAGAGAAAGAAGTTCATCAGTGTATTCTGCTAATCATTTTTATGTAAAATCTAGAAATATCACCCAAATCAAATATGAGTATTCAAAAGAACACATTCAAATCTACATTATGTAAAAAATAAAATTTGTCCGAAGCAGGGGTAACGCTCAATTAGAGTGATGAATTTCGTTCTCCAAACCGAGAATAGTCCTTTGAATCTAACAAATTTTCTAAGCATTAAAAAGTTGATCCATGTTTCGCGTGGCAAATAGGACTGGAGCATCCAGAGAACGCTTGGTTTTATGAGATCTTCATCCATTTAGCAACAGATCCCAGCTCAAAAAGGTATCGATACAAAAATTGTGATGCTTTGTGTTAGTACAAACTTGAACGCATCGGGTGAAGTATTTTTTACCACACGCTCACAGACATCTTGTGTAAATCCAGTAATGGGTCTTTATTTCCTTCTAATCTCTTGTTCCAACTCTTTGATGCTTCTAGGGTTGTTAGTGTACATAGAATCAGCTATACCATATTGGATGCTTAGATGAGGGTTCAATTGTGCCAAATATGACTGAAACCCAGATGCGTAGCCACCAATTTTATCAAGGGTCGCGTTAATTTTTCGGTTTGCATCACTGTGAGCAAAGTGAGCCCTAAAAAGGGGGCACGGGGTTAACCCCCGGAAATTCTTTAAGATTGACATTGTAATGTAAAACAAATTTTACAAAATTGCTTGGCTGAATGACATCTACAGGGCGTCCACAAAAGAGTATTCCCAACTTCAAATCCAAATTACTAGAATCCTAAGCAGTTTTTATAAAATGCAAAATAGTAGTAAAAAGCCTGATTCATTCTCCATCAAATGGTACCAAGATCATTCTGTAACTGTCATGTATGACCGAGCAATCTTGACCATTATAAAAGGTGGTAA